TCGTCCTCTTTGTTTTTCGCGTTTCCCGCGGCCACGCTCCATTGAATAATTTACATTTTCTTGCAGCTTCTCGAACGATTTATTCGTTTTCCGCTGGGTCGCGCATTCCTCGAGCACCGAACAGCCTCCTGTAAGTGCACAGAGAACAAGAGACCTCCCTTGGGTAGACAAAACCTTTGTGCAGAGCCTAATTAACTACCACACAAGAGTATTTCAACGCTTACATTTCTAACGCTAACCGGCTAAATGTAATACGTACGTTAAACCGAAGAATTTTATACACATAATATGCCACGTATAAATGATTTGTGGCGGTAAAGTAGTTTTGAAAGATTGAGTTTTGGGACTCTGTTTGATCGGAACTCTGGGTAAATGTCTTTTTCGCCCGTAGGATCATGCATCACTGTTCAAGCCCTTGCGTCGCATTCTACAGCGGTTCCGAGCCTCCGTGAACGACCATAAAGGCCTGCTGGAATACGCGACAGGACGACGCGCGGTCGGTATGTTGCGAATGCAAGCGGTCACTTTCTATCTTGTCATCGTTTTCACCACTGTTATTGGCTGGATTCGCACCATCCGTCGAAACATTCTTCGATCGGCTTAGCATTGGAACAGAACGACGCGGAAACAAAGTCATTTTAGACAAACATCTTCATCGACAAACAAACATTTACCCTGTTTGAAAGTTACAAAAGTACAGTTTCGCTTTTTGGTTGCAAATAATACTAAAACGTAGGACGTATCGCATCATTTAAGTTTGTTAAATTTTATTTTATTTCTGATCGTTGAAAAGGTATAAGGTAGTTCCTATAGGTCCGGTTGTGTGAAACTCTTTGTACGTATACGTAGTTGTTAGGTCAATGGACTTTACAGCTCTTGCATTATCATATTTCAATGAACCTCCATTAACGTGTTCCAAGTTTAACAATATTCTTTACTTACGATCACATCTTCTTCCGGATTTTTAAAGGCGAGGTTGATTTTAATAAAAAATCAAATTGCTATCTTCTTATTGCGGAGTGTAGTTGAACTCAATCATTATTAAATCCGTTGAAACGCGGACCCCATCGATGTCTACAATTAATTACTCTTGTAATTTCCTTTGCAATCCAAACCAGACATGGATATTGCTGGCGCCTGGTGCATCGGACAGGCGCAGAAATTCCTGTATGCTTTCATTGAAACGCTAAGCTACTATATTTAGAATCACATTTATTTAAGCTATTTATATACTCATTTCATTCTAAAAAAAAGCATACATTGCGTGTACTATGTAACAGTACGAGTAGATTTACTATTTTCGCTCTATTTATTGTCGTCCCCCCTTCTCCGTTCATTACCTATTTTTGCCATAATCTATTTCTGCTGTACCTTCTCTTCGTTCCTCTATTCTGCATTGCGTGTAGAAGAAATGCAGGATATTCGGAATACTAGTTTCGAACGAATAATTACAACAGTGGGTGGGAACAAATAAAACTTGATAAAATAAAAATAATAATTCATGCTGAAATAATTCTAGCCCCGACCATAGGCAAACACACATGTTCCGAACAAGCGTGTAAAAATTAAAGCCAACAATTTGGAACGATTGGAACTGTTACAAGACTCGTAGCAAGTTGTTTGTGTCGTAAAGTGTCGTGAGGTATGAACAAACTTGAACAAAATTATACGGTATACGTTTGAAGAATTACTTGCAATTAAATCGCACGTTAAAAAGTTTAGGTACGAAGCGGTTAAGAATCCCTGTGTCGAGGTAACGCAACAAAAGACCTCTCGGATACGACGCAAGAAACGTGGTTTCAAGCTCTTCGAACGACAAGACCTCGGCGAAGTTGTTCGGGACGCGTTCGTGGCCGATTTACCCCTTTTGTTCCACCTTGGCTAGGTGAATCTGGCAGCAACTGAATCGCTTGATCCATCGAAGAGCAACAGGTTTGCTGGCCACCGATGGGAATGGGCCCGTGAAGAGACGAGGGAGACTGAGAGAACGAAGCATAGGTAGAATCTTCGGCCACGACCGAGTCACCGGTATTCGAGGCATCCATTTAGGCCGCGGCGCCGACGGCGAGGGTAGGAGGCCGTTGGTGGGAGTCGCCGTTGTTAGCGATGCTGATGACCGTGACGGAAAACCGGGGGCCAACGACTCGACTGCTCGCAAAACAACGTCTACAAGATTCAGTCAACACTCTACAAGACCACCTAGGGGTTTTCCAGCGATAGAACTTCCAATTCTCATAACCACCATATTTGTTATTTTTTAAGAAAGCTTTCTCGATAGAGACTCTTGAGTTTCCCTATAATTTTCACTAGCTTGTCCATGCGTGCGATAGATATTAGTACACTCGATGTTAGGAAACAGACTTAGGGTTTGATGGAGAGCGTACCGATACTTTTTCTACTCGCTGTGTGTGTGTGTGTGTGTGTGTGTGTGTGTGTGTGTGTGTGTGTGTGTTGGGAAGAAAAATGGCTAGCAACGCTTTCGAGGGGGACACAGTGTATAAAAAAAAATAGAGGGATCAACGACACTCTATAGCGCAGAAATAAATATTCACGAGGACTCGGTGCGTTGTTAGTAGTATATGTGTAACGTAATTTGTGCGTTCGGAATACGCCTAAAAACGTTGGTCTGCTGTATAAACGATCGTGGTCGAAGCCTGTTAATAGAGAAAAAGAAAAGCAGGGAAACGCAAGGGTAGGAGGAGAGGGTAGGGGTGTCGTTCGGCGATGGTGGTGGCTGCCGGCGCCACTGGCACCGTCAAGGAAAAGTCATGCACACTTCTGTTCCTGTGTATTGCTGGCCAAAGTGAACCGGTGCCGACGCCGACAGTCGTCGTCCGTCCTTCGTGCGTGCAGGTTCGTTCCGCGTTCATTCATCAGCCAGTGAGACTGACAAGTGTAACATCGCGCGACCCGAGTGAATTCGCCACCGCGAGGGGGAGACTTTCTTCCGCGAGAGAGATTCGATCGCATATTAGAAATCCATTTACCCGTATCCGTCTCGGAGCACGAGTTTATTCGTCGCTACGTACATCGCGAGCACATTGATTGCTGTTGAGCTTCTGGGACAGATACTCCCCCGACGAAAGAGGTCGTTTGTACGTTACCCTTGGATTACTCGTTACACCTATCTAAACATTCTTCTAACGCGACTTGATCTGTTTTGTCACAATTTGATCGTTTTTACGACACCTTTAGCTATTCGTTATGGATGTTCTGGAACGCATTTTACCAAATGACAAGGGACACAAACTAGTAATTATTATGGTAGACAGGGCAGTGCTTTTACGAGTATACCGACTCGAGGCATCGTGAGGAATGTGATTGTTTCTTGTTGAGAAATAAGTTTGTAAATTACTACGACGAAGCTTCGTTTCATTGATATCGTTTCAACTGGATGTCGTAGTTTAGTAAAATCGAATAGGCAGTATCGGGCAAAAATTGGGCAATGTTTGAGAACGGTGTCATTGAGCGTTAGGATTTCTGATGACCATGAACGATTTAAACAACTGCCAAGCTAAAGGAGGGGATAGATGAATTTCATAGAATGTTTGTGAAATGTCGTGGTGTGGGTTATTGACACAAGAGTGCGATGGCCTTGAATCGTTTGAAAGCTCGTGGTTGATTAATTTCGATAAAGTAAACTGCTTCGTGGAGCCATGGTTTAATGATTCGAGCTACAGTTATTTTTTTAAACAAAGATGGAAAACCTGTTGCATGGTTTAACGTGGTCCATCTTCTTCCGACCACATCTTACCCACAAACGCAATGCCAGCGTCGTGCCAGTGTTTTCAGAATTAAATATAAGAGACCGAATACTCGACAGAAATTTTTTACATTTCTTTTTTCGATATAAAGAAATAGGATAAGGGATGTGAAGCAAAATTGATAAATGAAGGGATATTCCCTTCTAAATTAAAGGACAGTGACGTTCCCCGGTCAATGCGCGACACAACGTGCACTTTCTTCGGGAAGGATAAATGAAATTGCGTAAGAGCGTCAACTCGCATACATATGTATGTATGTACACAACGCCTACGATCCCGTCGAGTCGGTTTATTCGTGTAAAATAGCTGTACGTACGGATCTAATTTGTTCCGCGTATATTCACGTCCAAGTCGAGCACGTGCGTGTTGTATGTACTATACATATACACTAATCGATGAATTTCAATTACAAATCCACTGGACAGAGATATTAAAAATTCTTATCTAGGTAAACGTTTCGAATACCTAATTAGAGATAAACAACTGCTTATCCGATACTCGTTAACACCTTGGTAGCCGCATTTTTCACACGATAAATTTTCAGTGAATATCGCAGTGTATTCTAAACCAAAAGTTGACGATCGATTACGATAGTTTCTGTTTTCCGACGTGCCGTGATTCTTTTGTTTATATTTTATTCGGTCAAATAGACATTTAAATACCCGTTGTCTACGCGTTGACACTCACGACAGAATCACGTGCCATCGCTTAGACAGATTCCAATGAAATTTTTTAGATAATAGTAAATGATTCTGTAACTTTCAAGATATAATGATATCATAAAGCATTTAAATGGGTTTTAAGACTATACGTATGTATAAGTAACGTTGAAAAATAATTTAATAATAGAATAGGTATGTACCAGAAATGACTGCATACTGACTTTAGTTTTCCGAGATATCAGCAAAAATGTGTCCAATACTATGCGCGTATCATATTCTGCTTCTTACAACATATTTGTTGTTAGTCTGAGGTTTTTCGTAGTACACGTTACTCGAGTCAAGTATTATTTACCTGTGTGTTATTACCCGAGTATGTGCATATGTATACACGACGTGTTATTCTATCGTGATTGTACAATTTTAATCGTTGAGCAGATCAATTAACACGGATGAATGCACACAAATGTAATAAAATAAAAATTGTCGTGCTGTAATGATTTATCAACACTGGCACTTCTGATCAAAAAGATGCTCGTCTTTATCATTAAGTCGTATCTTTATTTTTGAATTTCAGGTTGAAGGAAGAAAATCTACCTGTGCTGTAAACACGAGCCAATCAAGAAATTTCGTGCCTAGCGGAAGCCATCTTGCAATTAGCGTGAAAAAATACGTTCCACATTCCAGAATTTCCCGGTGGTGGGCCTTTGTAAAAACCATCCCCTCCCTGATAAAAATGTCTACGCGTTAGAAGAAATGACAGGAATCGTAGAATCTCGTTTCGAGTTACGAATCAAGAGCAACTAGAGAATCGTAATATAAAACGGGAAAACGAAGGAAAAGGATAGTGGAAGTTCGGACATCTTTTCTAACACCACAAGTAGATTGTGTGTTTTTATGAGGAAAGAAGAGGGTGCGAGTATTTTGAGTTGGAGATTCGTGGATCGGTAATTGGATTCCTGAGCACAGGATAGGTCCGAGGGCCTACTCGAGGCAAGAAATCATTATCGCCATCGAAACGGATTCGACGAGAGGAATAAATTGGTTGAGGAGCGCATCACCGAGTGAAAGGACCACGGGGACTAGAAGCCGTAAACGCAGAAGAATAAAAGGCATTAAGGAAAAATGGCGTACGACGATGTCATCCTCCGTATGGGCGAATTCGGTCGTTATCAACGCAGAATCTACCTCATGCTCTGTCTTCCGGCGATATCTTGCGCCTTCCATAAGATCGCCGGAGTTTTCCTCAGCGCGAAAATGAACGCTAGGTCAGAATCGATTTACCGAATCGGTTACTCTATGTATAATCTCGTTGAACAATAATGATTACTTGTATCATGGTTTGTACTCAACTATCGACTCTCGTTTTAGATGCATGCTACCACACGAAAGCGTGGAGAACGCCACATACATGTTACCGCAAAGCGTGATGAACGCTAGCTATCCATGGGACTACGAACTAAAAGGATGGTCACAGTGCTACAGACATGACGTTAATCAAACAACGATCAGCAGGTACGTCGATACGTCGAACGACAGCTACGTCGATACGTCGACCGACGACTCACCTATCCAAAAACCCTTTTCCCCGAATGGTCTCAACACCCAAGGACTATTACCGTGCGAAGGATACGTCTACGACAGAAGAAAATACAAAAGTACCACTACTTCTGAGGTACGTCTAGCATACGTTTCTTCTTTGTTACTTATTATTTTGATAATCGACCGATCAACAGTACTTACAAGGTTCTCTAACATCTCTTATTGGAAAACCCTGTATAATTGGCTCCATCCGACTTATTGTCTCTACGTTTAACGATCGTTCGACTCTATCAGTGACGAGTTAACGTATCAAATTACAGTTTTGTTTGTTTATTTTCAGTGGAACTTAGTTTGCGACAGGGCATGGTTGAAAGCTACGGGGGATTCTTTGTTCATGGTAGGAGTCATGCTTGGCTCGATGATTTTCGGTGGTTTGTCCGATAAGTATGGGCGTAGACCAATTTTCTTCCTGTCTTTAGTCATACAGCTGGTCGGTGGTATACTAGTCGCTGTTGCACCCGAGTTTATTTCCTACGTTATCTTCAGATTGATAGTTGGCTCAACCACTAGCGGGGTCTTTTTAGTCGCCTATGTCATAGGTAAATCGTTATTTGATTAATAAAACGTTGGGCCGAGTAATGAGTTCATGAAAGTCTGAATCCATATCATTAATTACAGATCATAGAAGCGTATAATAATACGAGTTAAATTATTACTCGGCCCAATAAATACCCAATTTCTATAATCTCTATGAATATATCCATAATATTACATTCGGTATTATCATCGTTCGATATTGTAATGATACTGTAACACTGAGATTAACGTTGCTGTTTAGCCTTAGAAATGGTAGGTCCAAGGAAGCGTTTAGTAGCCGGAGTCGGTTGTCAACTATTCTTCACAACTGGGTACATTCTCACTGCTGGTTTCGCGTATTTTATAACTGACTGGAGAATGCTACAAATCGCTATCACTGTACCGAGCATTGCGTTCCTTCTTTACTGGTGGTGAGTTAAATATTGTTTTTCTCTTTTAGTCCAACAATCTTGTCGATTTGTTTCTTTGAAATATTGCGTCGTTAATATTTTCCAGGTTCATTCCTGAATCCGCGCGATGGCTGTTGACTAAAGGTCGCGTGCAAGAAGCGAAAGATCTCCTGCAAGGCGCATCGTTGGAAAATGGCGTGGAGATGCCGACCGAGGCACTGGATACGCTTCTTAATAATAATAGTGACGAAAGTGCGCCGGATTATAAAAAACCATCATTGTTCGACCTTTTCCGATATCCAAATTTGAGGCGGAAAAGTATTTTACTATTTTTCAATTGGTAATGTTTACTTAAACTCAAAGTTCACTGGGAACTGGGGAACTGCCTCCCCCACCACATTGTATTTGATTCCTCCCGCTGCTTAATCTCACTTCGTTGCCAGAAAACAGTGAAAGAGAAATTACCTAACTACGTAGTAATAATGTATGGCTGACAAGAGTATTAAGTATGGGATACGAAATACGTAGCTCTGGACTTGCGCGATTAATTTGTTTTAGAGTTTTCCGCATAAGTCGAATTGTGCAAATACAGTGCGGTGCATAACTATACTAGTATTGCATAAATTTTTCTGTTTTTCTTATACATATAAAACGTAATGCACCTGAGAAAGCGATTTTTAGTTGTTGAAATGTACAAAAACTATTGCTATTATTCAAAGCGTGATAACAAAATCTCGCAATCTTTATAGGCTTGTGAACAGCGGTACCTATTACGGATTATCCTGGCACGTATCCAACCTCGGTGGTAACGAATATGTTAATTTCGTGATTTCCGGGTTTGTGGAAATACCCGCATACACGTTTCTAATTTTCACTTTAAATCGTTGGGGAAGGAAGATTATCTTATGCGGGTGTATGTTAATATCCGGAGTGGCGTTGCTCGCTATCCTATTTGTACCTGCTGGTTAGTAAAGAAAATCAGCATTTTATATTCTTTTTAACGACCATTACTTTTATAAAATAATTTTAAGCCCAGCTGTCGCGCTCGTGAATGTTTCTAGACGCTCAATGGCTTGTGGTGTGTCTTGCTATGATCGGTAAACTCACCATCACATCGTCCTATGGTGCTATTTATGTTTTTACTGCCGAACAATTTCCTACGGTCATTCGAAATGTAGGTCTCGGAGCGAGTTCAACTTTTGCTCGAATCGGCGGAGTAATTGCCCCATACGTCATTCATCTGGTAAATAATTTACATTTGCAACACACACTGCTCGAAACAATTAGATTGTTACTGAATATAATTGTTCTTATACACTTATTAAGCATTGTTACTGAACGTAATTTATACATATAGCAAATTGGAACTTTCAAGTATCTAATATAAATTTAAGTAAATGATCTACTTACTCGTAACGACTAAGTATTATTTTGAGCAGTGTATATAATTTTGTTGTCACGTGTCTTCTTCTTGTAAAATCAAATACGAATTGAGGACATATTTCACAAGATTTAATTATTCTTTTTGAGTATTTAACGACGTTCTAACGATCAACGGGGTATTTCAGTCTGAAATTTGGATGCCTCTACCATTTGTTATTTTTGGATCGTGTGTCCTCCTTGGTGGAATGCTGTCGCTTCTCCTTCCAGAAACACTGAACAAAAAGCTGCCGGAATCCATACAAGACGGCGAATTATTTGGAAAGTATGTTGGTTTATAACGTCTCTAATCATTTTTTACCAATGTTCCGATTCTTACCGTTATAATGCTTTGCTTTAGGAAACTTTCGAAGAAGAAGAAAAAACAACAACTAGATATAGAACAATTAAACGAAGTTGACGTGATAAAGCCATTGAAGCCGCAGGAGAATGGTGTTCACGAGAAGCAAAACGGATGACATTAATTTCCAAGGAAAACGTCGATTATGCTCAAAATATGTATTTGAATCCTGTCTGACTGTATTTTAGGCACCCTTGCATATACGTGTCTAGTGTATACAAATCTCAGCGTGCCAATTGCAAAAGTGCATTATCGAATCCTATTGGACTTTCGAACTGCATGTTTATTAATGTAGGCAATTACCGAACTAAGGGACTACGGAAACCTACATTAATTACTCAATTTGTTTTTAACATATCGAATGCAAGACGGTAGCGTTTGCCTTCTGTTTATACGTACACAAAATACATACAGTCTATGTAATTAATAGCACACACAAATTCTGCCAGCGAACATATCATTTACTCTAATTTTTGAGTGTCGTTTACGTGTTAAGTGCCCTTGAAATATAAACTTGTAATAGCTTCTTTGACAAATTTACGCGGGAAACGATTATATTTTCACGCGACAATCGCAAATGAAAAATACAAGGACTTTGACATTTTAATAGTTCTTTTATACATTGCAGAAGAAGAGTTCTAACCCTTTATTTTCCTTTGTGATTCGAACAAATTTGAAATCTTACATACGCGACAAAAAGATTTCAAATTTTTAAACGAAGCGAATTACACGACATCTTACGGAGAGCGCGGTCAAACTCGTTTACCGTAACGACAGTGAAATGTCGATGTTTTGAAATATATCGAATCTCGAATGATTCCGTTTCGTTCCGTGTTCCGTTCGTCCGTTGCTAGGTTATCTCAGTTACTTGTTATTCTCGTGCAAGCCTGAGTACCGGTCTGCCGTGTGGTAACATTGTTCCCGCGCAAAATATCGTGGGAGCACGCCGAACGTTTAATAGTTTAACGTTAGTGTTATTTAGATTACGTTAGAATACCAATTTTAATCGAAACAGAAATGGATAATGTTGATAGAGATCAGAGACTCGAAGAGATACAAAGGGAGTACTTGGATTTTTTAGATGACATGGTAAGTTGATATAAACGTTCACTCTTCGATTTGATTTGCTTGTTTGTTATGGCTGTTCCTTAGGAGGATCAAGGCATTTATACTACTCTCGTTAAGAATATGATCGACGAGAACAAACGCAGACTGTTAGTCAACGTTAATGATTTAAGAAGGAAAAATCCCACTCGGGCAATAAGGTGAGCATAGTAGAACGGGTTCACGTATTGATGTTCCTTGTCTCCTAAAAATATTCCAACCACGCTGACATTTACGCTATCGTCTACAGTACTGACTTCAATTTTTCTTGTAGCCTGTTGAACAATTCTTTCGAAGAACATCAAGTTTTCCAAAATGCGTTGAAGCATTTCGTTGGGCACATTTACACAGATTATGCAAAAGCAAACATAGATTTTTTTATAGGATTTGAAGGAAGTTTTGGAAATAAACATGTCACACCGAGAACTCTTACGTCAAGGTTTTTAGGTAATTTGGTATGCGTGGAAGGTATTGCTACAAAATGTACGTTGATGTTACATATTTTTGGAAAATTTGGCAAACATGGGTGGCACAGTAACCGATTCGCTTGTTAAACTTTATAAATACGAATAAACTAAATCTAATTCTCATCAATTTGATTGAAATTGTATAGGTAAACATTGAAAAAGATTCACATTTTGTGCCAGCCATATTTTTCGAGTTTGCCAAATTTTATACACAAGTTTTATTATAATTTGGTCCTGTTCGATATGCATTGTAACTGTCGGCAGGCTCTTTGGTGCGACCAAAAGTTGTAAGAAGCGTTCACTATTGTACCACAACAAAGACAGTGATAGAAAGAGCGTACACAGATATGACTTCGTTTGATGCATTTCCACAATCTGCTATATATCCAACAATGGTAATTAATTGATGTACATCGATACTTTCTAAGAATAAAAATCGTGCATTTTAATTTTAACATTATTAAAAATATAGGATGAGGATGGTAATCCTTTAGAAACAGAATTTGGTCTTTCTGTATACAAAGATCATCAAACGTTAACTATACAAGAAATGCCGGAGAAAGCACCCACTGGTCAGTTACCACGAAGTATTGACGTTGTTTGTGATAACGATTTAGTGGATCTTTGCAAACCAGGGGACAGAGTACAGATTGTTGGAAGTTTCAGGTGTATGCCTAGCAAACAAGGAGGATATACAGCAGGCACTTTTAGGTTTGTTAATCGAAAAATGCGTGTTTGTTCTTTATTTTTTAAAATCTGGTCCCTGCCTGTATCAGAAAAGCGTTGCCGATCATCCGAAGCTACTTGAACATAAAGAATATGCTTTCTTACAGAACAATTTTAATTGCTAACAATATCATGCAATTAAGCAAAGATGCTAATCTAGCTATTTCTCATGATGATGTGGCTATGTGTAAAAAACTTGCCAAAACAAATGCATGTAAAAATATTTTCGAGTTACTCAGTAAATCATTGGCACCTACTATTTATGGACACGATTATGTAAAGAAAGCTATATTATGTTTACTACTTGGTGGTGTTGAGAAAGTATTACCTAACGGTACAAGATTAAGAGGGTAAATATTTTTAAACTGTATATATTACGAAAACATTTTTAAAGTAGTAAACAAAGGTATAAGCAGTAATTTTTACAGAGACATTAATGTTATGCTAATTGGTGATCCATCCGTTGCAAAATCACAACTTCTACGTTATGTTTTGTGTACTGCACCAAGAGCAATACCAACTACTGGTAGAGGATCTTCCGGTGTTGGATTAACAGCTGCTGTTACCATAGATAATGAAACGGGGGAACGCAGACTCGAAGCTGGTGCGATGGTATTGGCAGATCGAGGAATCATTTGCATAGATGAGTTTGATAAAATGTCAGACATTGATCGAACAGCTATACACGAAGTAATGGAACAAGGAAAAGTAACCATTGCCAAAGCTGGAATACATGCCAGCTTAAATGCACGATGTTCGGTGTTAGCAGCTGCAAATCCAGTTTATGGAAGAGTAAAATCTGTTATATTGAAATTACTTGTTTGATTTAAAAATTGGTACATGTTTGATACTTAATGTGTGTGCACGTATTTGCAGTATGATCAATATAAAACGCCAATGGAAAACATTGGTCTCCAAGATTCGCTGCTTTCACGTTTTGATCTACTATTTGTCATGTTGGATATAGTAGATTCCGATCAGGATCAAATAATCAGTGATCATGTTGTAAGAATGCACAGGTTTAGGAATTCGACGGAACAAGATGGAGAAGCATTGCCGTTTGGTGCTAAAGTAGATGTGTTAACCACTAAAAATCCAGATCAGATTTTTTCCGATGATACGGAAATTCAAGTTTATCAAAAATATGATCCTTTATTACATGGGCAATTACGTTCAAAAAGGTACTTGAAAATTAGTGTGCGATTTCACAAATATATTTTCATTGTTAAACGCAAGAAATGTTTTTTTAGCGATCAAATTTTTACTATAAATTTTATGAGAAAATACATTTACATCGCTCGTTGTATGAAACCAAAACTTACGGAAGAGGCTAGCAACGTAATTGCTGCCGAGTATTCAAAACTACGGTCAGAAGAATCAGTGGAAACCAATGTAGCAAGGGTATTCGATTTACATTATTCATTTAAACGATCATTACGCTTAACCGTTTGTTAACAATTTATTTTTCTTTTAAATCAGACTCAACCTATAACAGCTCGTAGTTTGGAAACGTTGATTCGATTATCTACGGCACACGCAAAGGCTCGTTTATCAAAGAACGTTACAGCCGAAGATGCTTACGCGGCGATAGAACTTGTAGAGTTCGCCTATTTTAAGCGAGTATTAGGAAAAGAAAAGAAAAAACGAAGGCGGCACGATAGCGAAGATAGCAACACGGAGGATAAAGAATTGGAGAAGAAAAAGAAACGTACGAGAAAAACGAAAACACCTGGAGAACATGATCCTTATGACTTTGATAGCGATGATGCCGATAGCCACATCGATGAACCAATGATAGTCACCAGATTACAAAAAGAAACTGTGTCAAGTTCACAAAGCCGATCTGACAAATCGTCGGCGCCAGATTCTGATCAAACTATGTTAGAAACCCCTGCAACTATTACCGAGGAAAGGTATATATTTAAACTCTGATAATATACATATTCATTTATACGTATTGTATGATTTCAGACTGAAAGTGTTTAGAACGCTTCTTCACAAGTTGTTTCAACAAGAAAGGGCGCAATCGCTTGCATTATCAAGAGTACGCGAATTCATCAACAGTGAACAATCACAAGAGTTTACCTCGGGTGAAATTACTGCCGCAATTAATAAAATGTCCGACGCTAATCAAATAATGGCTGCAGATGATAACATATTTCTTATGTAAATTGTATTCTGTAAGTCAGCCATATTGTATTTTTTTACTATTTTAACATTGTAAATTTTTTATAAAATTTTTATAAAAAATATTTCAGTGAGTATTCAACATTCCAATAATTAATTTATACTTGCAGGTTTTTTAATTTTTTCTTTAGATATAAGGAATTGTAATGACTGAAAATAATTGTATCTATTAATATTTATTATCTTTCCATGTTACAGTACAACACATTGGCACATAAACTAGCAACAGTGATCAACATTCATTACAATACTGTAAACAATATTGTTTACGCCTCTGAGTCTTTATGTTTTGTATAATATATATATATATATATATAATCAACTCATTACGTAACTATAAATAGTTGTGCTGTCTCTTAGGCATTTGTTTTTACACGTAACTTGTTCTATCTACGCTTTCATTATTTTGTTAGAAAACTTGTTAGCTTTGTAACATCGTCAATATGTTCAGCTTACTAGCTAATTTTATGCCAGTGATCGTATTTTATTATTTTTATAACTGTTTAATCGTGTTACAAAATCTTGCCAATTTTTAATTTTTCAAAAATTATAACGTATTTACTTAAAATCAAATTCTATTTACTTATATTTGTATGTTTAGTGATATTTACTTTGAATAATATGCTGACGATATTATGATTTAATATGTTTCTTATACGAATAATTCGTATGATAAAATTATCATCATTGAATGTATCATAGGTGTTTCTACACCTATGTCCATAACAAAAACACTACAACTATGGTTACAAACAGATGCAAAAAGCTTTACACTGCCAATATTAAAGTCCGCTACTTTCTTATCATTATAATACAGGCCTTTAGGACGTAATGGTTTCTGTTATAAACGAACGAATTCATACCACATTTGAATTATTTTCATTTACATAGATAGATCAATCTTTTAACAACCGAGCTATTCTTATTAGAAGAGAAATCAGCATTTATGTTTCTTGTACTTACAGTTGTCCTTGACAACATCGATTTGATTAATTTTAATTAGCACTTCCATGGTTTAACATTTTTTATTGTATAAAATCTATTGTATCTAATTCTAGAATTCTTTAAAAATTCCATACCTCAACACCAATAAATGACACAAAATATATAGTATAACACAATTAATAAATTATTTTTAATATATCTAAAAACACGGTGTACAATCTACAAAACATTAATCTATGTGGAACCTGAGTATTTGTTGTAACAAGCTGAGATAAGAAGGACGAAATTAACAACTTGTGCGCTTACAAGATACAATAATGATATTATATAGTGCAATAAGAAATGTAAAACCAAACTGATATAGTACACTTCCCTTGCGCAATAATACAATTATTTATACATTCTACTAAAAGATAACGCAGTAAAAAATTAATATTTCAACGCAAGAACACTATATCATAAAATTGTGCAATAATACTAAAAAATTATAGACTTAAGAAAATGGAAAATCTTTTGAAATGTTTAATCGTATTACAGGATTCACATCTCTGCCCTATGGTCAGATTAAAGGTGCTTTTTCGAAGTCCTCTTTTTAACATAGATGTTTCAGGCACGTATTTATACCTTTTTCCTTCAACTGTCGTTTTAACAAATTGAATCGTGAATTTTTAACTGTATATGTATAAATAAAAACGAAGCACACGCAACAAACACATTTTTAATTTGATTTATATTTTGTCAAGTAGTCTGTTAAAGACATGTGCTTCATTTTTATACCCATGCTTTTCATTTATGCGTATTAAAAAAATGCAAACATACTTAAACCTCATCTTCGCTAGACTCACTGCTGTACGCCAATTGTTCTTTCCACCATTCTCGAACCTCTAGTATAACGCTGGAAGGTTTTGGTACATTCGCCTTCGAATTGAAAGCTTCCCGCTGTTGCCTGGTTTGCTCTGTGTTTTCTGTGAGATGTGGCAAATTATTTTTTGCCATCGCTTCAAACGGAAAACTCATATTGGAGAAACGTGTGATGAAAATAGGTACGGCGATAGTTAAGATACATGTATGTAGAAAAAGAAACTTACGCGGTGGTCTATTATTTCGTTTTTTAGGTGGTACGTTCTTGTCTTTTTCAGACCTAATCGACGCGGGATCCGACAATGTTGGAGTTAAATATTTTCTGCCTGATCCACTGCCTATACTATCCGATCTTGGAAGAACTGCTGGCTTCTTTGCTTTGTGCTTAGACCCGTCGGTATCCTATTTAACGAAACACGTTAATGAAATTCTGTGGAAAAGAAAATTGGTAAACTGAAATTTACCTTTGTTTCAGTTTCTTCCTCTTTCTCTGCCTCCTTTCTTTTTTCTTCCGTATGTTCTTGTTGTTGTATAGGCTGGTCAGTATTGGCTCTAAGACCGGCTACAAGACTATTTTGTTGCTTCTACCATACAAAAATTACATTTGTTTTACTTATATTATAAAGGACTGCTGTATACTTTATGCATAAACTCACCCCGCTTGCTCGAATTTTTTTTAAACAACCCTCTAACCAATTTCTTATCGTTTGTTTAGCAACCTCTTCTTCGATGATGTATTCAAACTCCTCTCTTGCCAACAATTCCTCGAGTTGAAGAGCTTTTCGTATATCGACCGAACGATATGACAACATACTGAAGAAAAGAATGAGATATTGGTATGGAACTATTAAAATGGGAGACCCTGTAGATAAAGACGATGGTAACTTACTTAATAACATCATGGAAAGTAACGTCTTCACCATTGTTTAATTTTTCCAACTCGTAACACATATGTTTGAAGAGCAGTCGATCCTTTTGCGGATCAGTCTCTAATCTACCTTTCAACAGCCGTAAGATAAACTTCACCTAAAGCAAACTAATATATCATTACTTCTAGTCTAACTTACAACGACTTATCAAGCTAGTAACAATTGTTTCAGGCGTACCCGTTTCACCGGTATGACACCTTTTTGGTGATTATCGACGACGTTCCAGGTGTTTTGGAAATTCCTAATATCAGCGTACGACAATAAAGCGTCTTCTTCGTTAGAATAAAATAGAGAGAAATTCTCCATAATAATAGCTGCCGCAAAAGGATTAGTTTTTACATCGTAACGTAAGAGAGTTACGTTTGGCGTTTGTTTGTTGACGAAGAGGTCGGTTAGTACTTACCCACCAGAAGATTTAAAACAATGTATGTGATAATGACGTAGAAAGTACAAAAATAAATTAAAGAAGCATGAAAATTGCCGCAATCGGTCTCCCAATAATTAGCAGCCGGAGTGCAATACGGCGGTTGTATCATGCAGTCGTGCATTATCTTATTCCAGTCTTCTCCTGTGACGATACGAAAGAGCATAGCAACGCCGGTCACGGGTGATTCAAAATTGGCACGCCTAAATGGTAAACGTCTCTCTTAGAATCACGTTACGCCAAGAACGCCTGTTCTGTATTATCATTTCATTTTAATATTGTCCCTAATTTGTTTCAGGATTATGTAACATTACCTTCCTATACCTTCACCATACTTTACTGTTCCAAAAATGATCGTGCCTGCTAGGGCGTAAAAGAAAACAAGAAGAAACATGCCGAATATAATGAAGAAACTTTTGCAAACGGACACTCCGACTGTCAACATTAACATTTTAAGGGTTGTATGTTTGCCGGTGATGGTGAAGAATCTAAGGATCACGACCATGAAGCCGATTACGTACGACAAATCGTTCTGTAAGAAATCACTCCTGTCATTATATCTGTTTGTTAAAATTTTATATAATTCATGAAACGTTGAACTAATCATGAATTAATCATTACCGACATACCTTCATTGTACAATGAATGACGATCCAAATAACACCGACGACTGTCACGAGCAAATCATATCTGTTTCTTCTGGACTGCCAATAGCCACGTGGTGTAAAAGCAATATTTTTCATGATCACTTCCACGAGGAAGATCAGTGTCAGAATCGTGGACACCGTAGCGAGTGCTTCCGTGTGTTCTTCCTCGATTCTCCACTTAGGAAAAATGGAAAAAAAAATAAATATGTCGTTAACGCAAAAAACGTGTCGGTTTACTTTTACCACGGTCTAATGGTAGCCGGCAAGGAACAAATGATTCAAAGTAACAGCCATTAAAATCCTTTTCTTCTTAAATGGTACTTTTGTATCATGATTTTGTTAAATGTTTTTAACGGTGTATGTTTTGTTTTGTTGTGTTGTGTGTTGTCGTTATTACTGCTACGGGGGAAAGAAAATGAAAAATATCCAACTCACGGAGACACACAGAAGAGCACTGTTTATGATTACCATAATCGCAATGAATCTTTTAAAACAGATATTCTGAGTGATGTCATAGATAAAGGCTCTGAATTTCTTCCCATCTGGTCTGGGCGGTAAGTGCAACGGTTGTGCGATTTTCAATCGCTTCTTTAAATCGCACCTATTCAAGCAACAACGTACATTCGTTTATATGTTATTCGGAATAACTGAACTGTTAATTAATTGACTGAAATTTTACCATCGTCTTTGATCGACTGTGAGTAACGCGGTTCCTTTATTTTCAGAATAATTGGCAATAACGACACCAACGAACAGAGTCAGACCAATCATACAACCCAAAAAGATATAGATGTGTATATAAATAGCGTGGACCTAAAAAATCATTGTAAGTATCATCTGCATTCTTATGGTTTTGTAAATGACTTACGGGTCCAAGAGCTTTGATAAGAACATCTCTAACGTCTAACCACCCTTTAAATGAGAGTACTTCAAAAAGTGTCATCAGCGCATGACCGATATTGTCGAAATTAAACCGTCTAGGATTGGCCCTAAAATATATCACAATATACTTAAGAATCTCATTACCCTGAGATGGGCTTGGACCGAATATCTTTAATTTGACATGCCTACCAAACACGTGGCACCAATATCGATGGATAACTCTCGTTTTGGCCTGGTCGCAATTTCATTTTCGTCACGAATACTCTTCGCATGAACACACCAACGCAATCCTCCCGTTTCAAGATGGTCGGATCGTTACATCGAGCTAATCTACCCCCATAAAGCTGTACACCGTAACTCGCAAATATGAACATCAATAGGATCAATAGAGTAGACACCTAAAAAAGCTTCTTGTTCAGTTTTTGTCGATACTACTCCTCGCAACGGATGTTAATCATTGCAAATTAGGGGGCTGTCGATTCAACGAATAACAGAGCCGAACAATTGATTTTAAATAAGAATTATTTACCAGTAAGATCTCTTTGAAACCCCTACATAATTCGTAAACGACTTTTCTCATGTGCGGCACAAGAGTAAAGATCCTCAGTGGTCTGACGCATCGTAAGATCATGAGAAGTTGGGCGCCAGAATTCGCGGGTACGCTTTTCGGCATCCAACAAAGGAACACAAGACTGACCTGAACGATCGCCGTTATATTAATATAAAAAAATGTTTCAGAAGCTGAACAAGAAAAAGAGTTTATTGGGCGTGAACGTACGACATAAATAAAAACGTCCAGAACAGAGGCGACGTCTTTGATGTAGGCCTTTGGTGTGAAAAATAATCCGTCCGCCAGAATCTTGAGCGCTAATTCGATACTCATGAAGATAACGAAACCGTACTCGGCGATTTGCAATGCGGGAACTTCCATGACGCGATACCGTGGCGTCTCGAACATCATAGAGATGCAAGACATCGTGGTAGCAAAGATCATTACCCAGTCCAGGTACGTGACCAAGCCAAGGAAGTTACTAAAAAGCGTGTGTGATTATTGGCGATTGTCAGGTTCTTCTACGAACTTCAAGCAACAATCTACTGCGTGTCATGAAAGAGCAGCCATGTTAAATAGGGGCACTTACTGCAGGCTTTTATACTGAACTTTTCTCTCTTTTCCAGTTAACGGATCTTTCACGTTCGTGTCGTACCGCGCGTAAACGAGCGATTGGCAAATTTTGCGAAATTTACTCTCGCGCGGTACCGCGAACAGCGGAGTATCGAAGAACGGGTGATTTTCACGCAAATCCTCCTCGCGTTGGTTTCTACAGGGGTGCAATGTGGTAAGCGTTCAATCTTAAAGGTGTGTAAAGTGTTAAAAACTATAAGAAGGTGCATAATTCCCTTACTGTACCTTCGCATCTCTGCCTGTTGCCTTTTAGCTTGTAGCAATTTAATGTCCAAATCATGCGGTCTACTGCGCGAAGAACTAACTCTGTTTATACCTCCGATATCACCGTTCTCCATCAGATGCTCGTAGGTTTGCCTTAGCTTGATCGATCCACTACGGACACTTCTTCTGGTCGATCTGTGACAGTAACGTAAGTATAAGGATCACGTGATCGAATTATTTTTAATTAGTCTTACTTTTTTTGTTCGATGCGCAATTGTTTCGCACTGTTTACAGTACCCTGAGGCTTCAAAAGGCCCTTACCCGGTACTGGTATCATAGCTGAATCACCTAATAACAGCCTCTGATTGTTGGAGTCACTGAAGAATTAGATTTTTTTATTAAATGTTTCCGTAAACAGAGGTTTACCATATTTACCATATTATTTAAGTATGTACAGATACAGGATAGAAAAGTTTACGATTATTGAATCTTATACTTACTCTATAATGTAACTAACAGCCGCTTTTTTAAGATTAATGACAACATTCCTTACTTTCGGTGGATTATTTAAAATCTTTACCGGGCGTTGTTTTCTGTATACCATTTTTGAATCAAAAGTTTCGTTTACTTTCTTCGCCCCTTCGTTCTCTTCGTTTTCCATTTCGAATACAAACTGTCGCATGAAGCTTTCGCGTACCTGAATTAGAACACATCAAGTATCAAGTATACGTATGCACTTGTGCTGTTTTATTTATGATAAATGTATGTGATACGTACTTTTGGAAGACTGAAATCTGACGGAACTTTATGTAAGCACGTCATTTGAGGACTATCGGGAAACTTTTCAAAAATTCTTAATCTGAATGGTAGGGTTTCTTTAATCTCTGCACTTTGTTCGCGAAACTTTAATTGCTTTAGCTTCTTGATATCTTCGTCCAGTTCAAGATTATCCAAAATTACAGCGACGAATAAACTTAACACAATCTTTAAAAATCCAGTTGAGTGAGTATATAGCCGATATGTAATTAAATAATCGTAAAAATATGTACGTATACTATTTACCAATGTGACAAATAAGTGGTATAAAATGAAGTACACGGCAACGAAAGGACCCATTGTCTCGTGTGTTCTGAGCATCGTTTCGTCCATTACATCGACCCAGGCTTCTTGCGTTAGGATTTGAAACATAGACATGAATGCCTGAAAGATTTTTTATCAATCATCCGTACAGAAAACATGTCTGATTTAATACGTTACCTCTGGGAACGTCTCGAATTTCGTGAAGTCACGGAGAAAACAAAAAAGCTGCATAGAAATACTAGACGATATAACAAGTAGGCACATTGTAAAAATTATAAGGCTGCCCAATTTCTTTCCAGGTCCAAATATTTTATACACGAAATCTTCCAACATCGGCGATGCTTTGATGAGCCTGACCACCCTAAGCACCTAATACCGAAATAATATTGTATCAATTTCAGACTGTACCTACGTTAACTTTTAACTTTTGTTCTTGTTGTTTTTCCTTTTCTGTAATCGTATACTTATTGTGTTTCAGAACCGAATGAAAATGAATGTAGAAACCTGAAAATATGTGAATCCAGAAGGATAGAAGAACGGAATGATGTGTATGGTTGTACCAATTGCCAGCAGCAACTCGAATTTGTGAATCGAATGCTTGTAATAACTTCGGAATCCCAGGCACCAAATTTTGAACAGCGTTTCCAGATTCAAGAATGTCGTGAACGCAATCTCGGCATAGTAATAGTTGTGGTAGTAGGTGTGCCTTGGCTTTTCGTCGTGCTTGAAGCTCATTGTCGCGGTAGTGATGCCGTTCGCCAGAATCGCGCACATCACTACCATCCGAAAATGAGGAGATCTCAGAATAGCGTGGCATACAGGAGAAGCTAGTCCGCCGTGCTTGTTTTCATCCAGCGTCACCAATTTCCAGCCGTTGTCGTCGCCGGTCAATATCTACAAAGTTAACCGCACATTCTCATCACTTGTATTAAACATTAATATTTTCATTTACAATGTGCACTTTGTATATCGTTGTAGGACTGACTTGTGACGCTGTACTGTTACTGATGTGCCCCCTGACGCCCCACATCTGTTGGAACTGTACTCGTATCTCGTTAAACGTTTCCGTGATAACTGCGATGAAAACGTTTTTCACAAGCCAGGCTAAAAAAAATATCATTGTACTGAAGTATAGAACTGCTCGCCAAGCGGGTAGACTGTCGATTGCACGGTACATAATAAAAACCCATCCTTCTTGCGATGCAGCTTGATAAACAGTAAAAATACTCGTAGCTGAAAAATAGTAAAACATCTATGTAATTTATCTCGTCGATCACGAGACTTGTTTAAACGTTAACACAAGATCGTACCAAATTCATCGAAACCGTTGAAACCCATTATATACTTTGATAACTCGAGCTTCATGCAGGTCATCCCTTCTGGACATTGATATCCTGATTCAGGATCGGTCGAGCAAAAGGTGTCAGGAATCGCTAAACTGTTTATCGTAATGTGCTTTGGGTCGGTGGTATTGAGAACGCAATGATTTTTCAGTTCGCCAAAAAATTGTACGCCCAAAAGACCGTAGAGGGACATGAAGAAAAGGAAGAAAAGCGTCACGTTGTATATCTGTTGGCTCGAGCGTCTGAAAAAGTGAATGTGCAAGCGTAGAAAATATTAAATTGAAAATTTAACGCGAATTATCTTTTACTTACTTGAAAATTAGATTGATTCTAGCTTTCGGCATGGAAAACTTAAGGAAGACTCTTAGGAAGCGTATCATAATTAAAGGTCGTGGTGCCCGTAATATCGAATAGTAACTAAACTTTAAAACAAAAGCCAGCATTTCAAACATTTGTAAAATTACGGACAACCAGAGGAAGACCACCATGCTCCCATCGAATTGGCACCAATGATCTTTCAAGTAAGATTTGTCCCTCTGCAACATATTTCTCGTTCGATATTATCTTTTCAAAAGTATATCGTAAAAATTTTAGAAAGTCTGGTGGTTACCTTCAGTATACCTCTAATATGCATCTTAGCCATCATTTCAGCAGTAAATAAAAACGTAACAACTAAATCGCAAATAAATGTAACGTACTGAAGGGGTGGAACTTTTTCAAATGTCTTTGGAGTGTTCGAACAGACTGATGCTAAAGATACCAGGGCGCAGAACCTCATCAACCTTCTAACCCATAACTGAAACGGTTAGATAATTGTTATTAAAAATTAAATCACAAAAAGTGTTAAACTAAAATTAATTATTTTAACTAGATTACCTTATTCACCCACTCTATGTCAGCGCTCTCATTGAGGGACTCCTCTGGCCCATAATCGGCCAAGACGGGTTCCCCCTTGAGGCTCTGCTTGCGCCCCAGCATCATAATAGGTATTATGTTCGCAATGGTGAGGCCTGTAATTTAAAATATTTATTTAAATTAAAAAATCCGCGACTAACAAATGTTCGCGTATGCAATAATCTTTTCCACGGTATTAATAACATTGTCAAAACAATTGTATTATTGTCACAAAGTGGTTGGCAAAGTATCGTTGAATCAACACGTTCAAAAATTTACAAAATGTTTTACCGAACCAAGCGTGTACAATGATCGATTCTGTAAACTTTTAAAAAATATAAATAAGTATATGTGTTAAATTACGAAGCAACATCGAAACACTTGTAAGTAGTTATGTCTGTAAAAGTAATTTAATCGACCACATTGACCTACCTTTTGTTTAACAGTTGGCCAACGAGAAAGATTACCTTTACGGCAATTCATATAGACTACATCTCAGTATAAAACAACGATAGAGCTTAACGTGTGATAAACATTTTAGTGCTAACAACAAGCTGGTGGCATGGCGGTGAACATTTTTCGATCGAGCTCCGAGCTTTACAGCGATAGTGAAAGCACTGTGAGCATGAGCAGTTGCAGCTTCGTTCCGAACAAATCAATATTTCAAATCCCCGAAGAAACGCGCGTTGTTCGACGCAGCCCCGAAATGGCAAAGTTTTTTTTTATTTACAATTACTTAAAAACGCATCGTTTACAATCTCTCGTTTAAAATTTTTCTTCAGCGGTATATATATTATGTACTTATGTCGCTAAGTAAGGTACGAATAAAACATGTATATAGTTAATATTTTTATTCCAAAAGAATTTTACATAATACCATAGTAAAATGCATTATAGATATATTATGTAAAAAAAATAATGTAGTAAAATGAATGTGGCACAAATGCTTATCGATTTGTAGCAAAGTCGGGCAAGTTCTATTCGGGAGTAACAAATTAAAATCTAAGGGTAATTCGTTAATTCGTTCATAAATTACAAATTTTTTTAAACGTTATTCGTGAATAAAATTTGCCCAATTTTGACTTATAGTCAATACTTATTATTTCTATATAATATTATTGTTAATGCTATTAGAGTCAAGAAGATTCATTCATGGACTTGTCTGCTGAGGCCAGCATTTTTGAAAATTCCGAGTTTGAATTGGACAGGAGTATAGACGGTGCGTCAAATTCAATTATTTGGCCTCTCTTCATAACGATAATGCGATCGCAAGAAACAACAGTCTTTAAACGGTGAGCTATCGTTAATACAGTACAATTTGAAAACTCGTTTTGTATTGTACTTTGTACAGCGACTTCAGTTTCAGGATCAACAGCGGCTGTTGCCTCGTCCAACACCATTACCTATAATTTGATTTAATAAATTATGAAATCAAATTGTCATCCAACACGATGATGATTAACAAACAAAATAAATGCATATCATACTTTGGTATTGCGTAAAAGGGCTCTTGTCAAACAAAGCAACTGCCTTTCACCGATGCTCAAGTTGTTTCCTCCAACTTCCACAAACGCATCCAATTGTCCCGTCATAAGTATTACCTTTTCTTTCAATTGAGTTTTCTCTAAAACACTCCAGAGTTCAAAGTCACTATGTTCTTTAAACGGGTCCAAATTTGATCTGCAATAAATATAATTACATATGTTAAATAGAATCTTTAGACAATTTCAGAATGACATCTTTAACCCTTTAGATATACTTACCTTATGGTTCCGCTAAATAACACAGGATCTTGAGGAATTATAGATAATTTACTTCTAAGTAAGTCCAAATTTATTTTAGTTATATTTACACCATCGATTTTAATCCTTCCGGCGCATATGTCGACTAATCGGAATAAGGCAACAATGAGAGAACTCTTCCCAGCTCCTGTTCTTCCCACAATACCTAAAATTCATTTAATTGTCAAAGCAAAGACTCGCCCGCTTTCTAGTATAAAAGAATCTCCAGGGAAATTCAACATAAAATTGTTAAAATAGAAGGTTCAGCCTTTAAAGTAACACTAGGAAAAATACATTTTAAGTTACGCTTACCAATATGTTCTCCAGCTTTAATAGTAAATGAAATATTATTTAATACAAGCGGTAGGTCTTTTCTATATCTCAATTGAACTTTATGAAATTCCAAATTTCCTTGAGTCGGCCACTCGTTTGGAGGTTCATCAGCGGCTTTATCGAAAGTATTTTCCTTTTGTAACGTCTGCGTCACAGTTATTTATCATTTAATTCGAAAACTTTACAGTTTCGTTGTAACATAAAACACACATTTGCTTACCCTTAAATAATAACTTATTCTTTCAACACTTATAAAGCGTGTTTCTGTTTCTGCCATTAATCTTACAGTGTACTGGAAGACACCCGTCATTTGCATGGAGTATGCCATTGCTAGGCCAGCAAGGGCTGGAGATAATTGATTTCTGAGCGCTATCACAAGAAATGCAGTGATCGAAGCAGAAGCGATTGCCAAACTGTCGAGTCTCGAGGCGGACCATCTCATGGCTGATTGACACAGGTAAAGACACAAATTGTTTAAATCAAACAGCTCTTCGAATCTGAAACATAAAAGCTCCATTACCTGATCTTTGTCGTCGATGATCAATGCGATGAAAGACGACTGTAACGTATATGCAATTTTAAGGAACATACTTGTTTATAAATGCTTCTTCCTTCTGAAATGCATGAATCGTATTCAAACCGTGTACAGTGGTTGTAACAAAACTTAAAACGGGTGATCTCGAGACACTTTCCATTCGTTTAAGATCCCTCATTGCTACTCTAAAAAATGTTTACTTTTCATATATTTGAAACGAAATATATTATGCGATATCGTTCTAGAAATTTATCATCCTTACCGGAACACTTTACTTATATAGAAAAAGACGGCGCCAAGAATAATTAACGGTAAACTGAACCATGGTAGTATCGAGCATATGAAAATAATTGCAAAGCTACAAGTAAAGATATTCTGCACCATGTTCTCTATAGAAATCGGTATGTAATGATCAACTGTAACAGGAAGAATAACAAACGAGCATGTGAAATTATTGTTACGTTTAACAGTATTTACAGTATTATTTTTACATTTAAAGTACTTGTACCTTCGTCTATGTCTCGACTAAATATATTTTGTATTCTTCCACTGGGAGTAGTTTCAAAGAAAGTTAACGAGGATTCGATCATTTTTTTAAATACTTTATTGTGCAATGTGGTCGATGCTGTTATCGTAGTATATGTTATAACTAAACCACGCAACAGACTCGTGAACAAAATTGCTCCAATGCAAGCACCATAAATGTTTTGATAATAGGCGAAGTCAGGGTTATCGTTCAAATTGTCCGATGCTATAGTTTCATTAGTTTCCGGATCGATAATGTTCTTAAAAAGAAAGGATAAATATGAAATAGAAATGTATTAAAAAAAGGAAAAAACAATAATGTATGTGGACGTATAAAAATATGAAAGATATTTACTCCACCGCCAGCTTTGATCCACGTTGCTAGCCACCAAGTACTAAATACAGAGCTCCCAACGCTTAAGAAAAGTGTAGAGAATGCTAAGACAGCCACGCAATAACCACCTGCAGCTTTTATATATGTACGATAAGTATGCGATTTCAAAGAACCCGTTTCCACCTTTTCTTCTGTAGTTAGAGATGCTCCTAAACGATTTAGATTTAATATTTTTAAATTCATAATAGGATAAATAATTAACGCGTACCTTTTTTAAGTGTTTTCTGCGATGCCTCTACGTTCTCGTAATTGTTATCAGAATTAGATCCTACGATTTGCGTTTTCAAATGGTTTCCAAAATTCTTACTTTCTATGTCAGTAATTGTTGTGGACTTTCTACCGAATAAACTCAAGTTAAGTTAATCGACATTCTTCAAACCGCAAACTTGACGGTCAGAAAATATAATTTGCACAACACATACTCTTTCGTGTTATCTTCCGTTTCGAATAACGCATTGTTCACCATCGCGGCATATTCTTTCTTCAACTGCATGAGTTCATTGTGCGTACCTTGTTCCACGATGCTACCATTGTTCATTACAAAGATTTCATCGCAATGCTTCAAAAACTGTAATCGATAAAGGATAATTGTTATTAGTTATCCATGGTTCAGAGTACACAACTATTTAAAACTTACTTGGACTTGATGCGTTACGAAAAGAACACATTTGTCTTTGAGCGCGCCGAGAATTAAATTCTTAAAAATATAAGATCCCACATGAACGTCTACCGCGCTTAATGGATCATCCAAAACATAAATATCTCTTAAATAAGAAAAAACCAACAGTGAGTGTTTTTTAAATATATAATTCTTTCCATTCGGGTATAATGAAATAGTCACCTGTTGGCGTAAACTGCTCTTGCAAGAGCAATTCTTTGCTTCTGTCCCCCAGAAAGGTTTATACCTCTTTCACCAATTTCAGTTTCATCTCCACCCGGTAGCATGTTTATGTCCTCTTTTAAATTACAAACCGTCAATGCTTGATAGTATCGTTTAGCGTCAAACTGGTTTCCAAATAATATATTTTCTTTAAGGGTTGCATTAACGATCCATGCCTGCTGACTAACATAAGCGCATGAACCTTCTCTCAGAACGTGTCCACGAGTAAGTTTCAATTGTCCTAAAGCAGCAAGCAGCAGACTAGTCTTTCCGCTTCCTACTTGACCACAAATACCTATCAGTGCATTTTTTGCTGCTCCAAATTTAATATCTGTAAGTACTTTCACATATTGGATTTCGTTAGAAGGTGCATTCAGTTTCTCCAATTCAACTTTCTCCCTCTGGTTAAATGAGATTTTTCTAGAAATGTTAACATTTTAACGAAACGATCGATAGTAGAATGATAGTAGAATTTTAATAACAGAGAAACTCACTTCTTCTTATTGATATTTTTTGATTCATTAGTGCATGAGGTGGAATTTTCATAAACGAATGTACCATTAGTGATAGCTATGGCTTCTGATTTCACAATTGGTTTCGATAAATGGCATGTATATTCTTCTAATAGCAATACACTCTGCACAAATATCGCTGATTGTTAAAGGTGTACAAAAAAATACAGTGGTATAAAACTAATATGTCATTTAAATAAAAGCATTCTCCAAAAACAAATTTTAAACAGAGTTTCTTATAAGCAAGCATTATATTTAACGTTTAATATGTTGATTTTATAATTGGTGCAGCATAAATTTATATTAATTTGTTTAACATGCAAAGCGAGTTCCACATGCGATATGGGACACCCTGTTTGAATGAACATTAAATAATTGCACAATCATCAAAGCGGCACAATTAAAATGAATTAATTTGCAAAGCTAATGTACAATAAAAGCAAATTTAAGCTTTACAAATTAGGTCGTCAACTTCTTATTCATAGAACTAAATCCATAAGAATTATATAACCAATGCAACTATTATATGTGCAATATAGTGTCATATAAAATTATTCTATAGTTATGTTATTATGGTTAGTAAATATTAACAAATATAGGCAAAAATAAACACCTGCAATCTGTTGAATACTATGTTTGATTCAGCAATGTTAACTAAGGCCACTTGTAAAAACATGAAAGAAGAACGAAATTGAGTATTGAGTAATGATACGAAGGGAAATACCTGCAAAAGTAATATATCATAGTTTAAAACGACAATGTAAATCACTAACTGTTAATGTATGAAACACAAAGGTTCTCTGAACATAGTGCTGTACATATTAATACAAGGGAAAGGATTAAGAGAGAAAGCAATTATTTTATACTGATTTCCATGACATGCAGCACTTTCCCCTTTACACCTGCAACTGTGATTAGAAGCTCTTACTATTACATTAAACTCCCCTTAAAAAGTTAGGTATATATTATTAATAAAAACAACTCTTGTGCAAGTCGTGTTACTTTTTTCCAGCGATTTTATAACACTTCGATTAAGAAGAGTTTTAATGCACGATACACGAGAATAATAGATACAAAAATCCACCCTCTAAGTTGCAAATTAAATCATAACTTGAATATAAATTTTGAAACCTTGAATCTTTTAAGAGCAATACGAGCGTCGATAAAATATCGTGTAGAGTCCTTAATCGAGACGAGTGCCTGTCTCAGCATATTTCCAAAAAATGTTGCAAGTGGGAAAGCCTGCAATATATATATATATATATATATATTCATTTAAGTACTTCTCTTAATCGTGCGAACTAACTACTCATGTGAATTATGCCAAGGAGCAGTTGGCAGTTTTCACATAGATTCTCACGATTACCTATAGTACTTAAACGATTAAACATCTTGTAGGGAGTAAAGCTCCTAGCGATTTAAATATTGTTTGTGCATTTTCTAAATTTCCTTTAACTTGTAGTTAACTTGTTCGAAATTAATTATTCTAGTATTTTTCCAAAACGATTTTAAACAACTGGTTATATCAAACTGTTCATATTTCATGATAAAGTTGAATTTTTTAATTGAACTATAACAATGTAATTATAAATTCCTCAGTTTTTAAAGATTTATGTATACCTGAGCTGCAGTCAAACTACTGCCTGTAGATAAATGAGCTAAAAATGTAACAATTGCTGATATTACAGGTATAGCTGACGTTAAAGAAATAGCAAAACTTTGAAAGTATACAATCTTATGTAACCAGTGCTCTTCCTTCCTTCGTATATCTGAAAGATAATGATGATAACACGTTAAAGGATTATGAAAATCAACAATAGTATTTGTCAGATGTTTCTAAAAAATACCAAGCATACCAAGAAGTTTATGACTAAAGTATTTCTCCCATGAACACATCTTAATTAATTTTATACATTCTAAAATTTCGTTCGTCAGATTCACTCGTTTGTCTGTAATGACAACCGTCTTGGAACGAAAATATCCGACTATGCGAGAAATAAGATACTATCGAAATAAACATACATTTATAGCGTTATAATAGTGTAGTTTTAGACACAGGAAAATTGGTATAAAAATTTGTTACTCACCTGACAAGGATAAAATATAAGAAAAACGAATATTCCGAGAATGGCTAATGGACTGAATATCCATAATATATAAATTATGCCGCAGGTAATGATTATTGGACCACTAATTATCATAGGTCCATAAATGATTACATCGAAGAGCCTCTGACTATCGTTAGTAAATAAATTAGTTAACTAAAATTATGAAAAATGACAGATAATAAATCAGAGTAAAAGGAATTCTTAATTATATTCATATAACGAACGAATGAATCTTACTTCTCCTGAACTTTTATTTCCAAGGTTATTTAATCTCATGATTTTCTTGTACAAAAGAGTAGTACAAGCAGACTTTAATCTTAACGCTGTTCTAATATTTGTATTCCAAGTCCATGTAAAAAATAGCATTCTTAAGAAATCACAGCATGTTAGCAATACTGCCCATTTTATGCCAACCCACGTATCCTCTTCCGGCGATTGAACACGTTCCAATACCTTTTTCATTAATATCATCTAAAACAAAAACATTTAATCAAGTAAATCGTGAGAATAATGTCAACTTTTACACGATACGAAGAGTCTAACGATTTAGATAAAAACAGATGTCATACAGGACTTATAAATCCGCAAATCGTAGAACATATCAGTAAGAACCAAGCTATGCATATCCTCGTTCGAACAAATCGCCAGGCAACGATTGCAAGTGACGCTGAATGCGGGCCACGTTTATTTAACTCCTCTTGCCAAAGTACCTCTAATCTAATCATGAAATTGTAATTTGAATCGTATCTTTCTATTGCCAGTTACATTAACATAATATGCTTACCTCTGTGCATTGTATTTGCAAGACTCATAAGACGAAATACGTGGTATATCTTGTATGGTAATACCCTTCTTGTATGCTCTCCATACATATGGCGTTATCCAAGTATAAAAAATGTAGGAAAATAATCCAGCACTGTCCGCTGGCATACTTTCTTTATTCCTAAAATATGCAATAAACAGATTCTTTAGAAACAACTTTTTAAAATATAGATTCATTCCATACGTACTGTTCCTCATGACGTATTGGTATAAGATTTCTTAGAGCTGGATTATATCGACTTATGTTAGACCTGCGAATATATTCTACTGCTATTTTTGGTGAACGTGAATTTGCACTAGGAAGTAGAAAATGCTGTCCTTGATCAGAATCATTGTATCTGAAAAAGTATTGATTTCTTATACACATTCAAGAAATATAAAAGCTATCGTCTTGTACCTTTCTCTATTGATATTTTGGATCTCGTTATCCTCACTTTGTTCATTAATAACAACATTATCCTCAGTCTTGTCTTCCATGACTATGTCCTGGTACTGTAATAAATAGAGTTTGAAATAGCATTAAGTAATGCAATACAATTAAATTACAAACTAATAAATTTATAATCGTATCCACGCGTGATTATCGTTACAATAAACGTGCTGTTATTAGCTTTCGAAAAATAAAAATAAAAATCGTGTTGTACATTCGTTTCTTCTATACAGTTACTACCTTTATTGCCGTTGACGCTTAAACCAGAGGGGAAAACATTAATTCGATCAATTCAAGACGTTCCGTGAACAACACACGCTTCAATTCGCTCGACGCACGTAATGAATATTATTCGTGTCGGATCTCTGATAAAGAAATCTAATCTTTTCTAATCAACGATAGGAACGCGGTAAAACCAAACAAATATATATTACGTACATTTCAAATGTCCGCCTTGTACGGCCTGCTCATTGTGAATTAAAAAATTCATTAAACGCACACGACGCGGCCGTAAATTAACCTGATTCTGTTGACAATATTGAGATTTCTTAACGCAGCGGCGAGAGACGGTGCCTTCGGTTCCATGTTTTCGAGAATTTGTCTTCCAGAAACAACCGAGTAATGTAAAAATATCGACATTACTTTTATTAAAAGTACGCGGTTGTGTGTAACTGTCAACGATTGACACTTCTCATAACAGCATTTAAATCTTTCAGGATAATAAAGTTAATTTTTATACTAACGAACAATGTAATCGTTCTCGTATAAAAATTGATGCATAAACAATAAATTTACTTACGTTTTACGTTAAAAGTATAGATTTTGATTCTGAACTGTGTCCTGTCATACAGAGCCTGATCCTCACGCGAACTCGAATTACATTACTTTTGATGTCAATAATCTCCATTTACATCGAGGGTACCCGACTCCTTTCTTTATGCGTATGTTCTCTTAAATTGCTCAGCTTTAGGCTAGTTACTTACTCACGCACACGAGTTCAAATTCAAACGACGCTGAGATTGCCTGAGACGTTGTCAAGGAAGGTAGACCTTCTATTCGGTTACTTTTGTTCGTATCGGGAACAATAGTGAGAACAACGAGATCGAACGAAGCAATTAAATGTTTTTTTCTAAAAGACAGTTCCGAAACGTCAATAATTGCTTTTGATGACACATAGTTTTGACAAAAATATTAGTCGCATACAATGATCCACAAAACTTTTTGACGTATGATTTAATTACAAGTAGTTCCACAAATGTATATTATTTAAATTTGTCACAAGTCTTGATATACAAAAACCTAACAAGTGTAGCCTCATCATTGTGAAACTTGTCATAAAGAGCTTAGACTCACTCAAACTCGTCATTGTACGATAAGGGGTTAATAACATTTTTATATTAAGAATCTACATATATGTATGTATGAGCAACATTTGCAGACGGGAAACGCATACATATATGAGTTCATCGGCCACATTGATAATTCCACGCTGTGCATATACATACATATACATATGTACATAGATACGTACTTACATACGTCGATCGTCCGCAAAGGATTAATTCGTATTTACAGGACGTTCTTTCGAAATGTAATTACACGGTTAAAGCACAATTCTTAATCTTTTTTCTTTATGTAAATAAAACATTTATTATATGGAATATATGTATATGTATACTGGTCCATGAAAGTCTTCGTTCAATTAATAATAATACGAATTTATATTAATATTTCATTTCATGGGAGGGTAACTCTTCGCATGAATTATAATGTCTATTATTAGCTATGATCGTAGATAACGCCAATGCTCGATCAATGACAAGTTTCAAGTAATAGTGGGGATAACCACGGAACATTATGCGAGACGACATTACTGTACTCTGTATAGTGTAGCATACTGAATATCTGTGATAAATATTTCTTTGTTTGCATTTGTCTTCCAAGGTGTCCAATTTAGTATGTGTAAATGACGTGTAAATAAATTTAGTTAGGGTCAATGGGTATATGTATATCACAATAAGAGACCTTTAATTATGAAGATAGTATTTATTGTTATATTTTATAAAACACAGGTCACATCAAACATACACCATTCCTATTAATTTCATATACAAGATAATTTCTAAGAATACATTTAATCTTTTGCAAACAGGTTTCTCTCTCGTACAAAATATAAGGTCCTAAACGAATACAGGTATTCCCACATTGTTTACAACATTTATTTTCACAATAAAAGATAACGGAGCATTTTATCTTCTGTTAACTTGTACACAGTGAAATATTACATGCATTTTGAAGTAAATATTCTTAAAGGGACTTGTAAAGCTAAAACCGTTACAAGTAAAATTGACTCGTTCGAAAGCAGATATATCTTTTGTAAATGCCAAGAATGGAATAACGTACAACAGGATTTTAATACATGCTGAATAAATTTTCCAACTATTCTCCTTCGTGGGTCTTGTATGCCATTAAAACGAGATACAAAGTTCTCGTTATGTTTTTCAGACGAATCGTATTTGATAAGGTTAACGTAAACTATGTAAATATAACTGTGAATTATTATTCAGATAAATATATTACAGTATGAAATAATTGCCGATGATAGTTTGCATTCGATATAAACTATATTCTGCACGAATGCAAACGTATTATTCCTAACTCTGCCAATAACTTGTTGTCGAAGCTTTTATTAGATAATTTATAAATATTCTTACTTTATGATATCATTAGAATTTGGAACACTTTTTGTGAGGTTTTTAATGAAACAGCGGATATACAATGCATCGAAACGATGAAACAGAAAGAAAAAAAAATATCAAATGATTTTCCTAACTTAGATCTTTATACGGTAAAACGAAATTAAACTAATAAATTTATATAAAGTGTCTTTTACGAAACGATCTATACTTATAATAACTGAAACGCATGTAATTTAACATTCAATGTTTTCGTAAAAATAAAATGAAAATGAAAGAAAGACGAAGTAAAACATAATAATGAATTCTGGCCAATCGAACTTATCTTCTAAATATAATTAACTAATCAATGTCCACTGATAATACTTCAGCGTTATTAGACCCGAAACATAAGTTTTTACGTTTTGTTTACGATTAATATGTGTATGTACTTCATAAAACGTAGTGAAATAGTATTAATCAGTTTCTAATTAAACGCAACACAGAAACCAAGTTTCATTGTGACGATATTAATTCAGTGTGATAAAAGTTTGATTTACGAAACATTTTATCGTCGATAGCGTAAGAAACGCGACATCCGACCTCAAAAACTATTATAATTATTCCCTCCTAGCTGAGAGCTGAAACCTCTGTTTGGAGAGTAGCCGGGCCTGAAGTTATTACCCAAACCTAGTAATACAGAAGACCTCGATATTTATCAAAGCGTAGAAACTGGGATAAATAAATAATAAGATACTTAAAAATAGAAACATACCTCCGCAGAAATTTCCAATACCACCCAATGACATTCCACTCGATCCACCAGTTGAATTTAGGAATAATTCAATGTATCTGTGAGACATGTGACTCTTATCCTATAATACAAGATTGCAACAATAAAACAAACAGTTTGATGGATAAGAATCTGTGTAACGATTACATTAACATCTAATGAACAAACCTTTGACATAGCTTTAACAGCCTCCTCGTGAGATGTAAATTCTACGTCTGCTTCTCCAGAAGGACGACCTCCATTTTCGAGAATAATTCTAACATTCAATGGCTCGATAGGTCTGAAGAACTACAATCAAATAATAAAACTTATTATAGTAATATTAGGAAACAATTTTTCTGCTCCAATAATGGCTTAGATAAAAATTGTAATAAATTCATTAGTTTTGTTTAAAGACTTACATCGGCTATATCTTGTTCTGTAGCTTTGAATGGTAAACCACGCATATGTATACTGTGAATGCCAGAATTACCACCCCATGTGTCACCGCTTCCTCGAAAGTTTCCACCTTTCATGTCTAGCCCACCTCGCATACCCATGCTACCGCCACGGGAATCAAAATTGTTACCACTTCCCCAGGGGCCACCATCAAAATCTATACATGTATTAAATAATAATATATAATACAAGATTTCCCACTTTAGTTTCCCCTTTCTTGCGATGTAGGAAGATGATAAATATATTACCTCTGTTTCTGGAACCTCTGCCGTTATTACTAAAACGGTTCATTCCACCGAAACGGGCACCTCGATCATAGGGAGCCGGTCTTTGATTAAAGCCACCCATTGGACCGCCTCGCATTTTTGGTCCGATGCTAGTGTGCACTTCGGATAAACTGCTTCGGAAGATTTCGATGTATCTGTCAAGATTGGTAATAAATCATTCGAATTTATATATCAACATTACCGCCGTTCATATTCGGCTGCCTTCCAATAGGGAAAGTTCGATACAAAAATATCAATGATCACAAGTTTGGATTGTTTGTACGAAGAGAGAAAGAGAGAGAGAGAGAGAGAGAGAGAAAGAGAGAGAGTGAGAGAGAGATATATAAATGGGAAATACGAATCTGAAATAAAGATTCTGCTCGTAGCAGGAATAAACTTGATTACTGTGTAATTATAAAAAAGAAATGATTCGAAGAAAAAATCCATACTGAAGATTTTGTAACAGATTAACTGTTCATACTACACCTCCACGTATTTATTAAACATCTGTAGATACCCTCCCACGGTGACATTGCATTCTGATGTACTTATGTCACCCTAGCCTGTGAGACGCTGATGATCTTCAGGTATATGACAATTACAATTGCACTTTATGCAATTTAATAAAATATAAACAGATACTTGTATCGAGAGAAGCGATACCATTAAAAGAAACATCAAACTATCATAACAATAAATTATTTCCGTGCAATAACGAGCTGTAACGTTACTAGTGAATTTATTGAAATTGTGCAAAGCCTTTGAGCTTGAAATTATTCTTTTGCATAAAACGTACAATTGTGCAATTGTCAAACAGTTGTGCCAAATTAGATCGATGATTACTACCTCTGTAGCGCCCACCCATCCTGGGTTAGCCCTACCCACCTCCCATGGGATTTGATGACGACGTAAGGGGGTACCTCCCGCCCGGCACCCACCCACAGGTTTCAGTTGGGCCAACAGTACTTTCGCTTACGAACGACTAACTTCCTTTTTGTGTTCAGAGGGAAGCAGTTTCTTTATGCTATCAATTTGTTAAATGCTACTCGAATGTCTTCAAAATATTTATTCTAATGAATGTAAATCAATAAGTAAACGAACATTTAATGATGTAATTCATAGAATATCAATTTTAAGAACAACGTCTCTCGGTTCGTTAAAAATGTAATAAAGAAACTGCATCTGCTTAATAACTTGTTCCCGCTATTTACTAACAAAATTTATATACCTACATGTACTACAATCATAAAATGATATTGAAAAGTCATAAGTATACCCAAACCCAGCTAGCGTCAGTGCCCCACCTGTGTCCTATCTTTTCCTTGTGTTTCTGCAGAGCGCGCTCCGCAACATCTTTGTTAACAAATTGAACGTAAGCCTCCCCAGTACTGCGGCCCGTGTAGTCTGTCGGTAGTGAAATTCCGTTCGGCAATATCTCCAACCCTGACCCACACATAATCAAACATCGACATTGTAACGTAACACCCATTATTAATTAAAGTATCGTCAGTTTATAAAAACCCTTATAAAGAAGCAAGATTTTCAATATCCTTTGCACAATACGTGCAAAATGTCTCGCTCCAATAATGTATTTTCTTTTAACAAATTCAACAAAACTTGTACTGTGCCGAAGTTAAGAATTAAGTACTGCCTTCAAAACACAAAGGTATATTATAAATAAAATATGAAGCACATGTAAATCATAATGGAAGTCTTTCAGTCCAGGGCTAGTAGAACATAGGAACTTTAGCCTTCAATCTTAAATCTTAACTCAGGCTGTTTGATAATTACGAAACAAAGGGACAGTGCTCGAGACGGATATAAAACCAATTTCGGAATTCAAATTTATTAATTACTGAGCCAGTATGTAGGAAATAAATTTTATTATTACACACCTTACACCTTGCACTTGAAAAGAAAGATGTATTTAACGTGGATTTTCTTATTATTATAATTTTACGTACCTATGTTTATACTACAACAAAACGGAAAATAAAATAATGTTAGTTTGTTTTCAGTTACCATGGAATACATGTACACTATATAACCATCAAAAGCATTTGGTCCCTGTGGTTCAAGACTATTCATTTAAATAACAAAAATCATACAAGAGGGATATAATTTGATCGAAAGAATAAGGATATGTTGGTTGTAACAAGGTTTAAGTGAATTTCTAATAATAGATTATAATAAAAAAATAGTTCTACTACAAACTCATGTATGGTGTACAAAATACCTGAAAAGAACTGTGCTATTTCTTCTTTGGAACATCCAAAGGGCAGGCCACGTAGTCTCACACAACCATCGTCCATAGCATTTTCTAGATTAAAACCATTTCTCTTGACTACCCATTTCATTTCACCCCTTTTTGCTTTAAAGACTATAACCAAGTTAGAAAACTCTATTAGTAACATTCTTAAGCATTGTAATACTCACAGTATTTTTAATACATTTGCATTAGCTAGTTATCCAAACATTGTACACGGCTTACCTTCTACGTAACGATGACCCATATGATCTCTATCTCTTTTACAAGCCTTTTGTATATCCTCCGGTGTATCCATTTCTACATAAGCTTCTCCACTAGGACGGCCTTCTCTTGACATGGTCATGTGAACACCAGTTTTACCATTTGAAATAGAGCAATCACCAAAGAATTTCATAATTTCATCAACAGTGGTAGACCATGGAAGACCACGTAATTTGATGACATAGCCATCATCGTCGTTATCTCCGCTACCATTTGACATGACTATAATCTGAAATAAATGCAAATATAGTTCGATACTTTCTTTGAGTTATAAGATACCAGCATAAATGAAAATGAACATTATTCGGTCGTCATTATTTATCATGAATTACGTTTCTTAGAACTACTTCATCACGTGTAATTCAGTTAAATAATATTTCTATTACAAATATGGTTCTTTGAAAGAACACCAGTTCAGAAATCTGAAGGTCATAGGCATACCAAAAAACTTTATAATAAACAGAAGTATGATGACATGTGCCATCCGATTTAATACTATTAAACGTAGACAGTTTAAATACACGAAAGGAAAACGCAAAAATTTTAAAGCATAGTAGGATGAAAATTTCTGGAAAAAAAATGTTTCATTATAGGAGAATTTATAATACCGCTAATATTTTACTAAAGGCTTTCTGCAAATTAAATTTATTTGTTTTTGGAAATTTAAATATACCGCCGATACTTACAGACTTTTCGTATCGGACTACGAAACAGAAGAAATTACAAATTAATTTCAATTGACAGCAAACGGTCGGCCAACACCACGCTCTACAAAACTACCAACAAAATGGCGTCCGTTTCAACGTTACTTAAGGCTGGCTCACAAAATCAACGTGATATTACGTATATCGACGTAAATTTCATTGCATAAAGAATTCTTTGTATTTTACTATGTACAAAAGTCTATATTTTATCCACAGCTACCTTAACGTAATGACGTATTCAATAATAATTGTCTTTACAGTTTTCGATGCCAGAAACTTGAAAGATGTAGATTTGTACCTCAAAATTTACGAATGTACTGGATACCTTAAGTAATTTTAGTTTTTAAGAAATTTAAATACTACGCATTATTAATTATTCAATGAATTACATTATATTCATAAAGTTAGATATTATTGTCAGTAAAATACTTACTTATGTTTTGCGAAGGCGACACTTGCCAATTTTTGTGAAACCGATTTTCCATGCGCATGCGCCTAAATTGACCAATAAGATTTCTAAGTGATGACGTGCTTTGGAAACGAAGCTCTAGTGCGCATGCTCAGCGAGGTTTGCCACAGTAGAAATTCTTATTACGTAACAGTCGCGCGGGCTTCGTTCACGGTGTAAGTACAAGTTATGTCGTAGCTCCGTTATACTTTGTTATATCTGGTGTATTATTTATTAAAATATTAGGTGCAGACAAGTGTGATTATGTCTTTACAAAGAGCATTGAAATACAATTATTCCGTATGTAGTAATAGATTCCGTGCATTTTAGTGCATCGGTGCGACAATTTTTAAATCGCATGTTTGGATCGCGTTGGATAGGTCAACGTCTTGCACCAAAATTGCGGTTTCCGCGATCATCCGATTTAAATCCGCTTGACTTTTTTCTTCGGAGTGCGGTAAAGAAGTTAGTTTATACTATAGTAAAGAGCATAACTGTATCAGTAACCACGAGTTTCTTATAAATCATTTTTTATTGCTATTAGCATTACAGTTTAGAAAAATTAAACATAATAGGAACATTTCGTGCGAATTAAGGTATCATAAATAATTTGTTAAATTTACGAAATTTCTTTTCTTTGCCTCTAATAAGAAATATTCACTGATACAGTTTTGCACCATGTTGTAGCAACAAAGTTAAACTCAGTGTTTCAGATGTAAACATTTACTTATACAATGCCTTATGTAGCAGTGTTTACATGAAGTTTGTGCACAACTTAATACACAATTTACTGTTGATTTTCAAACGAAAAAGTTCTCTTATATAATAAATTACGGATTATCAATACGTTAAATTGTAAAATGTTGTTATAACTTGTTCGATTGCTTCTTTTAATGGAACAAATATTTATTACAAAGTTCAAAATAACAGCATATTTACAAGCGTACTGTGACGACGAAGGGAAAGCAAGACTTGGTAATTTCCCCTCGCACAGCACCAATTCGTGTTTTACCGAGTATTCCTAAACCTATCAAAATGTCGATCTACGACAATAATTTGTCCCATTATATTGATTGTTCTTCATATAATAAAATATTTAGATAATTGTATTTTAATTAGAATCATATGATCTGATGTTAAATTCTGACGAAGATATCGTGTACAGTAAAATGTTGTAAATTGTAAAGTTAACGAAAGTGGTTGATGCGTCTGCGGTCACGTCCAAGCAGAGGTCGTGACTGCATCTAAAAAGGTGTTGTCCCGTACGGCAGTAGAACGATTGAAGTCGAGGGATCGCGGAGAAGGTAGTTGACAAAACGTCTATCGTACAATCGTGGAAAGTGTATGGTGGATTTAAAGGAGTATCGTTCACAGTTAAACTTCATAGTGTTATACGGCCCGAAGAAAATCGACGACACGCGAAGACCGTGTATAATCGTGAATCGAATATCAGCGACAGGTCATCGCACGAGCGCACAATGAGCTTCCTATTGTAAGTTGTTTTTTTTTTATTTTTTCCTTTCGAGTGAAAATCGACTTTTCCCCACCCCCGGTACGCTTTCGTGATTCCGTTTCGATCGTATGCGCCAGAAAACAGCGAATAAGCAGGTGCCCGTAGCGTCCCGTGAATTTGTCGTTTGCTATATCGTTAAACTTAATCGCTGACGACGAATGACAGCGTAGAAGCATCGGTAATTTGTCTCAAATAGTGACAGAAATCGCCTCCGTCAGTTCCATTTCCTTGCCTAAGCTCGGCTAATTTGGGTTCCCGACCCATTCCGCTCGAATTCGTGTACATCGCGATCGACCAATCGGCGAATACCTAAAAATAGCGCGATACCACGATTTCTTTAAAAAATTCATCGTTTTCCTCGTATGGTTTTTTACCCTCTCCTTTTTTCATCGCTTTCACTCGTACTCTGTTTCGTCATACGTCAAATTTATCGCACGGACATTCATTATCAGCGAATCGTGCCGCGGAAGTAAAATTTATTTCTTCTTTTCCTTTTTTTTTTTGCAACGTCTTTAATCGTGATTGATATCGATCGATTTCCGTATATCCGCCCTAATCAGAACTGAACGAAAGATGGCTCCCAATTAGTAAATAGTAAACAGTTTACGTTGGTTTCAAATCTAATCCACTGAATTTTAATAAAATGCAACGGGAATTTTACTTTATTTTCATTGTTGTGCAAATTGTATTGTTTATAAAACTGCCATGCAATTTGTATGTATTTAAATAAATGTAGAACTAAATATAAGCAGAAATTTGGTGATCCTTATCGTTGTTCAATGTCGTTGACATTGTCGGTACAAAATGAGTTTTTGTAATATACTTTGAAGTTGTTGTTAAAAATGTTTTCATGGATCTGTTAAGCGGAAGCAGGTCTTCAAAAACCTTTAAGCCAAAGAAGAATATTCCTGAAGGAACTCATCAATATGACTTGATGAAACATGCAGCTGCTACCCTAGGTTCTGGGAATTTGAGACTCGCGGTTATGCTTCCAGAGGGTGAAGATTTAAATGAATGGGTTGCGGTAAACAGTATGTACAACATTATACAAACACGCTTATGTTCTTTGCAATGGTACCATTAATCATTTATTATTTCAGCTGTTGATTTTTTCAATCAAATCAACATGTTGTATGGCACCATCACAGAATTTTGTACAGAAGAAAGTTGTCCCATCATGTCCGCTGGACCAAAATACGAATACCATTGGGCTGATGGACATACTGTCAAGAAACCAATTAAATGTTCAGCGCCAAAATATATTGATTATTTAATGACATGGGTGCAGGATCAGTTAGACGACGAAACATTGTTTCCTTCAAAAATTGGTAAACCATATTGTTTTGTCGAACTGTTTTTACTTAAAATATAGAACTGACAAAAGTTTTCATTGTCTAGGTGTCCCTTTTCCAAAAAATTTCTTGTCCATTGCTAAGACAATATTAAAACGGCTGTTCAGAGTATACGCTCATATCTACCATCAACATTTTAGCGAAGTTGTACAGCTCGGCGAGGAGGCACATTTAAATACATCGTTCAAACACTTTATATTTTTTGTTCAGGTAAGGGAATAAAGTTAAATGAATTTTTAAAAAGAATTTCTAATTATTATTCTCTCTCTCCTTGTTTATTATAGGAATTCAATTTGATAGAGAGACGAGAATTAGCGCCGTTACAGGAATTAATAGAGAAATTAACGGCGAAAGACGCTCGATGAATGATCTCAATCGTCATCCGAAAACTCCTCCAAAGAATCTCACCCGTGCTATCTTTTAACAAACGTGTAACTGCGCATGTTATATTTAACTAACCCAATCATTGCTAACGCGATCACTGCCTCGAATCAGGATTAGCTGATCATACGACATTTTATTCATTTACGAGAAGAGAAGTGACTGATATATGTTTCATAACGAACCACGGATTTATTAAGCAGAAAATGATTCTCGAAAAAAAGCTAATGTTTTGGCTGTTTACGAAACGGAAACGGTAACATTATGGTAATGATTAAGAGGGTGAAGATTACTAATGTAGACTTTTGTAAAATAGTTATACATCCGATACGCATCGTAGTACTCGTATTGTTTTATGTTTTGAAAAGTGAAATATTTTTAATTAATCGAGGTTGACAACAACGTTCTCAAGCTGGAGAACGTGCAAGTCAACGTGAATCATACACGAAGAGATTAATTCATATCGGCTGCAGAACAGATATAGCTTTGTAAACTGTTCAAACAACGATGATACTCGGTCTTGCGCTTCTATTTTCATCATTCGATATTCCATCTGAACTATCGCGTTACACAATTCTATTACCCCTTTAAAAGTATCGTCGCTTTCCATGATCGGAGCGATAAGCTGGTTTATCCGATAACGAGAAAACAAAAGAAAAGAATGCTCTCGATCGTATTTTTAACTAGAAACAGTTCAAAACGTTGCGTCTTCGTTGTCGAATGAGTTGAACGAATCGGAATATAATAATGTTTATATTACGATACTGCACATTGTTGGTATATCAAATTATTAAGTTAATATAATGCTATTATATTACTTCATAATATGTAATTAGTTTAGACGATTATCGTGTTAAGCGCTTAATAGAAACTATTTATAGACTTAGGAATTTTATACGCACTACATTTTATCCTTTATACGAGTGAGTTTTGAGTCTGTTCTATTTTAGAAAGCATATTATATTTAAGCCGTTTACGTCGTATTATTGGAAAAAATGTTTGATGATTTTTATCATCTTTATCTAGAAATTGTTTGTTTGTTGAATATGTGAAAAATTGACGCGCGCGTTGACGGCATTTCCCTTAGAGAACGGAATCATCGATTCACGGAGATAGTCATGATTTCACGGTTTAGAGTTAATTCTCAATGGATGCAGGGTATCCCAGGAAGAATGGAAAGGACAAACTTTTCGCATACATATAATAAACACGTGCGACGTGTGTACTTACGAAACAGTACACGTTCTCATGGGTTACATTTCGCTATTAAGAGCAACTTGATAGAGATATCAAATAGGATATATTCGTTTGTAGCGCGTTCAGCAACGTATGTTTATTCTCTCGCTTATAGGAGATGAGATGTTAATATATATATATACATATATATATATATATATATAGTATATCTTTATATGCATATATAAAGATGCTTACTGTTTCCACTCGTGGCGAGCTATACCGTTGCATTCAAGTATTAAATGGACGCATTGTATCCGCTTGTAACGATAGAAATACTTTTCTGTTCACACTCTGCCCTTTGCTGTGATGATCAGAGTTTTGCATTTTCACGTAACGTGCAACGCTTATGCGGAGATATGAATTTAAGTATACCTTCGTACTGCTATCGATATAAATTGCAATTGTTTAGAAAGAAGAAGAAACGTAAAAGCGTTTCGCCTTCGCGTTGGGGGGGGTGGAAAAATTGTCATTTTTAATTGTTGGAAACGAATTTACTTCCATTCAGAGTGTCCCGAGACGGAGTATCATGTGAAACAGTTGCTTAAACGTAACGAAATTTGTTCTTTTTTTCAATGTTTCTAATTTTGCATTTAATATTAACTCGGAAACATTTTTCAAAGTAATTTCAAGACCATAGATCAACAATATCTTGATACTTGATAATTATTTCATGGAACATTTGTCTCGCAGCAGTCTGGATATCACGATCCAGTAAACGCGAAGTTGGAAATTAAAAAGAATTCACGAGGCGTTCTATCTACACACGCGTACACACAAGAAATGTGCATGTTGCATTTGAAACGAGCGTAGGAACAAATGATATATTTTTAAGCGTCCGAGGACCGAATACACGAGGAATTTTATTTGTTTTCTCGATCGGCGTTGAACGTATCGTGACACCGTATGTAATTCATGTGATACTATTTGATGTCAATCGCGAGAGGATCAATGAGAAATTTTACGAGGTCCAGGACTAATATAAATGTATTTTATTATAAACGATCGTAAAACGAGTAGCTTTGATAACGATGATATTTATCGACGATAGCGGAAGGGGAAAGAAAGTAGGTACGAAAGGAAACTGAAGAAAGGTCCAGACGATGGGGTTTTTTTAATGAATGATGATGGTGTTTACAGGTGCGCTGAATGTAAAACGTATAAACAAACAGTAATAACAATAATAATAATAGCTCGTAACGACGATAATGATTATACTCAGTACTTAAGGATGAAAACAGGAGTTGTACCTTGTAGATACATTTTTCTCGCAGAAGAAACGATGTTGCGTCTTTTAAAAGCGACCTCGTCGAATAGTTGTGTTTGCTATAGAAGTTATTTCACGCAGTAACACTGTTATGAATTACAATTAGTATTATTAATATTATTATTGCTATTTATACACGTATACGTACCATGTCACGGCGCTAAATGATCATCCCTAGCATTCGGATATTTTCACAATGTAAACTCGGTATGTTACGTTTTCGACTGATCTGTCGCAGAAACTGTTCTCTTTTTGGGAAAAATATACGCGATATTTTAGTAAACAGACCACTGGTACAGAGAATAGTTTCGAGGATCGAATTGTCGTCGACGTTATGTTTGTTTCTTTTCGGGTATATGCTGGGCATCGCTGGAAGCTCTTGTTTAATGCTAATCGAACCATTTTAATCCTTTTAATGAGATTTTACAATTAGTTACAAAACTACACGAGTCTTTCATTTTAATTTAAAAGAAAGACGAATTAAGAAATGTTGGAAAATTGTGGAAATTATACAATAATGATCTTAATTATTAATATTATTTACAACAGAAAATATGTTCGTTTTTAACCAGACAAACGCTCGTGTAAAACTGTATTCGAAGTCCAAAAATTTGGGGTCAGGTCGCAGAAGTAATACGAAAAGAAAGAAGATAAGTTAATGGGGGTATACTACTGTAAAACGCGTATTTTTTATAAACAAAGCAAACAACTATACAACTTTATTTTGTTGAAATTTTCTCAAAGTAAAATAATCATCATTTCTTAATTGATTCTTAATTAGGACGAATTTGACTGTAGTTAGTTATCAATTTTTGAATGTTTTTTGTCATTTTTGTGAACTAAAAAGATAGGAAAGGATCAAGGAATTTGGACACAGGATATTGCACATGTAAACTGTTTTTCGAGCGAATGTAAAAAAGAAACCAATTGTTTAAAAGATTTACAGTAGAATACCTTCATAACAAGACAAGTTTATGTTCGAAATTAATTTTCAAATGGCTTTCGTCGTGCAAAGAGCTTTCAGAAAACTGATTGTCCATTCGTTTTTTAATAACGCTGGTGATATACATACATATACATATATATCTGTGCAATGTAAATAATATTTTTCTCAAATAAACGGAAGCTGACGCGTAACCAGGACACAACGTTGCGTTCTTTGCACTCTCGTTATATTTCATTGTTTTTAGTTTAAAAATCGTACTGGAACCTTATGGGATATCAAAATGCACGCGTACCCGGGTAATTAATTGTACTTATATTTTAATCCGTGTGATTTGCACGTACTCGGACATTCCTAACCTCTATTTTACGAATCCTCAAACACACGGGTATCTATGTGCTTGATGCATCTGTATTTTAATTCGATTATAAACCATAAAAATAAAACTGCATATCTAACAGAAATACATAGATTAACGTTTGTTAAGGTAGTAGGGGTAACAAGTAAATCAGAAGATACAATTACGAATTATTTAAAAATAGTTTTATTTAAATAACATTGTATTTTGATGTAAAAACGTAAAAGTATCGACACTTTTTGGCAGTAGACAATTTCTTTCCGATGTAAGAATACTCTCAGCCATTATGCTACCAACAGATGTACCTTAGTTTACCATGGTTTCGCCACGACATATTGAACGAATCCGTGTACTCACGGATAATAAAATGCATAATTGATGTGTATTCAGAATGTGGATTCTGTATACATTGACGTTACCTTGATAGTTACAATAAATTTCAGATACATCTGTCCTGTAATTTTCGTTCTTCCACAGACGAGGTATTCGACTAGATCTTAGATCCAATGTATTTTTCCAGCCTATTTCCCTGGGGCTCTCGAGCCCCATTACCATTTTCGTGTCACTCGCAACGTTACCATCAGGTTACAAACTTGACCGCAAGAGGAAGTAGAACAAAAAATGAAATTACGCGTATGTATGGCTTATTGTGCCGATTATCCGGAATATCCAACTAACGTTTATTCCTTTATTTCCTAGGCTTGAGACACAGTCCTGCAAAGTGGAACATCAAAGTGTAAGGGGATCCTTGTAAAAAGGCTTGAATTTTCGACTTCAAGATGATTTTAATGAGTCATTGGTTCCAGTGAAGACCAAGGAAATGCCAAGAGGTAGGACCAATGAAATACATACATTCACTATCGTAGGGGTTATGGTCGATTAGTTGGACAAATTTTTCCAACTGTTCGAATTTATTTCTTGAAAGTGCGTAGAAATTCGGGGATATGTGTATTCACCAAAAATGTTTGCAATTGATCCCCGCAACCAAAAATAATTTTTTTAAAAGGACTCGAAAATTTTTTTTTTACTGAAAAATTTAGGCACCTACCCCGTCGATTTTTATTTTTAGTACTTTTGTTTAACGCTCTACAGAAATGTTGTTTAATACTTTTTTGTAGGTATCCATGAGTTGTACTTCGTAAATAAATTTCAGTGCAACACATTCGCTATTGTAGGAGTTATGGTCGTTTGAAAATTGCGTTTTTAATCCCTTCTACAGCTGTCTCCTCATCAATACCAATTCAGTGAATAGTTTCCCAAATGACCGCTATCCATGAGTAGAGGCCGCTAAAATCTCCTCTGAATTTTCAGGTCGGTATGGCAGTCAGATTGGGCCGCGAAAGCCCATAAGGTAAAAGGTCTACTTGTATAGCTCGTTTGTGGTTCTTCTGCATACCTACAATGAGTAACAAAAATGGTAACAAGTTTTAAATATCGTTAAAAAAGACATCTATTATCGTTTTGATTATTAAAAAAAATATTTATTGTATTTCAGCGTAACTTAAAATTTCTATGAGTTTTACAACGATTATATATTATACTGAATTTTATAGTTGTAGCTACTTATTCGAAGTTCCGTGTTTACATTCGGTAATCTGGGGTCAAATATGTTTACTCTTTCTAAAAGTAAAATACGACGAAAAGCTAAATGTTTCCATTTTCACCACTGGTAAATCTTGTAACGTTTTAGTAAAGATATTGTATAATATTTTTAATTCTATATATATAATGGCTGAAAAATCGTCCCTGTTAATTTCTATAAATAGATCGGGGTTTAAAGAAATAATTACTGTTCTTGTCTGTCCAATAGTTACACACCGAACAATTTCCTCTGACGGATGATTACGTGCTTATTATGTTAGCGCGGGAATCGCCATGGAGTTCTGCGTTTCCTTCCTCCTACAGTTGTGTCGTAAGTTTGTTTATCAACCCGAATTCCGTTATACTTTAAGTAATGCAATCTCTAAACCACTGTATGGCATCACAAACTCCAGTCACACCGTTGTTTGCAAGACAAAGAGTGGTGCAACGATGATCTCACTTTGGCAAATGATAATAAACTAAAAATATTTAGTGAATTTGCTTTGTGCGTAATCAAAGAAGAAACATTTATAAATGTAATTATTATCTATGTGGGAAATGTATCATAGGCCAAGAGTGACTCACAAAGTAAAATATCAAGCTGCGGATGTATCGAGCGAGGAATAAAATTACGATGACTTGGTCTATTATTTCTAGGTATATAAAAAGATGTTAGAATGGAAATAAAATAAGTTTGCGTCAAAGCGTTTTAATATATGCCGTCGATGATTACATCGATCATTTAGATTGTAAATTTCGTCGAGAGAATATAGAAGAGCGCCGATAACGACCAATTTATTATAACGAAGACATCGTTAGTATCATTGTTATCGTTATTATCAAATGTATCGAAAGAGAAAACGTAGGAGGCACAGGTTCTAGCGATTTCCCCAAGAAAACAGGAAATTCTACGGACTAGAATATCTATTTACGAGATATTTACTTGAATGTACGTACAATATCTATATATATATATATATTGTTTTTTTTTGGCGCGAAAGAGTCAAGAAGCAATTAACGACCGTGCAAAAACAGTAGAACGCTTCGGAGGTATGGGTAAGATTGGACGTGGAAGGGATGGAAGTGGAAGAAGAAGCAAGGAAAAAAACGAATCGTACGGATTTCCATAATGACAGCGTCGAAAGAAGTTAATTTGAATAATCGTTGATAATCGTGGCATATATAGTATGACACCAGGACGGTAAAACGTAACGTTGTAAGCGTTGAAAAACGAGACGTAGAGTGAAATACGAGGTACAAAAATTTTTCAGGGGAATCGAACGCCCCTACTTTGAACAAGGATGAAAACCGTTTTCTTTTTGTAGTTGCTCGGCATTGAGGTCGAGACGAATCAGTCTTGAGCTAACCGTTGGACGCATCCGGACTCAACGCAACATCCATCCGTCGTCGCGAAATCCACGTGGAGCCTTTCATCCTGGTAAACATTACAATAGTAGCGATTCTTAACGCTTTCGTTTACAAATAATTAAACACAGATTCGAATCGTCTTCAAAAATATGTTCTTTGGGGATTGATTCATTAATTTTCCATGTATTAACCCTTAACTGGTATAGCAGGGTATTTTGACAACAACCACATTTATTATATTCACTAATATATTTGGAGGCATCGAAATGCCCTGGGATACTATCATGTCTTGTAAAGATACGATACCAGTTAAGGGTTAAAAAGCGCCCGTAACGTTATTAACGAATCAACCTTCGCTAGAATCGATCAATTTGTAAAAAAAAAAAGAAAATTCCGAATGATTCCGGATGGTTTTAGAACCTGTAATAATGGTAGTAGTATTTATTGTTTCTTTTCGGATTAGAAAGGTTGCGTTCCTTTTTGGAGCTTGTAGGATAAACTCCCTCGATAAATGTTCGCGCGTAGCGGTCCCGACATCAACTGTACTACTCGTTTTCGTCCGCGTCTCTGTTCACTTTCGTCGGAGCGTTTCCATGGCGGAGAGAATATCACGTTGGAATCGGTTCGAGAAAGCGTCGAAACAGGGAACCGTTGCCGTTGGCCCGGACGATGAATTCGGCCGTCGTGAAAGTTATTCAAAGTTATTGCGCCAGGCGACACGTATCGTTTCCTCGAATTCTGAACCGTGAAAAGCCAGGCGATCGTCGTGACGGTCGGTGGAGCAGTCCGGCAAAGGATTATCGCGGTTAGGCAAGTAGGTACTATGTATTTTCACGTTACGTTACGGGCCAGTGTTTCTCATACTTGGTAACCGACAAAACAACATTTTTCCCTGCTCCTCGAAAGGTGTGTATTATTTACTCTTTAACGCTAGCATTAGTCCTAGCGAGTCCTTGACACGCGCTGTTAATCAATTTTAATTTCGTTTCTGATGATTTTATGGCAGAGAGAAAAAAAAGGTCGGTCTCCGGGTCAATCGGTTTTTCTGTGCAAGCTAAAATTTATGTGCCATGTACTATGAAATCTATGCACGGTATAAATTTGCACGGACACTTTGCAGATGCGAGCAGATTAGAATAACGTTTGCGACACGCTGAGAGCACTTGACATTCCGCGCATCGCATCGTGTGACTTTTAACGCTTCGACCACAAACCACACACGCGAATCCGAGTTTTATAACCATTCATTTTCATCTCCGGCATTGAACGTTCATTTTCCAACAGAAGAATCGTAGTTACGTTCTTCTCTCCTCGCCAAGTTTAATGTCGAAGACGTTATTTAGGTATGATCCGAGCCAACGATTAAAGCTCATTATTTTTTTAAAAGTAAAAGAACAGCCTTTCTTGAAAAGATATATCGATCTATTAAATGGTATTAATTTTGTTCAGTGAGAATATTTGGATAATCTTTTGCTAAATGGAACGAATCGAAGCTGAGAAAGCAAGGTAAAAATACGCGACAACGAATGTTAATTGAACAGATAAGCAAATTGTCGATGAATAGTGAACGAAGGTGCACAAAACGGGCAGTAGAAGTTCCAAGAAAACCAATAAAATCGAACGCGCGGAAAGGTTTCCTCTTTGGAGTGCTAGAACGTTAAACAAGACGCGGTACGGACGCTAAAAAGAATGTGGCTGAGGCTGGCAAACAAGATGAAGAGGCTCGAACGAACGAGGGAAGATACCAATTGAACCGATGAGCTAATCAACGAACCGTGAAAAGACCTCGTCAATATGGTCAACAGATGTCCCATAAAATTAGTAAAACTAAATATACGATCCTTGGTCGATAAGAACGTAAACACTCCAAATAGGGAAGTGATTCGCATGACGGAATTGCTTAAAACAATCGTGATCGAAGACAGCAAACAAGAAAAAAGAAACATCCACCGAATGAGAGAAGATTTATTTAAAATAGTATCTGGAATATATTTATACAATTTTATTGGAAAATTGGAAAACTATAGTTTTAACGAGGCGGCGTATAACAGGAGAAATCGTAAAATTATTATTTATAAATAATATTTTGATACCATTAGGAACTTTGAATCGTTCTATTATTAAAATGCACACAGTTTCGCGGATATCGAGCCTAATCAAACGTGGAAATGGAAATGGAAATGGAGTTATTAATTTTCAGGGACGACATTGAATTCCATTCGGTTCGAGATAAGATACGTAGCCTCGATGTAAGGTCGAAGAGGTTAAAAGAGAGAGTGACGTAAAATAACAAGCATTAATTCAATTAAGTCAATGATACAAGTATAATTAGGTACTTGTCGATAAGATAAACAAAATTTTATTTATCGAGGTATTATGTCTCTTTTGAGTATCTTATGATGAATCGAACGATGAATTTAAATCAATTACTCCGTACAATGTTTTAAATTCGTTTCTATCGGTTACGTTGAACGACTTCGAATTTCGATATCGTTAAGGAATCCAGCCAAAATTTAGCGATTCTGAATCCAATTAGGATTAGGATTAGGAATAGAAAGATACTTTTTTGTACATTGAAAAACCGTTCGTTCTTTTGTTTTGCTTTTATTCTTTTCTCATAAAAATAGTTTACGGTAGAGAAATGGGTCGGTCGTCTTTAAACATTTTCGTAGAGAAAGCGTGTGATAAAATAACAAGTGTACGCGTGAATTGTTAATTATTTGTTTCACTGTATAGTTTGAGCAAATGTCGAGAACATCCCTTGGCCATCGGCGCGCCACCGAACGTGTTAACCGGTAGATTTTTCCGCCACCCTGTATGCGACGAGAATTTAAATACGTAATTCCTTTATTTGCAGACTTGCAACACGCTGGTCAACATGAAAAATACTTGGTTCCACACGGTTTGTCCTTCGCAGTGCGTTAATAAGGTGGTGTAACTGTTGTTAGTTGACCTAGACTCGATAGAACTTGGACGATGCGCACTTTCGGATCTATCGAGCCGTTCTACACTTTCACGCTGGAATTCTTTACAGTCCACGGTAGTCTGAATATCGGAATACACTCTTCTTAATTACTCTGTCGTCTTGCAAACATTCACAATACATTTTACTGGTAACAGAATCAGTCTTCCATGGTTTTTGTATGATAAAACGTTTTGGCGAATACTATAGCAGCTTATCGGCAGCTGCGTTGCATTCGTCCAACACCAACGTATCAACACTCTTGTTAGAGTTCGCCATTTCAAAGACCTAATCTCCGTAGTAGACTCGGAAAGAACCGATACTGTCTAGTTATCTCTCTGAAATATGTAAACAAGCATAAAGTTATTGATAAAATATTCCATGGAATGTCCAACGGAGAATGTTTGTAAACAGAATTGAAACTTACATTGTTTTTTAATGTATACAGCGAATCGAATTTAATTTTTTAACTACCCAGGACAAAAAAAATGTTATTAACCAGTCTCGTTTAAAAAGCAGTTTACAAATACTTTAATTACATACCAAGAAATGCAGAATGCTAAAATGCTTCCTGCCTGTTAATGACAGCTGAAAAAGTAAAACGAAGGGACGATCGTACGCTAAATAAGATAGTAGAAAGATAGAATTCTTAGAAGAAAGACAAGAAATGGAAATGACATTGCAATGATTAAACAAGAAAGCCACGTGTTTGGGAAAGTGCGAGTTTAGAGTGGGTTATTTCTAGGGTGGGTGTTCCCACCAATCGATCATGCTGCTACGCTCTACTGATCATATCGGTCTCCTACTATATCATTTAACCCGAGTCCAGAAATGAAATCGGCAGCTCGCATAACCATTTCAATGGTGTAATTATATCTTGATAAATTTAATCGAGCTACTAGTTTCCAATCACAGTATTTCCATGATAATTTAATTTTTTAATAAATCGTTTCAGAAAAGAATAAAAACAGGGCAAAGAGAATAGAGCATGGATCGTTTAGAATGGATCTCTCGTTGGATTTAACCCTTTGCACTCGTATGCAACCACGACTACGGAAAACATTCGGTTAACGTTATATTTTTCCGTTTAAAACTGTTGATAATTATATGAGTTGTTTCACGATACTAAAATTTGTCATTTAACGCTTGCTCTAGGTCAGTTTGGAGATTTGAATCGTCGCGCGGACGATGATCGATACTCGAAATCGGTCGAAATCGTTGTTCGGCGGCGCAAAGTACTCGTTCCGCTCGTTGGACTCGAGGAGGAAGGTCGATTCTCGATTCGTTGACGACGAGAAGCCAAGTCCCAATAATGTTTGATTCGGAACAAAAACATCCGAGTGTCAATAACTCCGTAAACGCGGCTGTCAATCGGTTCTGTGGCCAGCGTGGTGTGTAGAAGGTCGATGACGGATTTCACGAAACGCCCCACCATGATGGTTTTTCGTTTAAGTATGCCAGCCGCGTACGGGGTCCGTTTAGTCCGCGCCGCGACCACTCAAATGATATACGATCGCGAAAGGTTCGACTCGATCTATCGGAACGATTTTTCGCCCAACTGTCGACGATCGTGCGCATCTTTTTCTCGGGCTGATCCGATCGGTGACCCGCATCGCGTAAATAGAAATCGAAACTTTGGGGTTAAGAGGTACCTTGTAAATTAATAGAGAAAGGCAACCATTTTTTATTTTCTTTTTGCTTCGATCGTCGACAGGGTTTTATACAACTTTATACGTACATGCATACATGTACTTATTCGTGTCGCTAAATAATTATACATGTAAAGCTCACGACATAGTAGCAAAAGGCGAACGCGACTTCGGGCCTAAATGAGTTTGCGAATCGTGTGATCTATAGATCAGTGTTTCCCAAACTTGGATCCGCGTAGAGGGGTCTTGTAAGTTTATTCGATGATATTAATATATTAAATTTAATTTCTCGAAATTTGCATACGTGTAGATCGAATAAAATCGTTTAATTTAATGCTACTGAAGGGGTTCTCAAATGTTTATCTTTATCGAGAGGCGGGGGGCTTGAAGTTTGAGGAATGCTGTCATAGATGATTCGAAATGACTGTGAGAATATTGACGCAAGGTTTTTCTACGCAGGCGTGTCGTTACGTTCGATGATAATAAAATACGCGTTGATGATACAACGGTGTCAATGGACAACGCGAACAATAACAATTCCCCGTCCTCGTCGTAACGAGATATTCGTTTTAATGTCAGTGCTCGCGCGTGGCTGTCTCTAATGACGTAATCTCGAGTCGGAAGCGAATGCATCGATCGGCGAAAAAGTTTCAAACATCGAACGATTGGTCGACCAAGACAAAAGACATGGAGCTCACGTTGTGCATACTGCCGATGCTGTACGCGAAGCTTATAGCGAATCATTCGGTGAGTTGCCGCCACTCGTCGAGGTTTATGCACCTGTGTATGCACCAACTTGTACATTCGGAACTAAAGTAATTTATCATTAAAAAAATAAAACAGTTGTTTTGTTTAAGAGTACAATAATGATTGCAAGAAACAAAATAATTGTTTTATTTAGTTAGAAGGAGCAGAGTAGCGCAGATAGTATTTTAAACGTTGTTGTACTCCTCCCATCTAGAGAAAAAAAAATTGTTTGCTTATCCTCGGTTGACGTGCGTTTTTGAAGAAAAAAAAACCGACAATTAGCTTGGACGCGTTAGGTATACACCCATCGAGGAAATTACATTGATTTTGAAATTGCTCTCGATCAGAAAGTTAAACGCGTCTGATAAAACCGGATTTCAAGCGATCAAGTACCAATGTCTCATTAATGGACGACCGGAATGCAGAAGGACTTTTTCAACGCTGCAAACACGATAAAAATTGTCAGTCACGTTTCATTTCACGTTAAACACCCGTTGGGTAAGGATTGCCGTTGAACACGACGGCTCGAGACATTGGTAATTAAAATTTAAACGAGTCTCGAGCTCGTGACTCGATCTAGTTTAACGTTGCATTCACGTTCCTCGAGAGTTGTAAACAAATCTGGTACCGATATTGAAAACTGCACACCGGCCTTCGACTATTATCGTAGAAAAATCAGACTTTGCAAAAAAAGAACAACAATTATTTACTATACATCCATGAAATTTTCAGATCGTTTCTTCGTCGAACACTTTACTAAAATCTCTATGCAGTAACGAGGGATAATGAGAAGCATTTTCTCGCCAGGCTCTTAATAACTATAGCCGGTGTACATCTTAAACAACGTAAATTGGTCGGTGGTGTTGGTTACTTTGAGGTTTACCGCGACGTTGAGGAAATTATCACTCTGGTGTCGAAACTTTCACATGATCGTGTTGTGTTAAAAACACACATATTAGTCGCTTGAACAACAAAGTTTGCACACTTATCAAGCATCCATCACTTTCCCCGAAATTGTATTCTACAGTATTATAATTTCTATGCATTTTGTAATAATTTAATGCATATATGTATATTAATCCGATACATATATTTCTGTTTGCATTGCAGGGCACGATGGGTTTGTTAATTCAGAATATAATGAAATTCATTTTCTACGTATTGTCGTACCTGGCGTTGCCCTTCTACGCGATACCACACTTGAAGAAACGGAAACTGTTACCACCGATTCAGAACGACCTCCTTTTGTACTCGGCCACGGAGATTGCTCGACGAATTCGGGAAAAAGAAGTAAGAGAATCGATTTTCGAACGCCAAGTAAATTTCCATTAAAATTTCTTCCGATCGTAATCTTGGTCACTTGGAGCCGATCGGTTTTTGTTCGAGATAAAGTTTGCACAAACAATTGCGCATCGAGGATCACTCAGAAATGTATTAGATCATGCAACAAACCCATTGGCGATTTTTTATAAAAATATTAACGCATTGGCGACGAGTAATTTAATATTACTATTACTCGTTGCACCATTGCGCGTAGAAATTTCAACGATTCTCACGAGGATATACATGTAAAATGTTTATTATGCTCCCAGGTTAGCAGCCAGGAAGTGGTCAGAATCTATATCGAGAGATGCAAGGCCGTAAATCCGATATTGAACGCGATCGTGGAATCGCGATACGAGCTCGCCATTCAAGAGGCGCGAACCGTCGATGACTTTTTGGCGCGAACGAAGAAGAAGAAGGACGAATTGGCGCGCGATATGCCTCTTCTCGGTGTGCCCGTGACCATCAAGGAGAGCATAGCCGTGAAAGGTTCCTGCGACTCTTTTTCCTACTTTCTATTTCGCCTGAGAGGCACGCTGACCTAGAAAAGCACGCATCGAACGGGTCGAAAAGTAGCCACACGTATCGGAAACGTATCGTGATTTCGTCCTGTGGTTCGGGATCGGTTCGAACTTAGCCTCGATCAAATAAGTAGGCGTAAACGAAACCGATTGCCAGAGTCTCTTATTAAATTCTTTTATAAAAGAAGCTTGGATAATAAGAAACGAAATTGTATATTTTCAGGGATGTCCTATTCGGTCGGCGTGCTGGAAAAGAATCCAGAAAAAGCTAAGGAGGATGCCCTCGTGGTGAGCATGATACGCGAGGCAGGCGCTATTATTCTTCTGGTTAGCAACACGCCGGAATTGTGCTTATTCTGGGAAAGTAACAACAAAGTGACTGGTTCCACTTGGAACCCCTACGATTCCAACAGAATCGCTGGTGGTTCTTCGGGTGGCGAGGTTCGTATCTTTCGTCTTTTCCATCTAAACGAGTTTCCGAGAAAAACATTTAAGATAATAGCTATAGCGATCAATTTGTTTCAAGTTTGTCGTGCTTGTTTTGTTCCAGGCAGCTCTTCTGGGCTCTGCTGCGTCCATGGTGAGTCTTGTGTCAGATGTTGCAGGCTCTGCGCGTTATCCAGCCATGTGTTGTGGAGTTTTTGGTCACAAACCTACAGCTTGTAAGCGTTGGGTGCAAAGAATACTGTTTTAGAAACGATTGGGAGGAACTTTGACTTGTATTCGTTGTAGATTTGGTGTCTTGCAAGGGCCACAAACCAAATTCCATGGACAAAGTTTGGAACGACTATTTCACATTGGGCGTGATGACTAGATACGCGGAGGATCTACCCCTTATGATGAGTCTTATAGCTCAAACAGAGGAGGGCCGTCGTCTTTTTAATAAAAAGGTTAAAAAAAATATCCATATTTCTATAAGATGGTGTCCAGAGGCATTGTGCCCCGTTTGTCAAAGTAAAGGAAATTTTGTGTCCTTTTCCCAATAAAAAAAGATTCTGATCAAGTCTCGAACACTTTTGCGCAGGTATCTATGACGAGCCTCAAATTCTTCTACTTGGAAGATTGCTGTACCGCGACAAACAGTATCAGCCGAGACGTAAAGGAAGCTATTCATAGGCTGAAGGCGTACATTGAATTAACATATGGCACCAAAGTGCAAAAAGTATGGAATTGTTTTAAACGTGCTCGAGTTAGCGAATATCATTAACATTAGATTTACGAGATAAACAATTCGTTTCCAGGCACCATTGACAAACATGAAATATGCATTCACTATGTCGAGTAATCTACTGCTGGACATGGAGGTGGACGATGTTAAGAAGGAATTCGACGGTTCGGTAAGCGATTCTCAGTAAGAATATTGATTGAAGCCTCGATTTAGAAAGTACGTTGATCGAGTAAATTATAAATAAATACAGACTTTATGGAAAATCATTGTGGAGTTCTTGAAGTACATCTTCATGTCGTCGCGGTACTCTATGGGATTGTTATCATACATAATGTTGAAATGGGTGCACGGCAAATTTCCACTGAGTCTTCGGGAAGCGATGCTTGAAAAGAGAATATTATTGAAGAAGCAGTTCGAGGTGAGTTACACTCATTGTTCATCCAAGATACGCAAACTATAATGTATCTATAACAGTTTGTAGAATAGTAATTTAACTGTATAAAAAGTGAAGCGGTTTTGCGATTACAGGATGTTCTCGGCGATAACGGAATACTGATTTTTCCTACTTTCATAACACCGGCACATTATCGGTACCAATCGTACAACAGGGTCGCTAATTTCACTTACATGATGATTTACAACGTGTTGGGACTGCCCGTGACTCAATGTCCAATGGGACTGACCGACAGCGGTTTGCCCGTTGGCCTTCAAGTAATTATTCTTTAAATATCGTGCAACGTTATCGTATTATTACATTCATACTTCATGTATTGTTACAGATCGTAGCAAATTCAGGGAACGACCACCTGACCATCGCCGTAGCAAAAGAGATCGAGAAAACGTTCGGTGGCTGGCAGCAACCACCTACCGCCAAAGTCTACTCCAACAAAATTTGATGATCCCCACGCTGCACGATAGAAATTCAAATCATGTAACCTCGAACAATTGTACGACGCGTTCCGTGCACTCAACGATGCGAAAATAATCGCGAGCGTTTCATTCTTGGTTGAATCGATTCGAATAATCATCGATCATAACTGTAAAGAAAGAGGAATCTTTCGCTTTTTATGCTCGACGAGCAATCACGGTACATGTTTTAGTGCTCTGTACAGTACTCTGTGAGTATTTATACTATACATATAATTCCAAAGAAAAAAAGAAAATGTCTTTCTTTGTTGAACATGAACGAAGCTCTGGATAGAAGCTCTAGTTATTGTATAGTGGAAAAAAATGTTACGAATGATGCTATAGCAGATGCGAAAAAAACTATTTTTATGTAAGTTGTAAGATGTATTTATATCGTTAGGGAGCGTTGTTAGTTGCGAGTGTGCGTGCGACTGAATAATGATACGTAAATGTTTTCATGTCTGGTTCTACACGTGTCGAGAAGAAGATGACGAAATTCTGACCAATAAGAGCGAGCTTCGTTCTTTCCATGGGCGTGTAAATTCACAACCTCTGCGAGGGTTTATTAAAAAATACAATTATGGAATAAAGGAAGGAATTGTTTGAAGAAGTGGCCGAGAGTAAACCAGTGTCGAGCAAGAATTGTTTCTCAAAACTTATATTGTTTCTGTAACGGTACACTACATCGCGGAAAGATCCACAGGCAAGAGAAAGAGGTAGCGACTCATTGTCTAAAAATACGTGAATCTGTAGAATGAACACTTGACGTAAAAAACTGTCGTTGCGATAACGTTTAGCTCTGGAAGTGAGTCGGAGATTGCTATGAAACAAAATCTAAACATTGATCGACCAATTTTTGTGCATTAATTAATCGAAATTCGAGTTGCTGTAACTTTGTGAGAAAACACCGAACGACAGTCGATTTGGGCTCATTTTAAAAGCTTGAAATACATATACCGAGAAGGCTTAGCGTTGTTTTAGAGACAAGAAGGAGCCCCGATAGAGTATTAACGCATCGTAACGTAATCTGTAACCTTGAACAATGGAATCTATGATAAATATTGCGAAACGTTAACATTTGCAGCACCTTTTCAACTTGTGACATTAAAATTCTAGGCATAATGTAACGTGAATGTTAACTAAAATATTTCTCTTTAACGGATACAGGTTTCGACGCGTAAAAACCGTTGACGCAATAACCGTGACGGTATTTACATTAAAGACAGAGACTCGTCGTCGAATTGTTTGTTCGTTGGAAAACATTCGACAAATAGAAACTAAATAAATGTACGTTAACGTTCTATCGGGCCTTCTTGTTCTTCTCTCAAAACAAACGTTTTCACATTTTTCTATCTCCGGTAAGTTTCCTCTCCCGGTCAGGAATTTCGTGAAGTTGTATAGTCGATATTTTAAGTTGGTCTACTTTCGGGATACGTTCTAAATTAAATCGCGATCCGTGACGCGGTGGCAAACACAAATAAGTTTTATTTACACGTTATAATTCTTCTGTAGTATTTGGACACGTTGAGCGAAGGCACGATGATGGATAGTCTGTTCCCTGGTGTGTTTCATGCGGTCCAAATAAAGCGTTGCAAGCTTTTTTTTATAAATTAAATTACCCACGGGGTGGCAGTGGTCTTTCAATCTGAAATTGATTACTTTTTATTGTCATTTGGATGTCAGTTGTCGAAATTGAAAAATATTTGTTTAATGGTTTGTAAGTAAACGTAAATCCACCCTTCTGCCTGGAGCCGTCGTGTTCTCCGTGGCAAACCTCGCGGTGATCGCGAAATGGTCACGCTTTCCACAATTCCCTGTCAGTGGGTTCTCAGATTCCGTGGAAGGAGGAAGTCGAATACTCCGGACGGGGCATCGAAATATTAGTCGGGTATGCATCCGGTGATCGTTCGGTCGTGATAGATTCGGTCGCTATAAATTCGGAAAAATAAAAAAGATCTAATCGGGCGAACCGTTTCGAAAGTATCGCCTTTAGTTGTGGGAACAGTGTTTGGAACTCTCGTCGGGAAACTCGAAGCGGTCCGGTCCAACTTCATATTCTTATAAGGAAAAGAGAAAAGCACGAGGTACGATCGAATACGGAACATTTTTTATTTCTGACTTGATTTTTTTTTTCTGTTTCGAACGTTAACTCGAATACTTGTCGAACTAGATTTCGTTCAGGCCATGACCAAGTTTACCCCCGCCGAATTAATAAAGTTTTCTTAGTTTTTTACACGAGAGTTAATGGGGGTTCGAATAATCGACATTATACTCTATTCTATAGAAGCAATTTTAGCTATACGTGTTGTATAGTCCTAATCAGGTTATGATTTAATTTCTCTAGAAAACATTAGTATTTGTAAACATGAATTGTAATATTTGAGAAAAGCAGAACTTTTGAAGGAATAAAAATCGGGGCTAAATCGAGCCTCCAGCCTCGAGTGTGTGTGTGTGTGTGTGTCGGAATAACACGTATTCCGAGAGTCTAAATCGGAAATAATAACAAACCAGGATGTTCAAAATATTTGGAGATTTAAACGCAACGGAACACTATGCAGCATAGTGAAATGCACGCATGCACTCGATGAATCTTCAACGTCGATTTTCTTGAAAAGTTTCCCACGAACAAATCGTATTCTTTCCTTTCTACTTGGCTCTTGTTCACAATCGTCTACACATACGCGTATGTATACCAACTATGTAAATTTATTTCGTTTCCATATTTTTCGACCGACAAAATTAATTCTTCCATTCGATGAAAATTTCATTCGAACAAACATCCGGGGGTCAAACAAATCGAATCGGTCGTTTTACGTAATAATACGTGGCAGGGACTGAAACGCGTTCGAGGAACCGAGAAAAGGGCGTTTAAATATGGATTGAAAAATTGTTTGTTCCGCTTCTTTTCTCCGGAGGCCAACGAAAGAGTTTCGATATTTTCACAACGAACGATTTTAGATCCAACGTTAGGGTAATAATCGTTAGCTATCGCTTCCTAACATAGTTTAACCATGAAATTTTTCCAATGCCAACTATTTCGTTTATTAACGTGTTTGTAACAAGCGTGCTACTACTCACGTTAAAGTAAATAAATAACTTTATTTCGTAATGGAATTATGTAATTCTTGCTGCTGAAGAAGCAAATAAATTATGGCATTATTGAAACCGAAAGTCGATCTTATCTGTGGCAAGGTTATTCTCTCGACCTGTACGAAGCACGCATTTCTTACCGAGTACAGACATTTTGTTTAAAATTATTATGTGTAATTAATATACGTGATAACCAAAAGGCTGCTCGATCGAATTAAATCGGTACACGTATTCTCAATAGCATAGATGCACGAATGTCCTGTTTCGTAACAATTAACGATCGTCAATCATCGATGCACGAACTGGCAATAAGAAACTGAAACGAAATCGATAAGCAAGTCGAGGAGTTTAAACGAACCAAGTGTAGGTCAAGTAACGTAGCAAGGCTCCTCGCAACCTTCCGAAATATTAAATTAAATGCTTTCGCGATCGGATCACTGTGATCATGCTAGAGTCCCTCGCTCCTATGGGGCTTAATAATATTTCACAGATATTATATTTCTTCGTCGAATTATCGGTTATCTTAATTTACTTCTATTAATGTACAATTAACATATACGTACGTAAAAGAAACGTAGAAATTAGGAATATGTGTTGCAGTGTCAGGAGGGGATGTTGCCGGGGTGTCTTCTGACAGGAATAGGCCTGTTTCTAGACAAGTTTAATATAACAGTAGAGTACTCGGTCTTTGTAGATCACTTACAAATGCTTCAATATTAACGCCAAAGGCACAAACTTGTCTAGAAACAGTCTTACTTCTATGAGAACACCCCGCTAACCTCCCCCCTTGACAGTGCAACATATATTCCTAGTTTCTACGTTTCATTGAGCACATACACGGTTTCACATCCCATCAAGCGTAATACACATTAACTTCAGACTATGTATACTTCAGCCTAATTAATAATACAGTGTCTAAAACTTATTATTCTCATTATTATTGTAACTAAAGTAGTGTCTACATAAAATGACTGCATAGTTTATCCGTGATGCTCTCTGTCTATAAGTTGAAGAAAGCGTGACCCATCGGTGGTACACGATTTGCACAGCCACCTACGCTCTCTGGTGGTAAAACGCCCAAGTTTGTCGTGGAATAGTTCCTATCGTACACGCTAGATGGCGCTCATTTGTCGACCTCAGGCTCCCTCTGGTGTTAAAATGCCCAAGCTTGTCGAGAAATCCATCTAGCGTTGGAAGAACGAACTATTCCACGACAAACTTGGGCGTTTTAACACCAGGGGGCCAGAGGTCGGTAAAAAGCGCCATCTAGCGTGGACGATAAGAACTATTCGGCGACAAAGTTGGGCGTTTTGCCGTAGATGGCGGTGCAAATCGTGTACCACCGATGGGTCACGCTGTCTTTAACAGGGTAGACAGAGAGCATCACGGACAAACTGAACGGACATTTAAGTGGGCAAGAATGCAAACCATGTACTTACCCATGTTCTTTGGAAGCCTAGCATCTGTATTTGTTCAATAAACACAATGGAATATATCGCCTCGATACCTAATTGGTTGAACCAACAAAATAGCATCAAGACACTATAATCTAGCCGAGGCAATGGCTAGAGTTGAAATCATATGTACTATCATTTCTCTGTTTTAATAATAAATATATATTTTACAAGTGTTTTATAACAAGCGTCGTGTATGGGAAAGTAATACTAGTAACAGCGTAAATAGAAACACGAGTACCAATAGATACCAGTAGTACTAACAGAAATAATTTAGATCTTTAATTTAAGTGAATCAGTTTGTATATAAGATTTCGATATACGATGGAATCAAACGAATCGTGTGGAAGTGGATGGGTTAATGATGGGGTAATCATGTAATTACTAGCAACAGTTGCGCATGTCAAGCCGTGTAATTTGTATTTCGTTACCGTCGTCGCCACGCTTTCATTGAAATAACTTCGTTAGAATCCAATATCCATTTATTAGAGTACCCTCTTAAAAGAATTATTCTTCTTTTCGTAATAGGAAAGATGATTTTGGCCAACTTGCTGAGTCTGCTTCTGCACGCGTTGTACTTTATTTCCTGGCCTTTCTTCAAACTCGTTCACATCAGGAGACGGGCGAACATACCACCGATTAAGAATCCTCTGTTAAAAGTTAGCGCAACCACGTTAGCCAACAAGATTAGAAACGGAGAAGTGAGTAGACATTTACCATTAATCGTTGTGCAAGAAAATTTCTATATTTCATGGTTATTGATCGTCGTTGCGTCATTGTTGAAGCACGGTACAAAATCTTCGTTTAGACCGAATCCTCGATTATCCAACTTTCTACAATATCTAAAACATTAATGAGCCGTATTATTGTCTTATTTCTATTCCCCACTAAAAATACAAGTTTTCACAAGATCTGTTATTTAAGTGTATACTGACCCAGGTAAGTACCTCGAGTTGAGTTTTCTGACAAGCGACGAATCCGATTCTTCGGCATAAAACGCACAGCTATTGTACGGAAATAATCTTCGAAACTTTTTTTTCTTTCTCCGATGAACAGCTTTCCAGCCAGACTGCGGTGGAAGCATATATCGATCGTATCAAGGAAGTAAATCCTTTCGTGAACGCTGTAGTAGAGGACAGATTCGAGGCGGCTATAAACGACGCAAAAATTTGCGATCAGATGCTAAAGACGGGCCAAGTTACCGCCATTATTTTAAAAAAGGAGAAACCACTTTTTGGAGTGCCAATTACCATCAAGGAAAGCTGTTCCATTGCAGGTGAGACGCTCTCTTTCAAATAATAAATATCTAGAAGTTCCTCTGTAATCTCTACATTCGAGAAATATCGATGCTTTTATCCAGAGCTAAGGAGAATGCGATAAAAGTACATGCGATGTTGCTCAATTGTTGTTGTACGTCGAGTGCCATATCATTTCATTTTTTCACCTCCTCGGGATACATTTGTTCCACTGCTATTATCAAACAACGTTTAATGAGTTCGCTGTCTGCAAAAGGACATTGTGATTTTGCAATTTCCAATGCAACAAGATAGCTTGCTTGAATATGGGATTCGTGAACGACATAATTCCAATTCTACAAATAAAATAACCATTTAACATACTACTTTGTGTATCGCACAACACCGGTAATGACAAAATGTTATAATCAAGTTTAAATAATTTACCTTGTCGATCAGATCTTCTGTTTCTATCAGTTTGGCTTTCAATCGTTGAATTTCCAACAACCGCTCGTCACGGGAGAAATGTGCATACTCGTTCGCATGGTATCCATTGTAGTGCCGTTGAATATTACATGACTTGTTGACCATAACAAACACTTGGCGTAACCCTCGTACTTCGTAAAGAAATATCCTCCCACGAAGGATCGAAGTAACGAATGGAATCTGAATGTTGTCGTTTTGATGTAGAATGTTCAGCCATGGCTTTATGTTTCACTACACGCTCTTGGTTCTGAATTAATTTCACTTTTCTAAAATATTTACTTGACTCCGATCTCTGACCAGACCGCCATGATGCCGCCATTACCGGCTAATAACACAGACCTGCGCCGCGCAAGCTGCGCGTTGAATATGTCATCAGCGAAGTACTCAAATTGAATAAAATTGGGTTCCTTACGATTCCTTGAAATTCATCGAAACTGGAACAATATAACAATTTAGCTAAAGATTAAATTGCCGTTGCTATATGCCTGGTAATTTGATCTCTTAACGCCTTTAACATAGAGCCAAGTACGACGCTGCCCTCCACTGCGCAAGCGTTAAAAATATTGCCGTTCAACATGGTACCAGAGGTGCCAGAAAAGCACCGACGGTGCCCTACTCGCCATGCCAGATCACGCGTACGTGAGCTGGTGGAGTTACAGAAAGTCGACAAAGACAAACTGACGCATGCACTCTTTCTCGATTCTCCGAAGCTGCCCAAAGTAATTTCGGACCGCCTCGCGGGAGTCGAGAGAGGAAGGCTCACATTTGTCTTCTCGATCTTGGACAACCGACTCTTGGCCCCAGCTGAAGCATGCTGACCACACCTGATACTTCCGACAACGTATAACGATTACTACTGGTTACTGCCAGCCTCTCCCAGCCTCTACTGGCCTCTCCTGACCTCCACTTATATTTCTGACGACGTATAACAATTACGACTGACTTCTGCCAACCTCCGCTGGCCTCCGCTGACCACTGCTGACCACCCCTGATGCTTCCGACAACTTATAACGATAAAAACTTGCCACTGCTTGCCCCTGTTGGTCTCTGCTTGCCACTCCATGCCTCCGCTAGCCTCCGCTGGCCTCTGCTGACCACCACTGATGCTTCCGACAACGTGTGACGATTACTACATGTTACTGCTTGCCCCTGCTGGTCTCTGCTTGCCTTTGCAAGCCTCTGCTGTCCCCTGCTGACCCCCCCCCCTGACCCCTACTGACCCCTGCTGACCACCCCTGATGCTTCCGACAACTTATAACGATAACAACTTGCCACTGCTTGCCCCTGCTGGTCTCTGCTTGCCACTCCATGCCTCCGCTGGCCTCTGCTGACCACCATCGATGCTTCCGACAACGTGTGACGATTACTACATGTTACTGCTTGCCCCTGCTGGTCTCTGCTTGCCTCTGCAAGCCTCTGCTGTCCCCTGCAGACCCCCCCTGACCCCTACTGACCCCTGCTGACCACCCCTGATGCTTCCGACAACTTATAACGATTACAACTTGCCACTCCATGCCTCCGCTAGCCTCCGCTGGCCTCTGCTGACCACCACCGATGCTTCCGACAACGTGTGACGATTACTACATGTTACTGCTTGCCCCTGCTGGTCTCTGCTTGCCTTTGCAAGCCTCTGCTGTCCCCTGCTGACCCCCCCTGACCCCTACTGACCCCTGCTGACCACCCCTGATGCTTCCGACAACTTATAACGATTACAACTTGCCACTGCTTGCCCCTGCTGGTCTCTGCTTGCCACTCCATGCCTCCGCTGGCCTCTGCTGACCACTGCTGACCACCATCGATGCTTCCGACAACGTGTGACGATTACTACATGTTACTGCTTGCCCCTGCTGGTCTCTGCTTGCCTTTGCAAGCCTCTGCTGTCCCCTGCAGACCCCCCCTGACCCCTACTGACCCCTACTGACCCCCACTGACCCCTGCTGACCACCCCTGATGCTTCCGACAACTTATAACGATTACAACTTGCCACTGCTTGCCCCTGCTGGTCTCTGCTTGCCACTCCATGCCTCCGCTGGCCTCTGCTGACCACTGCTGACCACCACCGATGCTTCCGACAACGTGTGACGATTACTACATGTTACTGCTTGCCCCTGCTGGTCTCTGCTTGCCTCTGCAAGCCTCTGCTGTCCCCTGCTGACCCCTACTGACCCCTGCTGACCACTGCTGACCACTGCTGACCCTTGTTAACAACTTCTGCCATGATATATATGTATTAAAACATTGTATAATGTAAATCTATGGCAATAAATGATATAATTACAAAGAATACTATGTGTTCTCATCATCTTTTACCTTTCTTTCCTTTCCTCTTAGTTATAAGACTCCCTGAAACTCCTTGGCTTCCCTGAACACACTAGGAAGTCCTAAAACACCTCGGAAGCCCTGAAAATCAGAACTTTGCTAAAAATTCAGAGTTTCCAAGACTTCCCGGTTGTTTCAGGGCTTTCCAGCTGTTTCAGGCTTTCCCAGCTGTTTCAGGGCTTTCCAATTGTTCCAGGACTTTCCAATTTTCGGGATTTCAAAAATTAAAAGCCGTTTCAGGGGTTTCCAGCTGTTTCAGGACTTTCCAGCAGTTTCAGGACTTTCCAATTTTTCGGGATTTCCGAAATTAAAAGTCGTTTCAGGGTTTTCCAGCTGTTTCAGGACTTTCCAATTGTTCCAGGACTTTCAAATTGTTTCAGGACTTTTAATTTTTGATTTTAGCAGCAAGTACGAGAGCTGGACACGTTGGGAATCCAATTTTAACCGGAAAACGGTCTCTTAAAACTAAGGCAATGATTTGGAGAGGAAAAGAAAGGTAAAAATGATGATAACAAATAGAATTCTGTTAAATTATATCATTTATTGTCATAGATTTACATTATACAAGGCTCGAATACTTATACATCATGTTAGAAGTTGATAACAAAGGTCAGCAGTGGTCAGCCGTAGTCGGCAGGGCCAACAGAGGCCAGCAGAGGGATGCAGAGGGATGCAGAGGCATGCAGAGACAAATAGTAATAGGTATACGTTGTCAGAAGTATCAGGGGTGGTCAGCAGAGGCCAGCGGAGGCCAGCGGAGGCCAGCAGAGGGATGCAGAGGGATGCAGAGGCATGCAGAGACAAGTAGTAATAGGTATACGTTGTCAGAAGTATCAGGGGTGGTCAGCAGAGGCCAGCGGAGGCCAGCGGAGGCCAGCGGAGGCCAGCAGAAGCCAGCGGAGACCATCAGTGGCAAGCAGGGGCCAGCAGGGGCAAGCAGTAGCAAGTTGCAATCGTCATACGTTGGTGTAAGTATCAGGAGTGGTCAGCAGGGGTCAGCAGGGGTCAGTAGGGGCCAGCAGGGGTCAGTAGGGGCAAGCAGGGGCCAGCAGGGGCAAGCAGTAGCAAGTTGCAATCGTCATACGTTGTTGGAAGTATCAGGAGCGGTCAGCAGAAGCCAGCAGAGTCCAGCAGAGGTAGGCAGGAGTCAGTGGTAATCGTTATGCGTTGTCAGAAATATAAGCGGTGGTCAGCAGAAGCCAGCAGAGGCTGGGAGAGGCTGGCAGCAGCCAGTCGTTGTCGGAAGTATCAAGAGTGGCCAGCAGCGGTCGGCAGAGGCCAGCGCAGACCTGTAAGAAAACTCCAAAACACATATAGTCATACCTAGTACCTCGTACTTTGTACCTTATTACTACTGAGGGGACAGGGGGTCAAAAAACAAGCCCACGATCTACCCCACGATTATTACGCAGTATATTCGCGAGTGTGGAGGTGTAGCCACACGTAGGTTAAAGTTACAATGATGTTACGACGTCTTTACCCGACTGGTCGTAACGCGTCTCTAACAGGGACTCGGCTAGAACACGTCTAAGACAGACTGAGCCTATGACAATGCCGTCGTTAATCAACTGGCCTTGAACGCGTATCACGGACTGAACGTAACGAAGTCTTTAACAAGACTGAGTGTCTTTCCTTAACCTAATAGTAAAGGGGGAGAAAAGGAGACAGGACAGAAAGACGAAAAAACGGAAAAACGAAACTAGAAAATACTTAGCGTAGGGAGCGTTTAGCTAGAGTGAAAGAGAGTAATGAAAATCAAGGGGCTCGCCAAGTGTTTAACAAGACGATGAGACTTACACGAGACCGTGGAAAAATCGAGAAATGGAAAGCTTAAAACTATCCTAACATTCCATTCCCATTCATACCCTGGCAAGGGCGAAGTGGCTAATACAATGGCCGCTACACTGCTATAGGTGAAAAGGTGTATAACTGGGTAAAACAGTTTTACGACCCGTGAACTCAAGTTAGTCACCAGTGGAGGCATGTAGAGACCAGCATAGACCAGCATAAGAGAAGTTGTAATCGTTATACGTTGTCGGAAGTATCAGATGTGGTCAGCAATGGTCAGCAGTGGTCAGCTGGGGCCAAGAGTCAGTTGTCCAAGATCGAGAAGACAAATGTGAGCCTTCCTCTCTCGACTCCCACGAGACGGTCCGAAATTACTTGGGGCAGGTTCGAAGAATCGATAAAGAAGGCATGTGTCAGTTTGCCTTTGTCGACTCTCCGAAACTCCACGAGCTCACATACGCGTGATCTGGCATAGTGTGAGTAGTGCACCTGGTGCTGGATCTGGCATCCCTGCATGGTACAGAGGCGTGATTAAATATGAATCAACTAAAAGCTTTAGAATGTCTTACACATTAATAAATATGTATAGTTCGCAAACAAACTCACGATACAAGTACAATTTGTTTCTTAATTTTTCTCCGTAGGTATTGCAAGTCGTTTCATTCAAGTTTCACAAGTAATTGACAAAGAATTTTATTTTGAATCAGGAATGAGTTTAACGGGTGGCAACTTGAAGAGGAAAGGAATGAAAGCTGACGAAGATGGATCGGTAGTAGAAATTGTAAAAAACGCTGGAGCTATACCCCTATGCGTATCCAATACCTCTGAACTCTGCTCAGGATTACATGCGTCCAATTTCATTGTCGGTTCGACTAAGAATCCATACGATACGAGGAAATCACCAGGAGGGTCGTCGGGCGGAGAGGTAACATCGGTATTCCGACCGAAATAAATTTCATTTTCCATAAAATTTCATGACTCCAAGTCAATTAGTTCTCTTTCTTTTAGGGCGCGTTACTCGGCGCAGGAGCTTCTCTGCTTGGAATTGGCTCGGACTTCATCGGTTCCATAAGAATACCGAGCCTATTCAATGGCATTTTTGGTCACAAACCTACTCCAGGTATGACCAAAGTTCTTAAAACAAGAACTCTTCCCATCTCGCTTTAACAATGTGGATTTGGCTGTTCACAGACATTATTCCCATCAAGGGACACTTTCCAATGTCAAAAGATCCTGCGTTCCAAAGAATGTTGGTGCTCGGCCCGATGGCGCGATACGCCGAAGATCTTCACTTGGTCGTCAAAATACTGAGCTCCAAATGCGAGAAACCGTTACGTCTGGACGAGCCAGTGGACGTGAAAAGTCTCAGGGTCTTTTACCTGGAAAATTTCGACAGTTATTGCGGTACAAAATCAACTACGTCGGACATAAGACGAACGATCAAAGAAGGGACACGTTACCTCGCTGAGAACGGTGCACGCGTCCAACACGTAATACTTTTATAGAAATATATCAGTAAATTTCATTAGAGACCTTTCGTTGGAAAAGGATCTGATTTTCTCGCTTCCACAATTTCCATACTCAAGGCACGAATGTATTTCAGTTGTCGCAGGACTGGGTACACGACGCGTTCATATTCCTGATGTCTTTTTGTGGCGATCTCGAGTTCCCCGAGGAATGTTTCGACAATGAAAATCCCGAGGTAAACGATCAATTTTAAAACATTCTTCTGTACAATAAACATTATATTGTAAATTCACCTCCACAGGGAAAGAAGAGTGCGATGCTTGGACTTATAAAGGCCATGTTCGGTTTGTCGGATTGTACGTTCGATCTCGCCCTTATACGACTGCTAGACGACATGCACGGATTCGTTCCAGTCTCGAAGATAGAACACTATAAAACCCTTAGAGAGGGCATCCGTTCCAGACTCAATGTACGAGAAGACATTTAACTCGATGGACTCGCGTTGCGTTTAGTGAATTTTCACGATTAATTAACGCATTTACAGAATCTGCTGGGCAACGATGGAGTATTCGTGTGCCCCACGTTTCCACAACCGACCACTTATCCAGGCTTGATTCCTTTTAGAACCGACTGCACCATTTATTGCGGGTTCGGCAATATGATGGACTTACCATCAACGCATGTCCCGATGGGATTGAATAACGACGGCCTGCCGATTGGATTTCAGGTAACTGTCGAATAAAATAAAATTCTTAATTATTAAACTGGCAAAAAAATTGTATTTCAGGTGATGGCTGCATCTTACCAGGACCGTCTTTGTTTAGCTGTCGCCAGAGAATTAGAAAAAGCCTTTGGAGGCTGGGTTCCACCTCCTAGCTGAATACCAACTCGATCGATACTCATACTACAAGAAAGGAACGTTATTAAAAAGCACCATTTCTACCAATAGAGACTGCGAGCCAAATTATTTAAACGAAAATAGCATGGACCACGCTGGACCATTTAATAATATTCTTTTACTTACAAGTTGGATTACATCTGTAGAAGAACAACGCAACGTATGCACAGTGTCAAGTTCATTCTACAAAATAAAAAGAACGAGTGTACGATCGAATAAAATATTTTGGTATTTTTCCTCTTTACAAAACTTTTAAAACCGATATTACTTTATGCACGGCCCTCGTAGAAATAAATCTTCCCGCTTACGAGCAACCAACACGCGTTTCTCGACGCACAATTATTATTTATTAATAATATTCGCGAGTCAGTGGAAAGCCAACACGTCCAACACAGATGACGTAAAAATGTATCTGTCGAATATTCATCATCAGTCATCCAAGACAATTCGATCGGATCGGTAGTCAAGATCGCGGCGCTAAAGAATGGTTGTTTCGCGGTAGCGTGGACTGCTTTAAAAATTAATATCGTTGGAAACTCGAAAGGATTCAGTCTATTCCAAACAAGTATTCGAAACAAGAATAGAGAATACAAGGTAAGATTTAAAACTGGATTTACAGAAGAAACGAAGCGAATCACATCGATTGAACTAGTTTTTATTATAGATTACGAAACAAATTCTACTTTTTAAACTCGTCCTAACTTTACACGGTTCGCCAAACTTTCAAATTACTGACAAAATTACGCAACTTTTGCCGTCTGATCGGAAAATTGGTCTCTATTGCACGGTATTTATTGTGATCGGATATTCATTATAAACTAATAAATTTCGCATTGCGTAAGCTCTCCCGTCAACTGTTTCGTCGTTACAGAAAAAAAATATAAATACCTATAAGTTGAATTTGCATAGTCTGGACAACTTTGGACTTGAAACATCAATTTTTTTACCCGGTTACGTACATTTAAATAGCTGTTGTACTATTAACGAAAGTTAAATATACAGCTCGTCTTCAGTATGCCACGTTCAATTCGATAAATCACAGGAAATAATTTCATCGACTGGGCCTCTTTTTGGAAGAAATACGTATTTCTACTGCAAGAGACTATAAACTCAAAGAATAAAATTTCTTGTAGCAGGGAAAATGTTTCGGAACCACCTGATAACGATTTTTATGTGGCTCGTGTACTCTTTTTTGCGTCCTATCTTCGCCTACATTTACTCCAAGAAACGAAAGAGTGTACCAGCGATCAGGAATCCTCTGCTAACTTTCAGTGCCGTCGAACTGGCAAAGAAGGTCAGACAGGGAGAAGTAAGTGCGAGTTTTTTTTAATTATTTTACTAGTAAATACTCGTCCAACGATATTAACATTTTTCGAACGAATAATCAAACACGCGTACATCGATCACGGTAATTAATGATCTCTGATATCGTTGCATTCGCGATAGCTTTCTAGTCAAACTATAGTGGAGGCATACATCGAGCGAATCAAGGAGGTGAATTGTTTCGTGAACGCAGTAGTGGACGAACGATTCGAGGCAGCCATAAACGACGCGAAAGCATGCGACGCGAAACTAAAGTCTGGAAAAGTTACCGCCGCTGCTCTAGAAAAGAGTCAACCGCTTTTCGGAGTACCATTCACTGTCAAGGAGGCCTGTTCCGTTGCAGGTAAAAACGCTTCTATCGCCAGTTGGTTCCTTCTACAATTAATACCTATCAGTGTTGTAAATGTCCTTATCATTATACGGCTATATAAAATAACTGACTTATGAACTGTAGTCTTACATATGTACGACAGAGAATTCATAATATATTTCATTACCATTATTTAATAAATCTTACTTGTACATGGATGCAAATATGATTGCTTCCACGTGGCCATCTGGTATATCATCTCCATTGCTCGCTTCCAAAGATACCAAGCGAATTTTCGACAGCATCTCGATACCGATCCTTTAATTAAAAAATACAAATTATTTGATAATGAAAACACGAAAATCAAATGACAAGAATTTTATCGAAATTAGGATTGAGTTACACGGGAGGGAGCTTGGCGAGGAAAGGGATGAAAGCAACGGAAGACGGATCAGCGGTGGAGTTAATGAAAAACGCCGGCGCTATTCCTCTGTGCGTTACCAACACTCCAGAATTCTGCCTGGGCACTACGTCCACGAATAATCTTTTTGGGACAACCAAGAACCCGTACGACACGAGCAAAACATGCGGGGGCTCGTCGGGCGGGGAGGTATTATCTTACGAATTGACTATCCAAACGTTTCCATCGATAAAACGTGAATGACTCGATTCAAAGGACACTTTGCTTGTTGCAGGGTGCACTGATCGGTGCAGGAGCGTCCGTGCTTGGTATCGGTTCGGATATACTAGGATCGATAAGAATACCAAGTCATTTCTGTGGTATTTTTGGTCACAAACCTACGCCCGGTACGTTCAAAAACGATTTAACGCAAAAGTTCTGTCCAAATAACGTCGATTCGGACGTTTCGCAGGTATTGTCTCTACCCGCGGACATCTTCCAACCGCTGAAAACAACGCGTTGCGTTTCATGGCTGTATTCGGCCCGATGGCAAGACACACGGAAGATCTTCATTTGGCTATGAAAGTATTGTCCGCCAACTGCGAGAGACCGTTACGATTGGACGAACCGGTGGATGTGAAAACTCTCAGAGTATTCTACGTGGACAATATCGATAGCGTGTTGGGCACGAGATCCACTACGTTGGACATAAGACGAACGATTAAACTAGCGACAGATTACCTGGCGAAGAACGGTGCACAAGTTAAACAGGTAATAATTTTACAATAACATTTTACAGCTTGTACAAGTTCTAGCTAACTCTTCCAACACGTCACGAAGTTTTCGTTTATGTTCTCGAATTTCAGACGTCGCAGGAGTGGGTACACGATTCATTCTTGTTCCTGCTGACCTCTTTTCTCTCCAAGGAGAATCCCGAAGAACTCATCACGGATAAATCGCCCGACGTAATGCTCACGCTGTAACATTCTTTTTACAGTGTAGCAACGCATAATTTCTAACTTGTTTCGCAGGCAAGGAAGAAGCTGTTCCTCGAATTGTTAAAGGCGCTCGTCGGATTGTCGAATAATACGCTGCAGTTCATATTCACTGTTCTATTGATAGAGTTTCATGGATTTATTCCCCGCGCGGCCGAAGAGTATTATAACGCGAAGAAGGACACCATGCGTGGGATCATTAACGTACGGGAGTACATTTCGTTTTATCGATAGAAACAATTTATGCGAATATTCGTTGATCAATGTGGTTACAGAAAGCTCTTGGTAACGACGGAGTGTTCATATGCCCCACCTATCCGCACGCAGCGAGTATAGCGGAATTAACATTCCTCAGGAACGATTGCGTTATTTATACCTCCAATTGTAATTGTTTGCAGCTGCCATCGACGCACGTCCCAATGGGATTCAATGACGAAGGATTGCCAATTGGCTTTCAGGTACTTTATCTACCATATTTCTCACAGACTTGCTTAGGACGACGGGGAACCATTAAAAATTGTGTTTCAGGTGATAGCTGGATCCTATCAGGATCGTCTTTGCTTAGGAGTCGCCAGAGAGATGGAAAAGGCATTCGGTGGTTGGATACCACCCACCAGCTGAGTTTCTCTAATTATTCGTGTGACATTTTCACCTAGAAAAACAAAAAACACTACTTGTTATTAGTTATGTAGTGAAAATCATTGTTTTCTTTACCTACTCATAGACCAATACTGTAGATTCACTATTAATTAATTATATATTTAAATACCTTTGTTACATGACTATTCAGTTCAAACTATCGAAAAATCAAAGACCTGAAGGTCAATAAAATTTCCTATCCTAAGGAAACGTTCCAGAAGCTTCGAATTTTTTCATTTCCATTGTCTTTTTACTAAACAGTATACATATATTTTGGGTTTCTATAAAGATTACGAAAAAGACAACCGAGAAATACCGCTACAGTACCGGCTATGAGTTAGTTAGTGTAGTGTTAATTTCTTGTGTCAGAAATTTTCAATGACCTCGAAATGGTACCGCCACGGACGAGGTATACGTACACCTCGTCTGTGGTACCGCGTCGCGCGATTTTTCATCAGTAAGTTCTGAGAGTCCGTGGGCGAAGGAAGTGGGCACAGATGGCGCGACAAAGTATCGCTCGAGTATCCGTCAACAGTTATCGAAGACTATTCGAACGGATCGATGATTGAAATCGCGTGGAAATCGAAGAGATCGATGCGTGGTAACGTCGACCGCTCCGAGAACACCAAGATCATCGATTCTTTGCGGAAACACTGTGAACCATCGATCGAGTGCCTGCAACGATCTACCTTGCACACGGAAGAAGAAGAGAAAAGAACACAGGTACGATCAAGTGTCCACAGATGTCGCAAACTTCTACCCCAAATACACTTTTCGATCTATAAATCATTATCGTTAGAAATTCTAATCAACTATTTTCTTAAAATTAATTACCGATATCTTTTCCTTGAAAGTTTCATTAGTTAAGAGGACACCTCGATATAACACCGAATCGTCTGGATGATCGATTATCTCAAAGACTGCTTCAAAATCATTTTTATACTCGACCGCTTTTCCTCATTTTCTAATGAAAATTCGAAGAATTCGAATCGTGTTTCGCTGTTCAGAGATCCGACTGACACGTGGAATGGTTCCCGAGATACATTACTAATCGAACGAGGTTGAAGGTCGAAATTTCAAGATTGCCGTATCGACAAAAAAAATCTTACATTTTTTTATCTAAAATGAATATTCATTTGAGAAAACGCTGATTAAGATAAATGCTCGACATCGCGTCGAGTCGGCAGTCACGTGTCGTTCTGCATTTCTGTAAACGCTGGAAACGCATAGACGGCAAATCATGCAAATCGTCGATCGTCCGTCGATAATTGCCGCAATTTTGTTAGACGTCTACATATTCAACGCGTGGTACACACAAGATTACACAAAGTGTATTAACGATCGAGTGATAAGAATAGTGTCTTGATAAACGAGTGACAATTTCAGAGATGAAACTTTGGCGATGAAAAATACCAACTAATTCTATGATCTCTGTTCGATCTCATAATGGATCAAATGACAAGAACTGTTTATCTTTCGTCCGTTATTAGAAATGGGTAACTAGATAAGAAACGCGTCTATCTCTGATTTCAAACAAGAAAAATTCTCGAGTTGTACGATCGATGATCGAATCAAGTTTTAATTAATCTTGATTGTTTAATACCTCGTAGCAACAAATTGGTTCGATAACATTGCTAGCACGATTGCAATCGGTATCTGAAATTATAACTTTAACATATAAATACCACAGTATATCAATGTTAAACTGGTGAAAATTATTATGACAACAAAGTAGAAACTTGTAGAAAAGTTAATATGTGTAACGAGTACTGATAAGAGGTACTAATAACCGACTTATTTCTTTAAATAGAAATTTTGTTAAAGAGCTACGTCGTAAGATTCTTTAAAAAGATATAATTCCGTACTCGTACACATATTCGCGTGGACGTGGTTTTAACAGAGAATTATTGGCAACATCCGAACCGGAAATAGGGGACCATGAACCCTAAGAAGCCATAACTTCGAGCAAAGACCATTCGAACGATATTATACATAGATCGGAGTAGACAAATAAATAGATAGATCGATGCATGGATCATTCGCGTTGACGCGCGTTTACGAAATACGCTGTTTTTTTGGAAATGTACGATTTTGACGTCAGAATCCTGTTCTCTTACACTCTCGCTCTGTTATTTCCTGGATTTTGAAACGCATTAGAAGAAAGGAATGCCCGAGGCGCGCGTCTGTTCGTCGTACGATAGCAATAGCAACACGTGCACGTCAAATATTCGTCAGTTATTGCATATTGTTACCAAGATCACGTAGAAATTGTGGAGCGAGATCCAAGGACGAACCAGACACGTGTAGTCTTCACGTAGAGTTTACGTAATCACGAATACCACGCTCTTGGATCGATATAATTGTTGGATTATTAGATATAGATGTAGTTTCTACGTTACTAGAATGAGAAATGAAAGCAGAGCGGTGACCGTTTCGAATTCGAAATTTTAAACCGGACATTTCCAGCGTATTAACAGCGAACACATACTCTAAAAAGATAATTCATATATCTAGACAGTAGTCTAGATATTCTAAATCAGTGATTCTCAATCATTTTTTGGCTCGCGGCCCCCCCGTTTTCAACTTTCACTCTTGCACCGATGATCCATCAACGATTTGCTTCCCGCACGATTAGCCTCGATCTTTAATTACAGTTCGGTTTATTCGTTACCAAATTTTTAACGGCTACATCACGTCCCGCTCTAATTCATACAAATTTTCACGACGTTTTAAATATTTTTCTTATCACAGATAAGATTGCATTTCGTTCAGTTACGTTATGTAAGTAATCGTGATACGATTTTACAAAAATTTGGTATTACTGTTAACAAAAGTGTTTAAGAGCTTTGTCGTGCTTCTCGAAATAATCTGTTTTACTTTTTGGATTATGGAATCGTACAATTGTGTTACCGAAGAGGTTCGTTTCAAGTTCAAAACAAAGTAATTTCAAAGCAATGCCTGACATGACGCTCATAAATTATATTAATTATTATTATTATACTACAAAGTACACTGGCGCTAAAAGCGCAATAAAAATAATAATAAAATAGAAAATAAAATACTGTAAACAATATATTGCTACGATGCTGACTATATTATTATTGTTTAACGGGTATAAATTTTTGGAGGTAACTCGCCAAAGTGTCCTCGAAAATATAAATTATAGTCAATGCTAAATAATCACAAGTTACTCCCGTTCAAACTGTTTGGTAGATAATTGTTTAAATCTATGTTAAACGATACAAGGATCAATAATTAAATATTGTGCACATACATTGGTAGGACCAAATGTTGTCTGGTAAATGATCCATCCTATAGACTGCGGTTATTCACCACCGAGTAATGTCCGTTCGCAAGAAGAAGGCCAAGAGTATATCCTCGCACTAGTTTACTAGTATTTCAGATCCTCTACCGTCCCACGCATAATTGTTACTGACAGAGAACGGTGACGAAGATCGACAGCAGGTGACCTGCGCCAATAGCGACAATGCAAGCGATGGTGGGGTAGTAGTAGCTAGTAAACTAAACGAGGGTGTAAACCCTCGTTAGCGTTTATCCTCGCGGGTCCTTGACCTTTGTTTTCCATGGACTCCTCCTGCTATGCAATGTTCTGAAATAATGTATTATTTCATTCGGCTACACGTTACCTGAAATAACTATGCGTTAGTTTGTATGAACGTTAAAACAATTTTTCAAACGCCATTTCGTATTTTGGATTTACGGTAAAAGAATTTTTTGTTCAAACAAGAATCTCCTGATTAACTTTTCTAGCGATAAAATTGTGCTAGCGTATCTTGCTTATACGTTTGTATCCGTGAAGGGAATTTTATCGTTCGCAGCACCGAATTAGATCTTTCAACGTCTTTTTTCCCCTAAAAATAATCTTCGTATTAACACTGCAAATCCATTTATCGCTCGATAATGGCCACGGTCCGTGACGAGCTTAGATTATCAAGCGTTTCGAAATATTCTAAGCTCGGTTCTATGTATGCGGGAGAGATTTTATTAAATCATCGGACGCATAGTAAATACAAAATAAGAACCAATTGGCATTATGAAACAAATAAACCGTTGATTCATAACACGATACGAGCATGATACGCAAATATTAAACAATCGTTGCATCGATGCGCATACCTCGGATACGACAGAACGAAATAATCGTAGTAATCGTTCTGTCGATTAACTTTCGTTAGTATTCCACGATTAATTTCATCCCAACCTTCTTGTCACATTGTTTATAAATCGTCTGTTTTCAGGCACGTGTATCTTGGTAATTCTTCTACGCTTGCAATATCGCGTATTGCATACTTATATCAGTGTTTCTCATACTTATCGCTGAGCCCCTCTGAAAATGAAGGAAAACTTTTAATCGACACTCCACGGTAAATAATCATTGATAATAAAGAACCAAGCTTATCATTTTAATTATTTCTAGTACTATGATGCCATTTATTATGCTCTCCCCCTTCTAGTATAATAGTGAACCAAGTTCTAAAGAAGTATAACACAAATGGGTACTTGAAATGAAACGGAAAGTGAAACAATTTTATATAATTAATTCTAATAATTAAAGTTCACAGATCGTGTGAGGGAAAATGTTTCTTTTTAGACACAGTAATTATCCTGTCCGCTGAAATGATTCGCGTTACGCCTCGTTAAAGCCACGCATCTCCACTTCCATTCATCAATCCGACGCAAGAGTCATCGTACACGTGCTGTGTTCCCCAATGTCACGGTAAAATAAGTTTGCATAACCGGTTGATATTCTTAGGAGACACGTGCCAGTACAACAGAACGTAGTAAATAGCCAATAAATTATTGCGCTGCTGCGATCACCTGGACCGACTAAAATATAGTTAAAAATGGAATCCGAACGTGTTCCGATCCGACAAACTCGTTAGTGGTAATCTGCATGAGTTAGCACGTTATATCATCCGTTCAGGCATATACTTTCGTACTAATGCAGTTGGTAAAATGAAGAAAAATATACATAGAAGTCGACCTGTATACACGTACAACTATGTACATTTATATTACGCCTAATCGAACCCTTAGATACGATGCAACTTTTAATCTCAAGCGATCCGATAGAGCTTATCGTCTAACACTAGATCTACCAAGAGGGTCAAACAACTTGTTTCGTTATTTGTATGTAGTATATTAAGTATATTACCCATTCAATACTAGTATTTATAATACTATTGTGTAATATACTAATATTTATATAAAATAATATGAATTCAAAAGGATCATAAATACATATGTATAGAGAACTTGCAACAGCGTTATTTTATGGACTCTGTGAAAATAATAGATGTGAATAGAAAAGATAAATACACGACTGACCAACAATTACAAAGAACTAATCATTGGCTGGGCACCTTCCCACCGAAGCATGACTGGTAACGAAAAGCAAACTCTATTGCAAAAGAAGCGACATCGCTTACATCAAGCGAAGAAAAACCAGTCCCTTGCCAGGACCTCGTAACCCAGATACAACGGCACTGAAAAAAAAGAATGCAACAAGATTTGAATCGCTGCCAAAAGACCAAAAACTCACGGTGTAACGCAAGATTATCATCGATCTCGATACGATAGTAATCGAAAAGAAAAGAAATAATGTCCCGACTAAGAACTGGGAAATTTATGGGAAAAATCTAGATTTTTCACCCCGATCGTACTGGGTTGTGACTTGAAACAATCGAAGAAAGAGAAAGTAATATACATATTTCCTGAACCAGCTAATGGTAATTCACATCACGAAAGCGATGTCTATCAATTACGTTCACTTCGCTATACTTAATAAGAGATCTCTAGCTTCGCATTCAATGTCTCGATCACTTTCCCCGACGAAATGGACATTCCTGGCGTTTCCAACGAACATAAAACTATTAAGAAAAGAACAAAGATATTAAGTTCATTAGGATACCGTCGCGCATCGGAATTTTAGATAAACAAAAATCCACAGAATTCCTCATAAATGGTGTTATAACGAGACATCGATAACGAAATAAAATTTTGTTTCTATTTTTTCGTCGTATCTTCTCGAGAGCGTATTCAATGGATCGGCGAGGTTTTCCCGATAAAAATAAGTCCAAACACGGCCTCGCTCCAATTATTATTTGTTATGCGTAATACGAAACACTTTCGAATTCTGCAAGTACACGGTCCTTCGAATAATGTCGTAACGCTCGCCGATTCAATGGTAATGCTCCCGTAAATGTATAGTGGAAAAATATAAAATGAAACTTTCAATGCTGGATGAAATTCGATCACCGAGGTGATCAGCATACTCTGCATGCTTTGGCCTCTCGACGCTGCATCGATAATCGTCGACACTTTGTATGTTTCCTTAAAAGGCTGGCCGCCTGGTAAAGCCAGACCAGTCTGCCTCTATATTTGAGGAAGAGAAGGTGTGCCTGCTGGTTCGCGGATTCTGTGTCTTTGAAGAAAACCATCGGTTGGAGCGACCGGACCGGAGACACGACGACCAAGAGGAATAGTGGGATCTATCCTTCGATCGGTTCGACTGGCCAATAGATTCGGCGCCAGGTACATCTAGTCCCCTTTCTAGAACAGTGGTTCTTAATCATCTTATGCTCACCGCCACAGCATGTTAAAATAAAACATTTCATTCATATTATAATTAACGAAATTATATGCTGCGTTTAAGTCTACTTGGTGTTGTTTACCAGCAATACTCTACTGAATTTGTAGACCAGACAAAAGGCTGTCGGATATAAAGTGTAAACCCCTTTTTAGGTATTGTAAAAATGTCCACTTTTAGTGTGTGTTTTAGGTAAACTGGAGTCGATACTTTTAATTCAACTTCCACTTTAAATTTAAAGCTCTGGCGGTAATAGCCTAAGAGTGGGTTAAGAATCATTGTTTGCAAGGGAGAGAAACGTTTGAATACACATGAACAGTTTATAGATTGGTGTTTTTTTTCTAACAGAGAAAATGATTCTGTCCAACCTGACCAGTATACTTACACACCTGTTGCACTTTGTTCTTCGTCCTTTTCTGCTCCTCATTCATATGAAGAGACCACCGAGTATACCGCCGATCAAGGATCCTCTCCTGAAAGTTAACGCGAGCACATTAGCCAGGAAGATCAGGCATGGAGAAGTAAGTGCATACTTTTGTTATTCAACCGTTCATCATGCAAGTCACGTCATTATGCTCGACTCTTGTTGTTTCTATTATGAAACGTTCAATTACCATTAACGTATCGTTGATATTGCAATCTTCCCCCCCCCCCCTGCCCGAAAGTAGCTTACTTAATAAATCGTACGCCAGAAACGGGCAAAATTGTTATCTAGATAATCGCTCCTCGGACATTTGCAAATGTTTACCAGTAAACGCGTGTATCTTGGAAGAATGACAATGTTACAGTTACGCGGGTACCGAAGCCAGTGCAATAAAACTACGCTAAGAATTGATCGAAGTCCTTTTTCCGTAAGAAACGCGCATCGATAATCAACGAACGGGCAATATCTCTCGATCGAACAAATGAAAAAGAGACGTTAGTCCAATTACAGCAATCCATAATTTGTAACTCTGTTGCACTGGGAAAAGCTTTCTAGCCGGACTGTAGTGGAAGCATATATCGAGCGTATTAAAGAGGTGAATCCTTTCCTAAATGCAGTAGTAGAGGAACGATTCGATGCGGCTGTAAACGATGCGAAAATTTACGACGCGAAACTGAAGACAGGGAAAGTTACCGCCGCTACGCTGGAAAGGGAGAAACCGCTGTACGGAGTACCAGTTACCATCAAGGAAACCTGTTCCCTTGCAGGTAACGCTTCCACTAGATCAAACACGCCAAATTGACTTTCGTCACCGAGCCGATTTGCCATTTACAATTATCTCACAGGGCTTACAAATATATTTTTTTTTAAAATAGTTCGTCAAATGAAATTATCATCACGATTGAAATAGGAGTGGCAGCGATAACGTGGGCCAAAGTTACGAAATAATAGAAAAATTAAGATAATGCTTGTGAATCGGTGAATCGAAAAAATATCGAACAAGAACATAATCAACATGTTATTATTCGTAATCAATGTTTCGACCTTCGGTTTGGGTATTCTTTTTTATCAATTCCCACGTGGCTTCGACCAAACACTAGCTTTCTGTTGTTTGTTTTTTCTTTACGATTGAAATACTCGCGTAAAAGTGATGTCACGACCTCTTCGTGTGGAACCATTTCTAAGATTACTATTCTTATCGGACAAATGATACAAGGATGTGCCAATGACGTACCGGTTGCTGAGATTATAAACTTTACAAGCAATATACGTAGAACACACGTGACGACTGGAAATGAGCGGAATTCTTTTCTAGCTTCCTTTTTTTTTTAAATCAGGAATGAGCTACACGGGAGGCAGTTTGTCCAGGAAAGGAATAAAAGCTTCGGAGGATGGGTCGGCGGTAGAAATGCTGAAGAACGCGGGAGCCATACCTCTGTGCGTTACAAACACCTCCGAGTTCTGCACAGGAATTCATACCACGAATTACCTTCATGGCGCGACAAGGAATCCATACGATACGAGAAAATCGCCGGGAGGATCATCGGGCGGTGAGGTAATACCATAAGGAGGGCTCCTACTCTATTATTTATTCTACCACAAACCCACAAAAGAATCGACTATATCTAAATTTTCCTACAAAAGCCTACGCCCAATCTCTTTCCTCGACCTATGAAAATTTAGTACCTACTGCAGTCAAATTCACTCTAATAGATTGGTATCTATTCTGAAACCGTAGGATGACGTGTTTTTTTTTCTTCTACTATGCTCTGGAACCTGCAAAATAACAAATAATTAATATTTTGCTTAAACTGTATATTGCATTTTTTATTTATTATTTCATGGAGATACTATACATATAGTTTGCAGCTTCGTTGATTGTTTCAGGGAGCTTTGCTTGGCGCAGGAGCATCCGTACTTGGGATTGGTTCGGACGTACTGGGCTCCATAAGAATCCCGGGTCTCTTCAATGGTATTTTCGGCCATAAACCTACTCCAGGTAAGAGACGACCGGAGGTGGCAGTAAAAGGTGTTAAAAATTACTCGAACGCTTTGTTCGCAGGTATTATTTCTAGTCAGGGACACCTACCGAATTTCGGAGGTTGCACAATCGAAAGCATGTTGGTGTACGGTCCAATGGCGAGGTACGCGGAAGATCTTCGCTTGGCTATGAAGGTATTGGCCTCGAAATGCGATACGTCGTTATTACGCTTGGACGCCCCGGTGGACGTGAAAACTCTCAGAGTGTTTTATTTGGATAATTTCGACAGTTTTTGCGGGATAAGATCGACCACGTCGGACATAAGGGAATCGATCGAGCAAGCAACGCGATACCTCGCGGGGAACGGTGCGAGTGTCCAAGAAGTAATAATTTTGCGCAAAGATCTGAAAATTTGAAATAATCTTACAAGTAAAAGTCGCGGTTGTGGGATCGTAAATTTTTCAAATCGAAAAGATTGAAAAAATTTGACGACCCCCACCAGGTGCGACCAGGTCTCCTCGTTATTCATCGAAATATCGTTTTGTATTGCAGATGTCGCAGGAATGGGTAAGCAGTATATTCATGTTCCTGATGACTTGTTTCGGCGAGGTGCAATTACCCGAATTACTTTTGGACCCTAAATACTCCCAGGTAACGGAGAAACCTTCCGTTTGACTCGATATTTCTTGGATTTATCATCTAATTGATAGCTATTTCCCACAGAGAAATAAGACGCCGTTACTCGAAGTCGTAAAAGCTTTGTTCGGTTTGTCGGATTACACGTTGACGCTCGCATACGTCCAACTAATGAGGAAGGCACGAGGATTTATTCCACAGTCCAAGGAAAAATACTATCAAGAGCTTCGGGAGGATATCCGTCACAGAGTAAACGTACGAGAGCACATTTGTTTGAGAGCGTTGAATGAATATTTATGTTCGATTCGTGTGCTTACAGAAACTGCTCGGCAATGACGGAGTATTCATATGCCCCGCGTTTTCCCAACCGACGGACTTGCCAGAATTAATTTTTCTTCAAACCGATTCCGTCGTTTATAGTGCATTCAGTAATATGATGCACTTACCGTCGACGTACGTGCCAATGGGACTGAATAACGACGGACTGCCGATTGGATTTCAGGTAATTAATGACGAAAACGATTATTTTTTTAATAACAATCCCTTAACATAATCTCTGTTTGCTTACAGCAACGCACAGAGTTCATTTTCGCTAAAATCTGTACAGTTAACTTACCACGATTTATCTCCCAATCTTAATTCCTTGTTTGATTTACAAAAGGATTAATTTCGAGTAATATTTTTCGAGTTTTCTCTGTTTCAGGTGATGGCCGGGTCTCATCAGGACCGCCTTTGTTTAGCAGTTGCTAGAGAATTAGAAACAGTCTTCGGTGGCTGGGTACCTCCTCCGAACTGAATTTCTATTTCGTCGACATTGATTTCTTTTTTTGTTTGTTTTTTTTATCTCGAACAAACAGAATACTCGTATTTCATTGTTGCTGATCACTGTGATTTTTTTCAATTAAGTACTATTTCTTTGATATAAGGATGGCTTAGCTGCAGGAGACTGTTAAAAAAGTGTTATTTTTATTGGAAAACAGGTGGAGTGAATGTTATTTATTTATAATCACTTAACTGATACACACCTTTATTCATCGCGGCTTCCTTTATAACCGCACTGGCGTACCTACAATTCGCATTGAATGTGCAATAACATAACTTATGAATAGTAAAATTATCTTTACTAAATAAACCAAAAATAGTATTTTCAACGAAGCTTTATATTAATCAAAGGAACAACCTTCACGCCTTTTCCATTGTAAAATACATAAAGGAAGTTTATCTTCAAAGTCCATCGTTTTTTTTTATATCAACCTTAATACCATAAATTAAATACAAGGCGTACACCCTTAATTAAAACCGTCGTTCTAAAATGATGAAAATAAATTGAAATTTAATGAGATCTTTTCTTTCACGAATGTTTCTTTCCCGCCTTGCACCATGCTCTTTTAAGCGATTACAAAAAAATTCTACGTTTCAATTTAGACTTTATCGCGCTAGGAATCACCTAATTCTCGTAAACAAATCCGAATACTGTATATTTTACAACGCACCGAGCACACAGAGTCGATCGATCCATAGATCCACTATGAATCCGCTCGGCTGCTCTACTTTCTCGTGACGAATCAATAACATACTCGATAAACATACATACAGAATTTCTAAGGCACTGTGCTGTGGATACGCCATCGAAATGGCTCGATACCGAGAAAAATACAAAATTCGTGATGTATACGTGTTAAGAGCTATTTTCGCATATTCGACGAACGTTCCAACTAACTTCTCATTTCTTACGATCGCACGGAGGAATGTACAGTTTACCCCCGTGCTTTTCCCATTCACGATTGAACTCGTGTTCCAACACCTCGGCACCCCGTTTCCTAGTCAACCCAGTCTCGTCTAGGCTCAATTCGCACATTTGCATGTCGTCGATACCTTTCACAGAAATTTATTTGCCTTTGAGAACTCAACACAAGTTGTTTGCTACAAGATCAAGTGCAAGGATTTGTGGCAAGCGTGAGAATATTTGCTCCCTTTTCCAGCGAGAACGTCCAAGGCGAGTAACGATAACGTAAACAAGTGCGTAACAGCGTCCAAACACCATTAATGACTAGCGTAAACGTGAATAAGAGGACAGAGTTTGATTGCAAGAAAAGCAGTGCTTGAATAAGAGAGTATTGTTTCGTTCGTGTAATATGCAAGATGCGATAGCATACGGGAGTAGAAGTAATGTGTAATAACGAATCAAGCTCAACAGCTTGGAACTTTACCTGCTACTAGTAGGATTGGTGCTTTGTCAGGATGAAGTTCCATTTGTCTTGCAACGTATTGGCCGTCGAAATGGGCGTACCACCATCCTCTTTTACCAGATGTGTGCGAATTGTCTTGCTGTCCTGGCGCAGAAGGTCGCACGAATGGAATTCTGAAGTATCGCTGCGAAGACTCTACTATCGATTGCTTAATTGGAGTTCTCGGGGTTTTAGCAGCTAAAAAGAATATTAAATCGATCGCATCAAGATCAAATGAATGGTGAATTCAGGTCTGTGGGATTACGCGAGCACGCTTACCAGCTTCCATGATGGATCTCGGTGCTCTTTCGTTTTCGTCCATTGTCGTTCTCCTGCGATTTCTCGCTTTCCAGGCGTGATAAACTTTTAATCTTCGGTGGAACTCGTGACGACAAGCCTACCGAAAAAATTGCATCACCATTCTACGAGATTGTTAATTGTATCAATTTAAACGATTTCAAACAATGTCCACCTCCAATAATTCGATGTCACACGATGTATTTATAGCATCTCGTAATTCGGAGTACTTCCACTTGGACAAGTCGTACTTTTTATTAGCCATGGCTGCCTGATTATTGCGCACTTGCTCTGACCTATTATTTATAACGATATTAATTAATATCAAAGCATAGTAATTACCAAAGCATTCAAACGAAGAAATAAATCTCAACTTATTTACGATACCTTGCTAACCTGTTGTTGTTCGATGGTACTCGTATCTCGGAACCGCTACATATTCAAACAAAGTGAGAAATTATTTGCTCGACTTGTATACAAAGAGCAACAAATTCCAAGCACGCAATATTTTATGAAACAATACCTTCGTACAGGCGGTGGTGAATCTTCGACCTGTCCATTTGATTCTTGGGCCAGTCTAACCGCCAATTCGTGATCTCTTCTCTCTTGTTCCAGTAATTCGCGATATTTGTTCTCTTCCATTGCTTCTCTCTCCAATTGCGCCTTGAGAACAAGTAAACAAATCAGGTGATTGTTTAAAGATAAAATTACTTCGTAAAGGAAAAGTGCATACTTGAAGCGCTGCGGCAGCTTTCTGGTCTTCTACTTCTTGCTTCCTCTTCTGTTCTTCTTCAGCCTTTCTTCTCGTCTCGATGTCGTGTTTCTTTCTCCTATTTTCCTCCTCTTCCCTTATCTTTCTTTCCTCCTCTTCTTTCCGCTGCTTCTGGAGCTCCAATTCTAGCTGGATCTTCCTCAATTTCGCCTGCTCCTCGGCAACCTTTTGCTGTTTAACCATATCCTGCAACGACGCCATTTGTTTGTTCACTTGATTCACCGAATTAGTATAGAGCGAATCGATCTCCGCCGGTCTTATTCTCGTGTTGTCCTTGATCTTCTTAATCGCCGCCTCCAAATCGTTCTTCAGTCTCTGTATGTCGTGCATCGACCTGTCACGATTCTTCAACTGTTTCGACGTCTCCTCCATTCCGATCAGCTGCGTCTTCAAATTTCTTATCTTCAAAATTCCCTTTATTCGAGGCCGATGCTGCTTCTTGGCTATGTACATCCTAGCTGTTTTCTGGAGAACTATTAGATGCTGTCTGCGATAAATAATCTTATTCTTCAATTTGATCACGGAAAGGGCGCAGAATTGCATTTTGTTCCATCGAGATTTAAGGAGCCATTTCTTCACGTTCGCCACCAATTTCCTCAAGTTCTCCGGATCCGATTTCATAATCTTGTCGAACTCAGCGAACTTTCCTGGTTTAAAGAACACTCTGGTGATTCCGAACTTGAAGTCTTTCTTGTTCAGTTTCAAGCTGTGAAGCAACGCCTCGCAGAAAAACCTAGGTTCTAATTTAGCCAACTCCGGTGGCAGATAGGATTTGTACATGTTATAGAGTTCCTGGAACGGAACTCTGCTGGGATAGCCGTGCTCCATCAGCTCCAACACAGACGTCATCCCCGAACAACGTAACTGTCCCAAAATACTATTTCCGTCGAACTGATGGGCGACCATGTCGTTATTGGGTTTAATGCAACGTACAAAATTTGTTCCCTGAAAAAGAATTCCATTGTAACACGCCGATCGAAATCACGCGACGAAACGATAATATCTAAATAAACACGCCAGGAAAAAGGAATCGTTACATTGCTCTTTAATTTATCCATTAGCTCCCCTAATTGGGTTTTGAATTTACTACCGACGCTAATGAACGTAAGTTTCCCTTTCTGGCTCGAGTTGTTGGCGAATTGTGTTCTAAGGAATTTGTTGTTGCTCTCCTGAATTAACGCTTCCAAGGAAGCATGCAACGCGTCATTGTTTTTCTCGATAAACTGATTCTGTAAGTATGAAAAGAAAAAAAATATATGTCTGATAGTAAAGTACACACAATGACAGATGTTACGTACGTACGTACGTATATTACGCGATAACGTACCGTTTGATAACAGACACCGCCGGCGTAATGGCGGATCACAAACCCTTCGTCGTCTCGCAACTCTCGGTGAGCCTTTAACCGCGAAGTTCTCGGCAATGTTATTCTGAAATGACCGTTCCAAACGCGATGGACTTCGCTGGTGAAATGCGCGAAACTATGAGTCGGCAATTTTGATTCCTCGTCCAACAAACTAAACACTCCCATATTTTTCGACTCGATTAAATCTGAAAATGCAAGAAAATATACATAAATATACGTTCGATTTGTGCTGAACGGTCAAGGTGTTTTATCTATAGTTATTTATATAGCTTGATAATATATAAATATCTATGACTTCATCAACTAGATAAATTATCTATTAATAAATAAGTCATAATTTATTAACAATAAATTTTATATTTATATATTAATAAATATTTATTTACCGATGCAGTCTTGATTGTCGACGTACGATATCTTAGGTACGTTAAGAGATTCCCTCGCGTAAAGGTCTTGCTCGTACTTCAAGATCCTCTCGTTGAAGAACTGTTGTAGCTTCTCGTTGCAATAATTGATGCAGAACTGTTCGAAACTATTTACCTTGAAATACTCTGCGAAAACGTGAGAACGTGGATTAAAACGGTCGAGAAACACGGTAAAACTGATACGTACCAAAACCTGCGATATCCAAGACACCAATATAATAACTCGAAGCTTGGAAAGGAATGCTTTTGTTAATACGACCTACAATATGATCAAACAGTTTGCTGTAAATGGCTTTGGCCAGAGCGTCCCTAGCATTGTTGGCTTCGTACACCTTCAACGGTACCCTGAAAACGTTGCACGTAATTACGTACTTTTCTTCTTCCGTTTTTTACACATCCTTTTCATCGACTTACATGATAACCGTTCCCTTGATACCACCGCGACTAGTCTGCATGACTTTTGAGACCAAAGCTTGCCTGAGCTCCTCAGGATCTACAGCCAATAACTTGGCGGACATCAGCACCGCTTTCTCGGAGCTGGCGCATATTCTGGATCCACCTTTGGTGTCCTCAGGATTGTCCTCGAACATGATATTTCCAAGATGAAGCACAGCGGCCACCATCGTATAAATTTCCATTCGTTCAGCTTCGGTCAAACCAAGCCGCGTTAAGGCCTTCATGAAAGAAAAGATATTTTAAAGTATGCAAAAGAAACGGGACACAAAAATTTTCGTCGTTTCTTGCAAGAATGAAATGAGATTCTGAAATCTGCGATTAAAAATGAAAAATTCGAAAATATCGAACAAGATGAGCGTTTGATGATTGCTTATTAAACAATCGAATTACCGTTGCTCTTTCCTGCGTTGCAAAAAATTATCCAATCGGCAATAAAGAAGAGTTTAAAAAATTTATTAATAAGAATTTTGTTTGTCAAAAGATAAAAGTCAGTCAGGGTGAAAAGTATATTATATTAGTATCGATGGAGTATGAGCAGGATGTTTACCTGATCAATGGCATTGAATCCTTCGACATCGTCCAGGATCGGATCGTGCAAACTACCTTTTATCATTTGATCGCGGCTCTTTTGCACGTCGTTCAGTTTCTTCGCCGACTCTTCGTTGCAAAAGTATTGCGTGCAACCGTTCCTCAGATAGTGGAAGTCATCCGGTTTCGTAATTCCGAGTTTCGCGCGAAGCTCGGGAGGAGCACCAGCGCACATCATATAGAAAACGTGGTAATTTCTTTCGTCTGGGCTCTGAAGACAGACCCTCGACTTCTCCAGGAGATAGTGAGATATATAACCGCCAACGACTTGGCACTTCGAGTCAAAGTGTACCTCCATGAATTTACCGAACCGCGAGCTGTTGTTGTTCCGTTTAGTCTTTGCATTTCCAAACGCTTCCAATACAGGATTCGCTAAAATATATATCAAATGTTATCCAGGTTGCTAACCACTGGTTTAAAATATCGATACACTCGTACCGGGTGAATCACCGCTCGGATTAAAAGATCCGTTAATAGATTCTAATTTACGAATGAATTTACAAACGGAAGTTAGTTTATGAATGAATTAAATTTCTGTACGATGAATAAAACATTCACGCTTTGATTTATCGTAGTGGAAATATTAAGCAGACTGCGATTGTTAATTTATGTATGTGTATTCACCGTCCAGAATTTTCTGTTCGATCGGTCCAGCCGTCAATCCCCATAGATCGCACAAATACCGAAGAAGATACTTTGTCGACTCGGTCTTTCCAGCTCCGGATTCGCCGGAAACGATGATACTCTGCGACTGCTTCAGCACTTTCATATCTCTGAACGCCTTGTCGGCTGAAAAATAAACGCCAAACAGCATTTTAGTAAATTAAAAATACGAACAGCAATAGAGAAGAATATATTCACCGATGGCGAAAACATGCGGCGGCGTTTCTCCCAATGACTTTCCTTGATAAGCTTTGATCGTCTGAGGCGAGTATAGATCTTTCACTTCGCAGTAAGGATTTACAGCGATTAAGATATTAGCGACGTAGGTCTGTCAAAAGTGACATAACATTACCCATTTAACAAGAACACAGACAACGTGTGACTTTGTTGCAATTAATATTTATTACAGTGGCGCATGTAAAGTGCTAGGGTCTTGTAAAATGCTTAAAAACTATTATCTCTTCTTCTAATGCCCTCCATGATACACTGCAATCTACATAGAATTACTCACGTATATTCTATCCTTGAAATAACGTGTTCGTATATTGTTCAGTAGCGTGGCTTCGTTCAGGTACATCAGAGCACCTGGAGACATAAAAAAACAGAGTCAATCCGAGTGAAAGTGGATTTTAAAAAGCGTCCTCGACGGGGAAAATTCAAATCACTTCGAACGCGATTCGAAACTTAAAACTCTTGGCAGTCTCGATGGTCTTGAAGGTCTTGATCGTGTTAGAAGTCTTTAAAAGTCTTAATCGTCTTAGAAGTATTCGCGAGACGTCTTAATGAGTATTCAGTAACTTACAAACATGTTTATCACTTTTACATATGCATGTTTCGCTGGCACTAAACAGTAAAATAAAGTCTGACAAGTTCGATTTTAGAACTGGTAGTACTTGTATCAAATTATTACTTATTAATCGTGTCCTTTTGTAAAAATACCATCTACCATATCACAGTGAAAAAGATAAGTTTAACAATCCAATCTGTAAGATGGAAATTGATATGGACGAAGAATACAAAACAATCGATGACTCATAGTTTGATCATTGGACAAAATTCCCATTAGAATGGATTTCGGTAATTGAATCGCATCGAGGCCAGAACACTTTGACCAGACTGAGCGGATGCCCCAATTATGCCAAGTTTTACAGTTACCTTCATAATCAGTTTCTTCCTTAATGTGTGACCCAAATAAACGACTATCTTTTCATACCGTTTGGCGCGTTATATCTGGCCAAGTCAGGAAAAACATGGATTTAACGTAATGTGTAAGAACATTATTTAGGCTCCATTAGACTGCCAAAAAAAAGGGGATCCATGGAAAGGAAAAATAAAAACGAATCGCTAAAAAATTACAATTGTCTTCGACGTCTTTGGTGTACTCCCCAGCGGGGTAAACTTCATCCAGCGGGCAGGTGCGCTGTGGATATTTTGGGTTCAGTGGTGCGATCAGCGCATCCCCGTCGACCATATCTATGAACTTCCCAATTATGAAACCCTCCTGTGGGTCTCGCACCCACACCTGCTGGTTCTCCATATCGATCCACGTTCTGTAACAAAACAAACGGGAAACGATTAAGTCAACGAAACTGTCGACATCGAACAAGAATTTACATTTTGATTTTCGTTGCATCGTACGGTAGAACCTCGATCAACGCGCGAGTGTCTGGTTAATTCGATAATTGAACAAGTGGAGGGGGGGAGGATCGGTAAGCAACAAGTGAGAATGGAAGGTGCAGTGGGGGTAGCATATGTAAGGCTACTACTCATTGGATCGATTACCTCGATAATTGCAGGCACGATTTTCTGCAGCAATCGAGGTTCTATCGTACCTCAAGATCGATGAACGACCACCATTCGCGCAACTATCGAACGGTAAGTTCGGTGCGAATTTATTCGATCGAACCGCAGCGAGCAACTAATAACACGCATTTCGTTCTGCCAAGTTTATTCCGTTAATAACGAGCGTTATTACCGGTTACACGGCAAACAAGAACGACGATTATATTTATATTTGCGCAACAATTGCGTACGCTTAATTACGCCAACATCGCGTGCGAATTAATTGTGCAATCCATTATGTTAACGAGTACAAATGTCTAGAAATTCGACCAACGACGCGTCCGGTCACTTTCACGCGAAACGCAGGAAGATTTCCGGTGAAAGGAACAGTCTTCGAGTTTCCGGTCGCAGAATTACAAATGCAAAGGGAAATTCCATAACCGAGTCCCCGTGACGCGAGTGGAATTCCTGATGGCCGTGGAAACGCGTTTCTTGCTGTTCTGGGAAATAATACACGATACCAATATAAATATTATAGAGGGTGTCGCGTAATTTTTCACGTTAAAGAACGAAGAAAAATTTGCAGAATCTATTCGACCGCCAACGACTATCTTTATGTAGAATTTTACGTATATAAATGTTTGAGAAGTGTCCTATTCGAGCATGGTCGAGGCTACTCGAGCCGTGGCGAAACTGCTGAATCACAAAATTCTTTCGAGTCGAGGATCCGCGAAAGTCAAGCCCGGGCAGAGAAATTGGTAGAAAAATAACACGGTTCACTGTCTCGGCGTTGTTTCCGTCTCGCGAAAGATTAGTCGCCGCGATGGCATCGGGTTGCACCGTATTATTGATGGAAGAAGCATCAAAAGTGCCGGCTTTAATGCAGCTCGATAGGGATTTAAAGCGACCCTCGAGGGAACAGAGGCTGCTAATGAAGGACGTGGCACTGACGCCAGATTCAAACTGCGTGGGCCGCATGACCTCAACTCCTAACTTTTATTCGGAGATTCAGAGCGCGGTTCTTATCTCATATATTTTTCGAAACCCTTTTTAACCATTGCATCGAAGCAACGTTACCTGACGAATTACAATTTTGGTTCATGATCTCACGCGTCACCGACATTCACAACTTTCTTAACTGTTATCGTGGATCCTCGACTACCGTGATGCAACGTTCTCGTTCAAGGTATCGTAGATTCTCGAAATTACTGAATATTTATCTGTCGACGCGGCGTTATCGCGACGAAGATAAAACCGATGAAAGCAACGCTCAAAATAATCACGCTCCGACAATTGAAAACGTATGTATGTATAAGACTGCTTTCTAAAAACAGTAAATAATATTTTTAAAATGGTATCGTACAAACTAAAACCGAAATGAATTTCGGAACGACGTTAGCTAGGACGCCATCGCCATGACACTGTTACGTTCTCGTCGGTGTATGCGTTCCTGTCATTGAACCTCTTACCGATACTTTCCAGTATACAGTATATTTAACGGTACACGTTGGATCGCGTGTCTTATTGCGATACAGTCGTAAACTTCGTATCTCGCATTGATACGATTAAAAACTCAAAAATTTATAAACTGTTCATCGATGATAAAAACATATACACGTACATATTGCTATACGAAGATTGTTTTGCTCCTTCAACGTGAATCAGCCGATAAGAAAACATTTCAAGACAGATTTATCCCTTCGACGTAAATGTCAGATAAAAATAACTTCGAATGCAATATCAATCGATCTATGTGACAACTTTTCTGAAATACAGAGATTATCGGTTGAATCATGTTCATTGTAAATTGAAAACCCTATTTTTCGTAAAACGATCTACAAGTAATATTACATATGGTACAAATTGCGGCTTGAAATTATCATTAATTACTTTTATACGCTTTGCTAGTGTATTTTTACGAAGAACTAATAAATAAAAATTGTCAACGGTCGTTAAATTGAACGGAGAACTCGTTGCAAATATTAATCGTTCGCATGGCTAATCTAGAAAGCGCGAGAAAGGAATCGATTCGGGTAGTTCCCTCTGTCGTCGCATTCCCAGCATCCCGTTAGGAGTATCGTAACGGTAAAAGCAACCGGTAGATCCTTGCATCGATCATTGAAACATGAACCGAGATTGTATCGCGTTCGTCTATGGATTTCTACGTATATTAGTTGGAACGACGGTTAATTAAACAGTAAATTGAATAACTATTCCTTTTAATGTTTTTAATTTCTGTATCTACGTAGCAAGAACGATCAAAGATACGAGAGAGTTGGTCGGATCGGTTCATTCACCTCGTGCTTTATAGAAAAACGGTAATACGCAGCTGTCGCATCTTTGTTTCTGCAAGATCATCGGCCTTTCTCCGATGTTGTGTAATAATACGTACGGCTAAACGAGAATTTCTTAAACTATAGTTCGCGTACCTCAGGGTCGCGATAAACCTCGTCGAGGCTCGAGAACATTCCGACAAATATCGAGTATGATTTTTATTAAAATTAGAAGGAACGTTTAACCGGAAATCCAATGCTTAAAAAATCGTTGCGGTACATGGTTGATGGACGTTTGTTTATTGGAATTTCACGACGATTTTTTGTTCGCCGTGGAAAGGAACGGCCGACAGTGCGTCGAAACGAAATGAATGAATCGGGAAAGGAAGCAGGAAGCAGCAGGTGGAGCCGACGCGATGCGACGCGACGGTCAGGAACAGGGAGACACGCGTCAGTGGTCACGTGCTTCCCGACGAAATTCAAGCGTGGAATCGTGGATCACAAAATGGGAAAAAAAGGGCACACTGTAACAGAAACGGGAAAAAAATGTTACACGAATAATACAGTGCTGGACGCGTGCTCTTTCGAGTACGGAATTAGCAATACGTGGCGATAATTTAAACGTACACACTCACAAATGCAAAGCAATCTACAATTGCATGTCTAAGCCGAACTACCCTCTTAATCCTTTTAGTGCCAAACGACGATATATCGTTGCGTATGCGATGGTTAGGTGCCTAAATTTTTCGGTGAAAAAAAAAATTCCAAATCGTTCTAAAAAAATTATTTTCACTTGCAGGAGTCAATTACAATCATTTTTGGTGAATAGACATACACCTGAATTCCTACCCAGTTTCGAGAAAAAAATTCGAGTAGGTACTGAAATTTTTAGACGAAATTCAAATATTTAAAATCACACTAAAAAAATTATATTTAGTTACAGGGGTCAATTATAATCATTTTTGGTCATTACACATATCCCCGAAATCCTACGCATTTTCGAGAAAAAAATTCGAATAGGTGCCTAAATTTTTCGGTGAAAAAAAAGATTTCAAATCGTTCTGAAAAAATTATTTTCGGTTGCGGGGGTCAATTACAATCATTTTTGGTGAATAGGCATACCCTCAAAATCCTGCGCGTTTTCGAGAAAAAAAATCAGTACGGGCTCCACTTTAAACGTTAATAACTTTTTAACAAAGCCTCATATTTTGAATCGATTACTTATTAAAAAATCATTGAAAATCAAATACTTATACTTTATGCTACGTGACCTACATAAAACTGTGACCAAACAATGATTATTCTTATGTGTAAATATTATTTGTAGAAGAGAAACTTGTTTCTATGTTTTGTATCATATTTTATAATTATATTATTTATATGATTTGCAGTAAATATCATTCTTAGTTTGATTTTTATGAGCTTTTTCTCTAACCATAACAAACTCGTCAAATTGGCTCGGTATTCCTCGCATAGGCACCCGTTTTTCGCACTAAAAGGGTTAAGAACCACCGAATCGACTCGTTGTTCTTCTCTAGCATAGTCTAGCGTAGTTCTGGACACTTTCCGTAGCGTAGTTCGGTTTAGTCACCGCGAGAAAGTAAGAGCCGTCTTATCTGTCGTCATGGTCAACGAACTCCGGATAGCTTACCGCTTCACCATCTGCAAATACACTCATTACGCATTACGTCCACGCGTTGCGTAGCCATTGTGATTAGATGTTACGCTTACGCCCGTTTCGTAACCATTATTCGGCGAGACGCGACCGGATAACGCGTGCAAATCAATCGACACGATCGACTCCACGCATCGATTCATTCGATGAAACTAGAACGGGGGATGTAGGCCAGTTTCCACAACTTTTTCGACTGCAATAATTCGAAATGGAAATGTTATTTTGTTTGTTAAAATTCTTTACCGTTCGGACCGTTATTATTAACGAGACGACGAAACATGACGAAAAAGCCGAGGAAGGAATCTCGACAACGGACTTACAATGCAGATTACATTAGAATGGCGCGTTGGCACCTCGGACCATAAAGCGCGGCCAACGACCCGTCTCCCTGGACAAAAAGGCAGGATCGAAGAAAAGGGAAATCTCGATACTGGAAATACGACATCACGGCATCCACGAGCATTCGTACATTTCGTTTCTTCTTTAACGTTTCTGATGGAGAAGAGGTCGAAACGAAAACGTTAATTTTTTTACAATTGTAAACTGTATAACGTAGAATTTGTCTTGGTATTTACTTTGCGAATCTTAACTTGAGAATTGATCTTCTTGGTTCCATAGTGAAAAGTCCTGTTATACCCACAAGTGTAAATGGTTTTTTTTTTTCTATCGCGGATCATGTACAGACGCAACGAGCGCAGAGTAACGTCCATGACTCGTTCGTTAGTGCCATCGTGCACGGTGGTATCATTTCGCAGGCAGTTTAATATTAATTGGAACAACCTTCGCGCGATCAGCGTCATCAACCGCTTTCAGCGATTAGATTGAATCGTGGGATGTGATTTTGAGCGTGCAGTGGCACACTGCACCATTTAATCTCTTGCACATAGAAATACACACGCAGAGAGAAAGGGACTCGTACTGCATACTTTGATTTTAATTTATGAGACTGTCTCTTATCGACTGAGAAATAGTAACCGATCTTGATATAAACAAACACGTCCAGTAATGGGAAAATGTGTCCTGGTACGAAAATGACGCACATAGATTCGATCGATAAAGTTGATTGTTCAATAGTTAATTTGCATCGCCGGAAGAGGTCCTCCTGCCGTCCGGTGTCGTTTCGTTCGCATCGTCGAGACAATTGCAACCGACGAGCGAGACTCGGCGTTACATAATCGCGGAAAAAGGATCGTTCGTGAACCGATATCGTGAGACGAGAATCATGTTGTCGGTGACTCATGCGACTGCGATCGCTCGACCGAGGATCCCGGTGAATCGTTTAGCCTCGGTTCTGTGTCACGATTAAGGACACGCCGCGTTTTTCTTTCGTAATTAATTCATCGGCTGATCGAAACCAGCTTCGTTAACATTTCACGCGCGTACGTCTAGGAACTCGACGCGCGATCCTCCTTAGGCTTAATTAGAAAAATAGAATACGAGTACAAATAACGATGTAACGAACTGTCAGTTTAGAAACAAAGATGGCGCTCTATGTTTCTGGGGCAATTCCCAACTACATACGTATTACGTTGCTTCTTTAACAAAATGTTCCTCAAACTATAATCTGTGCCACTCTGGGGGGGTCCAAGTAATCGGAATGATTAATTATCAGCATAAACGTTTCGATCGTTGATTTACGGTGGGATTCCATGCACGTAAATATCACGACAAATTGTAGGATATTCGCTTTCCGATTGTCTGAAAAGAAAATTTCATTCTATCAAGTTCAAGTTTAACAAACGCTCCGTTAATGCTAATTTTAAAACCAACAACACAGTGTTCTCGAAATTATACACAGAGAGTCGATTGCGTCGATCGCTTCGTGCCAGTATGTAATACTTTAGCAAACATTAAGTAATATGGTATTACGATACGTATAAATATCAACGATTTGAAAACTGATAAAGGCCAGACAGACACACGCAAGAGTAATTATACGGGTTCTCAACGTACAGCGAAGACACGTGATCAAACAAAACAGAATTTTGTAACTCGATAGCGGAGGCAGGTGTGGTTGTAAAAAGAACTCATTGTTTTTAAACGAGTGGTTCGTAATCGCGGAATACACGCATCCTCGCGCGTCGGTAGACGAACCCAAACGAGCTTTCATCACGCACGAGGAGCCAGGATTTTCTTCATTTTTTCTCTTTTTTTTTTTTTGTTTGCTCGTACACAGAAGGATTCACACGCTAATTCACTGGCACTAAATCGTCCGCGTTCGTGCACCTGTGCACCTATGCACCTTTCCGTTCCACTCTCCTAATCCCTCTTACAATTGCAAGGAAAATATCGCACGTTTTACATCGTCGCCCGGCGAAACAATAACACAATACGTGCCACACGGTTGCCCGTGTGTCATTCTCCCACTCTATACCGGGTGTCTCGACCTAAATATCTCTTACAATCGTGACGATACAACAAATATATTTTCCATGCAATTTAAATATCATCGAAAGAACATTAGTAGTTTTTAAAACCTCATAGATATCTCAACACCCTGTACATTGCATGCATTGTAACATAACCTCGATACTAAATGACTATTGCCTTCGATAATACCGATCGTTTCCATAACGCATTGCACGTGTTTCCACCTACGGAACGTGCATTAATTGATGGACGATTGTCAATGAAATAATGATAAACGGCAGCACGACGTCTTAATCAGGAGTTCCTGTTTGCTTTTAACAAATAAACCACGCCTAATACCCAGGCTAATTGATGCTTGTTTCGACGCTGCAAGAATGATTTAATTAAAGATTATTTCTCGCAAGATAAACGATAGAAAAATGAAGTCGTTTAGATGTTAACGGTTGGCAAACGTAATTTGTTCGCGCTACAAACTTTCTGAGACACTCGTCTGTTCTCTGTTCACAGGAAAATTTTCACGGACGATGCAAGAAACTGGCGTGTATCATGTTCTCCTAACCTAATTAGTGCAAGAAACAGCTAATAACAGTTAAGACGTGGAAAGGCGTGACAAGTTATTTAAATCTCAGAGTCTTTCGACAGGGAAAAATATCTATTCTCATTTTTCGTTTCTCAATTTATCCCATCGAAATTGTGAAAGAATAACCGTCGATAACAATCGATCACTTTGTTTCGAAAGAAAGAAGATGTCGAAGGAATTATTAATTATTTTATCGTTTTCGAAATATTGCAATAAAGATATAATCACGTTCAGCGATTATACATATATATCACGCGCGGCACAGGTGAATAAATAGCAGTAATAACGATAACGCGAACGGCGACCTGACGTACGAAACATATGTTGCTGGATTTCTGCCTCTGGTTAAACTTCTGTTCGACACTTTTGGACACGCGTTGCCTAACCGTAAACATAAACAGGTAGATACATACGTCAACGCGCGTAGAGTGACCGACGACATCGTTGTCCAATTAACAATTATCCAAACTGACACACAGAGCAAAACGATCAAAACTTTACGTTGATTCCTTCGCCGATTACGATCCCACGGCAGGGTTCCATGGTCGAAGCGCACCGAACGTCATCGTTAATGCCATTGCTCTGTGTAATTTATTTTAATATTACCAAACCGAGTGTCACCTTCCTGAATTACATAATAGCTTCCTATGGAAACCGGTGTGCGTTTAAGCAAGCACGCGTAAAGGACAATTTATCGAGACCAAGCCTGTGAAGTTTACGAAAGAAAGGTTTTAAATCAGAGAACGTTATTCGTGGCAAATGAAAACAGTTTTTTACCGCCCTTTTTTTTAGTCCGTGTGCACTGTGCAGGTTTACACTCGACGAGACGACAATTTTCGTAAAGCCTGGCGAAAGTACCGTTAGATCGAGAACGCGCGGAAAGAAAATATTAAGGTTTTTTTAAATGGTCGTGCGAATACATCGTAGGACTAACAGGTGCACGCGGAGAAAACCGAAGGATGCATGCGTTACAATATAGAGTTACTCACCGATTGAAAGCACGACAGCTACGATACGACCGGCACCAAGTCCGACACACAACTGGTTGAACTGGTGCTTCGGTGCATCGCGTCGGTTCCGTAGGATCGGGAAATTTCGTGGGGTTTCGGGTTTGCCACGCGGCAAATGGCAATCACCTGGCGAATCGCGAGCCTAGAAAATTTACGCGCGATTATTATCGCAACAACAGGTGGTTGCAAATTGAAAATACGACGCACCGTAATCTATTTCGTTGACAAAACGCATCGATAATCGATAAATTGACTCATCTCACAGGAACGACATCGTTCTGTCGTTTGCAACCTTCCAATGCACGACATTGACAAATTCTGCTTTCAAGGACGTGAAATATTGTTTCCAAATCTCATTCGTTTAAAGATTCTAAATATTTTCTGTAGTTTCCGAATGATTCAGCTTCAAATACCACTTACGTTTTGTTGTTTTTTAAATTGATCTATTTCAAGTCGCGACATTCTGCAATGATGCGTTCGATTGTTTTACTCGATATTAGAATTTCAAATTAGTTGGAATGTATTTTTAGTGCAAGGATATGCAGGTAACGATTGTAATGTAACACTATTTATGTAACACTCATAAATAGCAATGGCTTTAAAAAAACGATAACGGTTTTTAATAAACTACATTGTTACGATACGTATAACACATTGCGTCAATACAGTAGCGACATCTGCGGTAACTCGTATACCAAATTGCCGTCGATAAAATAGAACGCACAAAGCATGTGGTTTCATACGAATGCCGCATTTCTAAATCTGTTGGTAATGTCGCGAGTGACACGAAAATATTAAATTTTTAAACGAAATTGGAAAGTTTCAAATCGTTCTAAAAACATTATTTACAGTTGCAGGGATCAATTACAATAATTTTTGGTCAATAGACATACCCCCGAAATCCTACCCACTTTTGAGAAAAAAAAATTCGTATACCTCGTCTGTGATAATGTACTGATTATCGTTATTTTTAAATCAATACTTCATAAAATGCAAACACGAGTATATTTCAAATTAACTTTGTAAATGTAATGAACCGTGCACAGTGTATTAACCTCGAAGAATTGTAAGCGTCAAGGCATAACCGGTATGACTTTCGATATGCAAAAAACTAATTCCATATTTTATGACGTCGTAAAAGCTTTGTCGTCATTTCCTTAGACAAACCATCCACGAATAAGTGCATGGATCATTGAGTGCTTCGAATTTTTACCGATTTCTAGTTACGGGCATTTCTTCCGCCTCGCGTTCTCCGAAAAAATAACTTTCCCCAACATTATGCTTATTCTGAGAATCGAAACTACAGATCGATCAAAATGAACTGGCCAAATAAGTATTTTTATAGTTTTCCTTAAATGAAAATTAAAAAATTGTATTCCATTCACATATTTCAGTTTCACTCTTATCTGTGTTACTATGCAATGCTATCAACGATACTATTGTAATCGCTTGGAAAGTACTTACACGTATCATATCTCAATTCCATTCTCGAATCTTTTATTTTCTATTGTTCCATCCCCTCCGCTATATGTATACTCCATTAACATACATAGCTATCCGTTTAAAAAATCCGTTTACACGGACCACGTTCTCGTTTTTTTTTTGTTCTCGTCTATCTCGCGTTCCGAATAGCGTCGCTATCGGCGTCCATCTGTAAAATATTCGCATGCACCAGATTTAAGATTCTTTCTCGCGTTCGATACGATTGAAACAAGGCTCGCAGGATGTCTGTATAAACTGCGCTTTCTCTGTCCCCTATCCAAGAGTAAATTTCTAACAAGACCATTAGAAGACCGGCTTGCTTCCGTGAACAATGACCTCCAGACGGAAGATTCTTGCGCATTTGCGCTGAGGTGCGCTCAAGCGAAGAAATTCTTCTCGGCGCGTAATCGCGTGTACCTGACATGATTAACGATCGAGCCGCGTGGGCGGCGATAATTTAAATAAGGACTCGTTGCGTTTAGATAATCTGCGACGGAATTTATGATCGTTCGTTGATAATGACAGCCTCCAGACCGGATCGAATTGCTTCGAACATTCAAGTCTTGATACATCTTAATGCCTTAATCGATCTTAAACGTCTTGCTCGATCTTAAAAGTCTCGATAGGTTTTCAGGCCATAAAACGTCTTGAAAATCTTGATTCTTCGCTCAAGTCTTCGGTAAGTCTGAAAGATGCGATTGATTTTTAATGTCTTGAATATTTTGCACAAGCAAATACTAGAATTTGTACATCCACGATCTTTCTTTATATTGTTTTTTAAAGTGTATTTAACACGTACCGGCGGCTATTTAAATTTTGATGATTGGCTAAATTTTTAATTTTCTTACAGACAAACAATTAGCATCGCTGTTCGTTGGTAATTCCATCGTTACACGCTGACGTAATTTACGCGTCTGAAGTAGGATTCTTGCTAGTCCATTAACCGACAAATGTTCACGACGCTGCAAGAGTATGGTAATAATGTAATTACACGGACAGAGTACGATGGAAACGATTGCATCTGCGTGGCAAGATTATCCGAGTCCTTGTTTGAGTCACCGTTTTCAAGTTTTATCGTAAAAGTCTAATAATATATAATTGTACAACGAATGGGGAAACTACGAAACGCGACGATATCGATGGTCATCGTAGTCGAATAACAATACATAAATAATCGTAGCCGAACAATGTGTATATCGTTTACGATCATTTTCTAAGAAGCGACGTGCGCATTTTTTCTTGCAAAACAGGTGTAATATTATAATTCGTCGGGAGTATTGTGTTCATCATTCCCATTTATACTAAGTTGCCTTACAACGGTGGAAAATCAGGAATAAATATGAGAATAATTCCACGCGACTGACACTACCATTCAATGTTGGTGTATCTATGTATTGTAGTAGTACGTATATTGTGCGTTCGCGTCATTCTCTAATGTTGATCGTTAACGTGATTTCAATAACACTGACGTACGAAATAATTTTAACCCTGGAACACTATACTGCGCCTCCTACACAATTTTATTACGTCCTGATCGTCAATAGATTGCAAAATAAAAAGAAACTGATTCTGACGAAAGAAGAGATCTGTGAAGAAACTGGGAAATAAGAGACTCGAGAGTTTGGAATAGCTAAAATTTCTCGCGTACGAAGTATTTAGAAAAGAATAGCTAGCGGCCTTGAAATATTTGATGCTGTTTCGTATTACGCGATGCATCGTATTTCTGGTATGCGTTCAAATTGTCTCCAAGAATAAGCCTCGAACGAAACAATTCGTTTCTTTATGGAAAATCATCCCCTCTCCTTTGTCGAGTATTATAAACGTAAACGTTCGAACACGCGAGTTGGTCTTTTGTAAATGAAAGAAGAAGATAAGCCAAGTTGGACATGGACCAAGCTATTTACGAACACCTGACGGCTGCACGCGTGACCGGGGTGAATCGTCGACCGAACCCATCCCCAGGATTCCCCGGAGCGGAAAAGAGTCGCGCATACACGTAACTAGCGAGGGAATCCCGATAAACAGGTACGAAAGTTTCCTCCACCGCCACCGGTTACTCTCTCTTGCAACGCTTCTGTGTTCTTCATTCACTCATCCGACTCAGTGCGTTGTGGTTCGCCGCGAGCGGTGCCTTTCAAAGCCATTCAGACTTGGCTCGTCCTCGGAGTTCCTGTGATAAACTGCACAACGAGACAAATAATAAGGGTACATAGAAAATACGTTTCGAACAATACATTATAGAAAATCTCGGTTTGAACAGTGCAACGACCAACCGTGCCCCTTTTCGAGTGGAGTTCGAGAGGAAGATTCGTTCGTTGCGTTCTCAAATTTATGAGAACCCGCGCGTGACAATGTTTTCAATCCTCTTCACCGGGCGTCGATACTCTCATTGTGGCGAATACTAAAACTTGCAAACGTTCGTAGTTCTTCGGTCAGTAGTGGTTAAATTCTTCTATTCGATAACTAATACCTGAGAAAATGTCTCTGATCGTAGAACAGCTTGATTTATGCCTTTTCAACACTCTTCAGACACTTGTCAGAATTGGGAAAATTATTCATGGTCAGCAGATCTTCTAAAAATTAAAAAAGAATTTAATGAAATAGTACAGTTAGAGTACCTTCGATGAATTGTTTGTGTTCTCGATCAACGATTACCAATATTGATCAGCTGGGGATCTACAGTTTGAAATGTGATTCGAATCGCTGATCAGCCAACAGCACACCGGGAGTTTCCAGTCGGTCAACCAGTTCGATGAGTTAATTCTAAAATATATTTGCTGAATATGCATGCCCTGAATTCCGATGCTCGAGGATCAACAGAGAGATTTTACAATATTCGAAAACATTCTTCGTTGTTTAATGTTAGAAATCTCAGTTCTTTGTTAGCAAAAGCGTTCTTTAAACCCTTCTTCGATCCTCGATCATTTGTTAAAAACGTATCGGTGAAACAGTTGTCATCTTAATTGCTACAAAGTGCTTTGTAATAGACGATGAATATAACAATAGACTACGCAATTTTCGTTTAAATATAGCTTCCATTCCAGTGTTTTACACGCTTCTATACTTGGTAATAACACAACAAAAACTGGCAAAGTTGTTACAAAACAAATATGTCGCGTATGCAAGAGATTTCATCTCGCCAAAAAACACAATGGAATAACAGGGAAGTAATCGAATAATAGCTATTCGACGTGTTTTTTCACGAGTAGTTTACGACTAATGCTTATCGCTTAAGATCAATTAACCAACTACATTATCGTTCGATCTTCGACTTGGACGACAGTTTCATCAAGTTGTTCCAACGAACCGTGAATCATCCGACTGAGTCGTTTCGAAAAGAACTTTTGTCGTCAGCCAGAAAATTCATACAGATTTTAAAATTCAGCGTCAAATTATTTTCATCGATTCGTTTTCTTGCAGAAAGTAGCTTCAAGGGGCGGGGCGATTCTCCCACTCCTTCCACTATCACGTGTTGCTGGTGTCCTCCCCTCCAAATGGTCCGTCTTGTCTCGCGAAACAATGGAAAGCCACTCCCCTAAAAT